TCTCTCTCTCTCTCTCTCTCTCTCTCTCTATCTTCATGACACACTATACATACGTGTTGCGTATTGCGAGGCTATGGACCGCTTAAAGCGTAAGTATACGTACTTTCTTCATCTCACTTACTATTTAACTGCTTACACGCATTCGATTATAAACATAGAAAAATATTGTATGCTAATTTAAGATCTTTATTTACAATTTTGGACATTTATTATGGCAAATTCGATTTAATCTCGGATTTTTGCTACGATGTCGGTGGTATTTTCATCTTATTGAAAATAATAACATTGTAACGACTTAGTCTATACAAGGAATAAAATTTCTGGTTTTATTAACTGATGATGCCCATATCAAGGAAATCCATTAAATTCATCATTCATTAAATTCGTTATTCTAATATACGTATTACGATATTACAAAAGTTATTATTTAATATTTTTTGTAGAAAATCGAGTAACGTAATTGAGAATCTTTAGTAGTAATTTAATGGATAAATTAAATTTCTATAAGATATATTAGAGAAATTCTCCTCTTTGTGGCATCCTTTATAAATTTGAATAAATTACTCTATTAATTATAAATAACGTAATCATCAAAATATATGTAGTACAAGCATGCATTTGATTAAAATGATCTAAACTTGTAAACAATTTTTACATTCTGACTAATTTGACTAAGAGAGAAAGAAATTCATTGTGCATACCCGTAAGATACTTTAGAGCGGCGAATTGAACATCATTATATTGTCCTAAGAAAATCCTTAGTTGTTGCGCGCTGATACGTAGGTCGGTTTCATTGAATTCGTATCGATTATTCCAACCAATTGGTCCAAATTTTCGACGTTCCTGCACAATCGCGTGGAAAAAGCAAAGAGCAAAGAGTAGCTTTTTGAAATTGCTGTTCTGCTTTGGTGTTTCGAAAAATTCCGGCTCACATATCGGGTCCTGTGCCAACGACATTTTATTCAATATCCTCAACCACATTATCCAACATTGCATCTCGTTAATAATATAAATATGAAAATACTTTATCATTTACATTTATCTTTCAAATTTAATACAGAATATTGATTTTTATTACCAACACTATACTCTTACTTTTATTCAATGAAAATGAATATCTCTATGTTTCATATTTATTTGTTTGTTCATTTATTTTTTTAATTATTTTTTATTTATTTTTTTATTTTATTTTATTTTTTTTTTTATTTTTAACACCATAATAACGAAGAATTATTATTAATTTAATTACTTATTTAATCATAAAGCATTAATAATAATATATATCGATATTTCCTTTCCACGCATCTTTATAACTTCTCGAATATTTTCGCGAAATATTGCTTAACATTTTTATCAATAACAACAGTGACCATAATAATGAAAATAATAATAATCATATTGTTAGTATGTTAAATTTTAGAGGATTCACGGACAAATACAGCCAAATGCACATATCTATATAGCCATTTATATATAAGTATTTATATAATTATTAATGAAAGAAATTATCACATAGATATGCAATAAATAACTTTATCGTTGAAAATATTTATTTATATATTCTTAGCCAATGAGATAGTTAGTTAATGATGTGCCAGGATACATAAAAAAAATTCGTGAAAGCTATAGTGTCATCGATAAACATCCTATAATTTATATGATTTAAATTTTTTAGATTAAATAATTTATAATGTCTTTAATCGCGTACCTGCAAATACGATTTTATTATATTTTGTCTCAATCCACTCGGTGGTTCATTCGTTATTTTCACTCCATTTTGTAAAACACTAACGGGGAAATATTCCGAGGGATAACTTGTCAACCACAGTCGGAAATCGGGATGCACCGAGTCCGGTGTTAAATCCTCGCAAATCTAAAATTATTAAATTACATAAAAATATAATACTTTTTTTGTTAATATAAAAATTGAATAATTTGTTTGGTATTTTTCATCACTGAATCGATCATTTTCACATGCGAAAAAAAAGCAAAGTAATTTAAATTTCGCCTGTATTATTAATCAACAAAGCATGATGATATGATTATATGTGCTTTCACTAGCCAACAATAGTACGTATTAAAGTAATTAGCATAATAAATTCAATGTATGCACAAATCAGAAATTATCGACACTCGGGTATTATACGAAAGCGCAGATGCGATTCTATTTTTTGCGCAAACGTATCTCTCACGCAAACAGCTCGCTCATTAAAATAACAACGAGAATACTTCTACGAGAGGACCTTCTCCAACGTGTTCATCCAGCTCTTGGCTAAGTGGCAGTTCTGCAGCACGACCCAGGTGCCGTTTTTAATGGCCTCGTCGATGAGTTTGACGGCAATCGGACCCTGGCCCTGGCCAAGTGACAGCGAACTCAGCCGACTGCCACCGAAGCCCTGGTCCTCGGCGAATTTCAATAGAATGGCCGTGGGATCGGCACCAGGAGTCAGCACAAATATCAGGGGTGCGCAGCTGAACGAATCCGCGTAGGATGAGGCCAAATCGAATGGCGGTGACTCCACATATTTCTTACCAAGCTCCTCTGTGAAACGCGGGATTATCCATTATTATAGGGATCTATGTAGCATGAAAACACGTGTTTAACATCGATTAATGGAATTGGATCAAGAATTTCTTGGGATAATGATGTAAGCACGAAATTTTATCTGGAATATAAATTTCTCGCCACTCGCACACTACTACGCGATCAGCACTTATGATATGGTGATTCGTTGATAATATGAAGCATGAATTTGTTAGGAAAGCAAGGATTGTCCACTCGGTATAGATCATCCGTTATTCGTTAATTTTTTCAATTTACTTGTGAATTTTTACATTCTCCGTGTATATGATGCAAGTTTTTGTTTACCTACATAAGAATATCATAGACTTGAAATATTTATATAAATTGAGAATAAACGATATAAATTTACGATTGATCGATAAAATTCTCACGCTATTTCACTTTATTTAATTATACATTTCTCTCGTAATATTGAAATATATTGAAATTATTTTATAAACAAGTTGTTTCATTTACGTTAAACTATCGTTTCAAGATATTACATTAATATTTCAGTATTTATAATGACGTATGAAATGGCGATTACATTATAAGCAATATATTATATAAATATACATTACTAAAATTATTTAATAGTTTTAAAAGTATTAGCATATTTTTTAATAATATGAATGAAATTTAATTTATAATGTTTTAACATATCTATATATATATATATATATATTTTTTTATCTAAACGTTATTTAGAAAATATCATTAAAATAACGACTATTTTTATTCACTTTTATATTTAAAATAAGAAAATTAAGCGAAAGTGTTATATTTAAATAGTATTACAATGCAATATTAATAAGAAAAAATTTGATTGAAAGTAATTAAATAAGAAATAGTATATCATCGTGCAATAAACATTATCATATAATTAAACAAATTTCATGCTAGGCAAGTGTCAATGTTTATTACATAGCAATTAACAAATATAAAAGGAATAAAATATTACGATGTAAATATTATTAAATCAATAGTGACCTCGAAATAATTATGTAGCACAGTTATTACGTATACATAAAAATATATAAGAATATCTCTTTTTCAACTTTAAACGACTTTTATTAGTTCGGCTATAGATAGATGTTGAATGGATATTATGAGCATTGGTTGGTTGATAATAAGAAAATTACGCGTTTTTTTAAATTCATTATGTCTACTTTGTTGCGATTAGTTCATTCGTAATTAACGGTAATTACTATAGATTGAATCGGATTTATGAACGGACTTAAGCTTTCGCGGTAAATACAGTTATGGACGAATGGTTATATGGATTACAGTCGCGTATTTATTTTTATGACGAACCGTCGAGATTTATCTTGAACTCAAGAAATAAAGAGTTGAGCGAAAATCGTAAGGATTGCCTTTGATTTAAAATCTGATATAAAAAAAAAAAAAAAAAAAAAAAAAAAAAAAAAAAAAAATTGTCTGATGTTACAAGAATCTTCAAAATTACTGTGCGGCAATTCTTTTCATTTAACGAGGAAAATGAATTTAAAATTAAATTGAATTTAAAATTTTTAATTTAATTTAAACTTAACTTCAATGTAAATTTAACAACTAGGTTTTCCGAAATATACATATTTACTTACGAATGATATTTTTTATATATTTATTTATATGTATGAACATATATATATATATATATATATACAAATGTACATATTTTACGGCCTTATATTGAAATTTTGCAAGAAATATTTATAATTACTTTTCTTAATTGTCAATTTTGAAAAGTAATATTTTGTCACTAAAATGTATTAAGATAAGTTTAGTATTATTACTTTTTATTTAAATGAAAACATGGATTTGAAATTACTTTAATTCATTTTAATTAAATTAAATTTAAAAAAAAAAAAAAAAAAAAAACAAAACAAAAAAAATGGGTTTAAAAACATTTTATAATAATAAAATATAATGCGGATAGCATATTGGAAAATTCTAAAATAATATTTATAATCATATATTATTATATTAAGTTGCGTTTAAAATAGAAATTTTACTTTAATTAACAATATTAGTTGAAAATCTAATTTAATAGTCTTTAAAATGTAACAGTAGTACGGAAATTGAATTGTATGTTGAAAAAATTATTCGACATAAATAACAGTTGAGAAAGATTATTTGAAAAATAAATGTTACAATCAATGTTTTAACTTCAATCCAATCAATAAATACTCTATAGCGTACCTTCAATGAAACATTGAACTGCCGGAATAACTTTATCATAACGAAGACAGCGAAGGACAAGTAATTTTTCGAAAAGAGTAAGATTGTCAAACGGAGCTGGATAATTTAGGAAATGAGGATCCGTGGCATCGAAAATTACTTTCCAACTCTCAATGTCTTCTTCAAATGACGAACGTATTTTCTGGAAATAAAATTTTCAACTTTTTGAAATAGCATAATTTTTATTTCCACAAACTATTATAGTTAGAAAAATTGAAATCTAAAGCTTCTTTGAAGTAATTGACGTATACCTCAAAACCGTTAAGTTCGTTCAACCGACAGATTTCATCCCAGGATTTGATTGGGAGCCACTTTGCTGGATTTGGGTAGGGATTTTCGAGTCCGACGCCTCCACTGAGGAAAAATATCCACTTTGTGTTCGACATTTTTCCTTGTTTGTTGAGCAAATTGATAAGGAGAATGAGGGAGAAAAGTAGCTTGTCTTTTTCAAAAAGTGAACGACAGATATTCACATATAATGAATACGTGAAAGACTCTTTTAGATCCTCGAGACGTTGATCTATATCGTCGACAGGCTTCGTATTGCTAATTGTGCTCACGAAAAGATTCACAAACCACACTAGCGAGTACTGGTACATCGGGTCAATGTTGGCTAATGAAGCTTTATAAAAGTACCAATAATTAAATTACATATTGCATATACAATAAATATTTTTAATTTAATAGGATAATGGTAGGGTATGCTTGTATTAATGAAGTCATCGGTATTATATTGTACACGGAGATTTTTTTAGAATTTTAAACTTGTATAAATATTCCAATGCTATTTTACCTTTTATAAAATTATGGGAAAAAGGAGAAAACACTAGTTAAAGAATGAAATAAATCTTCATGATAAACAGATACGATACGATTCATAAAAACAGATTAAATTTTTCTTTTAGCATTAAAAATCTATATAAAAATATTTAATACTCGAGCTTAGAATTAACGTAAAAAGTAAATATTTTAATTTAGAGAAAAAGCATTTATCGTTTATGATAATATAGTTGTAGTTTTAACGTGCGTTTCTCTTTTCTAATATTTATAATTTTGAAAAGTTCTTAAACTTAATTTGTAATTAAAACTACATAAAAAAACTCTATAAAAGTACAATATTTCCTAATTAGTATTATTTGCAATTTATTTTGGAGTAAATGTGAATTTATCATATAGATTAGAAGAGATTTTCAGGTATCTAATATATAGGTAATAATAGAAACGAATGAAATAGTAAAAAATTCTAATATACTTTCAATTTGTATAAATAATTTGACATTTACTATAATAAATTGAGTACCTTTAATACATGAAGAACTGTATAGAGAGTAAAATAGAGAGTAATAGAAATGAAAAATATCGTTAAAAACTTATCATCGACTAGTTTTGATATTTTCAATGCCTCTTAATTATTATTAATAGCTTTTGTATTTGTTATGTTGAGCATATTATGTAAAATTTTGTAATAATAATAATCAACATTGTTTTATATACTTAATAATAGATAGACATGGGACATAAATTAATGCTTTTGTATTATGATTTACCAATTGTGAAAAACAGAATTGTGCTGTAACTGGCGATTATTGTATATTGCAGTCTCGTCTCATCGATAGACTTTTCTGTAATTTCTGCGGAAGCCTGTTTGGCTTTAATTTCGTTAGATAATAACTTTGAGGAACTCAAGATATTAATTGCTGTTTGATCATCAAGAATGTTTTCATCGGATTCCGAAAGAACTGCTAATATTTTATCTTCAATATCGCTCAAAGTTCTGTTGGATTTAAATTTATATTACTCACTTTATTATGATATTACGTTACATTAGACTACTTTATTTTTATACACTTTATATTACTCAAAAATTATTGGAAATTATTCTTCATCCCCAAGTAAATTTGATTTAGTGTCACAAGTACATTCGCTAACCAAATCGTTGATGAAAATAAAATAGTTGAGAACTTACTTAAAAATTACATTAGAAATTATTGTATATCATAATGTTAGTCATTTTTTTTTTTAAAAATTCGTATTCACGTATTTTATAATACATAATACGTAATGAAATCTAATTGTTTATTTCATGTTTTAGTTTCATTTGAATAGTTTGCAATAATTTTTTTTTTTTTTTAACGTTAATTATACATTTACTTTTCATTTTTTGCTCTCTGTGCTATCAACTGATTCTTTTCCGACTCCAAATCTGGTCTTTCTTTAGCAACTACGATTCCCAAAAGTTGATCTTCTAAGCCAATTGGTGTAATCATAAAGTTTATTAATGTCACTTTAACGGTTACTTCCGGTAAGTAATGTGGATTTTTAAGTTTCGTTATTATATATAACCTATTAATCATTATAATTTATTACTTTACTACATATATTAAGCTTATAATTAAACATAACATATATATATATATATATATATATATATATATATATTTGTATTTAGAATAGACCAATACAAAGACTTTTAATAAAAAAATTCAAAAAGAAAAAAAAAATAAAATAAAAAAAAAAATAAAAAAGAGAAGAAGAAAAAAAAGAAACCTCAATGGGGCATGGGAGTAAAGGATGAGACTTAATATATTTTCTTTTCTCGACTGATTTTTAAATATGCTTATATGCTTATTTATTGCACAGAAAATGCTGCCAAGTTTTTTACGCTCGTGCTATGTAACATACGTGTAACAATAAACAGAATATTCGTATTGATAAAAAAAAAGAAGAAGGCTTTACTTAGTCAATTTTCGTCAATGTTAAGCAATTGTTTGTTAAGCAATTGACAAAAGAGAAGTGAATTTGAAAATATAAGGTGCAATTAATTTTATATCATCTTCGTTTAAAATTTTACATAATGTTTAATCAAATCAATGATAGGCATTTCTTACTTTGACTCCTGTTAAGATATTTTGTAATAATATTGTATTTGTAGTATCGTATATCGTATGGGGAGTCGGACGGGGTATTAATTACTGATCACTTAATAAACAAGTCCATGTAATGATGATATAATTGTATTTACAAGCCCTGCGTGCATCCTCACCTGAATTTATCATTATATTCGATTACCGAATCTCCTAATCGAATGCAGTTGGAGCCACTCGATTTGAAAATTTGCTTCAATAAGAGTGGCTCCAGTGCAACGTCCAGCTCTTCGCCAATATTCTCGAGGAGCACTGGCTGGCCAAATTGAATAGCGTTCTCCAATACCCTCATGTAATTCAAATGAGTGAATCTGATTACATGGATGTTTGCGGATTTTTCAAGATTTTTGATCCACTTGTTTGCTTGGCCCTCCGGGTCGATCATCAGAGGCCAGCGTTGGGAATACTTGACGATAATGGCATTGTCGATGGAGAAGAGATCGGTGGGTAGACCGAAGATATTCCAGGCGCGTATCGTCAAGGGCTCGCCCAATATATGAGATAATTGAAAGTCTTGGGTGCATACTAAGTTAAAATTCATGCAAACGGTTATCCATTTGTCGATCTGTTTTTGCCTGTAATAAGCTGTGAAGACGCCGAGATATGCGATGATGCCAGCGCCGATTAATATGTCACCCGTCAAGTTATCGTAACGGATGCCCAGGGTCTTTGCGATTTCGGACCAACGAGTGCGTTCGCCACCCAAGCAGCCTAGAAGAAAATACGGTATTCCTAATATATTCGATCGCCTCGCGAATACAACGACATTCAGGATAATTTATACTATTTATCAATATACAGCAGACGAAATAGATAAATATTAAGCAATTAGTTATTATATAAGCAATAAATAATCGCGACTATATTATTCTATGTACATTTCAGAATTTTGTCGGTAATGTTGCATCAAATAATGACAAAGGCTTACGATGAAATAATACGTACGAATCAAATCCTCAGCCCGTTGGAGCTTTTCTTGACAGAGCGCCACCTCGTCGGTCATCTGTTGATAATCGTTTTGACGACTTTCCAGCAATTTCTGAAGTTCATCCACTGCTTTTTGGACTTCTCGAAGTTTGGCTCGCTTTACTTCAACGCCAGAAATAGCGTAAGCATAGCTGGCTTTAGCTTTTGTTAAGGCGATCTTCTTTGGAGCCACAACTTTGGCCACTTTCTCGTACTCTGACACAGCGATGACCCATTTACATAGACCCTCGCATGCCGTCGAAGCATTACGAATTTTATCAGGATCGAAGTTTGGATTTGTTAGTATGGATGTGCGAATTTTCGTTATTATTCGCTCGGGAATATTGTCTTTGTTAAATGAGAGAAGACTGTCGAGGAACTTGATGTCACCTAAAACGCGCAACGATGGTTTCCAATAATCGTCCACCATTCTTCCAAGTTCTCCCTGTACCCGATCTGGTTTAACATCCTGCGATATTTTGTTTAAATCAACTATTGTTATCTAACTATTGTTATATGATATATAATTTGGGCATATAGACTTGTCTTTAGCGCGGATTTAAGGACTTTCTTTAATATTTGGCTATGCTCATTATTCACGAATCGCTAATAAATTTTACCAATACCAATTAATCATACTCATACAACTAATTGTACTTTAAACGTAAAAGTAATGTGAAAAATTAACCTTTAAAATGCAAATAGCTTCCATGACGAGCTTGACGCCAGCAGGAGGATTCTTCATAGCTTTAACAATTTGAATGTCTTGCGGAGTTAAGGTATTTAGCGCGTGATTAGCTGCATTCAAAATTGGCAAAACTTCCTTCAAATCTGCATTGCACTCGGCTTTAATGGCTTCCGCGGCATCAGCTACGGCCTGAAAAAATTGTTTCCAGTTCGCGCTCACGTTAAATTTAGCCGTGATATCAGGATAATAGTAAAAAAATTATTATAATTAAAATTTTCTTCTACCATTGCCGCTTCCTCGTCCTTTTTAACAATTTGTTCAATTTTCGCGGCTTCGGCTGTTTCTGTTTGAATAGTTTTCAATACTTTTTGAACATCTTTGGTAGCCTCGATTAACTTTGGCTGCAGTTCTATGAGATTTTTCTTCATTTTCTTAACTTCTATATGAGCATTATTAAGCGACTCTAAGCCAACTATAAATTTCTTTTTTCTCCCCAGGACTTCCTTGCGCTTCTGTTGCAATATCTTGATAAACGTATTAATCAATTCCAAATACGACGTGGGCGTTACGTAATTATGCCTCTTGGTGCGTGCAAAAAATTCTTTAGACACGTTTTGCGTCGATGTATGAAAAATCTGGCACATGTCGATGCAGGCTGATTTCTCGCTGGCCGAGAGCTCAATTTTATCTAAAAACTTAGTAGCTACGGCGGTCAATGCGTCCTCGGGCCACGGCTGCAGCCAATCTATAGTGCAGCAATTAACAAGGGCGGGAAATTTGCGAATTCTAACGCGAAATTTATCACCAATTGGCGACATGGATATTACGACGTGCAACTGGTCTTTAAGGATTTGAAGGAACATGTTGAAGAGAGCATTGGGAGTACCATCGGTTTGCTGAGATTTGTCACGCTGTCGATCAATCTGCCGCATCTTTTCGCAGATGTCAATTTTCTCATCCGAGGTAAATAAATTGGGCACTTCGCCGGAATTTAACAAATTGCTAATATCCTCAAGAAACGATTCCTCTTTTATTTGAACGTCGGTAAACAAGAAGACCACGTGCTGTTCAAACCAGGCTGTCTTGCATAAAATGTCCTTCAAATCGTCGTGCCATTCGGTAACGCCGTATGTCTTTGAGATTTCAATTTGAAATAAATCATAATCAGAGATATGAGCAGCCAAGCGCGTCAATGATTGACATCCAGAGCCGCCAACTGCAATAAGCAGAGCATGACTACTGGGTTGCATCAGAATTCGATTGATTTTCGAAAGATGTTCGATCGCAAATCTAGGAAATGCAAATAAAAACATAACATCTTTTATTATTTGAATTATTATTATGTCGATTTATTTGAATATTATATTATTAATTAATTAAAAAATATATTTAATCGAATTAGTTGAAAGTTTATAATAGAGCGTTTGGTAAATCGTCATAGAGAACTTACGCTGGGCTGCTTTCAAAATTACTTCACTTTAACAATTAAATTACAAGGGCCTTACCTAAAAAGTACTAGATTCATTGGTTTCTTAGAAACGGCATTATATTCTTCCAAATATTGGTCCACAACTGATGTCAATTTATCTATATTCGATACTTCCGAATATAGTTTCGTATCAGTATTAGGCTCTTGAAAATTGCAATATATTAGATTTCTCAATTCCAAGTCGGTAATCTATGACATATGCAATGCGTTTATTTAATATTACCATTTATTTGTAATTTATTGTTATTATTATCTGATTCAATGATGATATTACGGAATTAGATTCGCTAGCGAAATCCGAAAATAGTTCATCTAAATTCTCTTCCATTCTGTTTAACAATACATTACGAATGTTTTCAACTAGCCAAGTATTATCGGCATCGTCGACTAAACGATCGCCATATACTCTAAGTAATTCATGAACCCATAATCTTTTTAATTGTAGCTATAAATAAAAGAAATCCTTTTATTATTATAAGAATATTACAAAGAAACTTTTTTTTTTCTTTTTTTTTCTTTTTTTTTTGGTTTTGTTTTGTTTTGTTTTTTGTTTTGTTTTGTTTTTTTTTTCTTTTATGATCAATACATAAGGATGATAATTATGAATTAATTTCTGAAAAATTCTAATAAACTGTCTTATTGTATGTAATCATACGACACTTTCATTTAAAACAATTTAAAATAATAGAAAATGTCCCTGTATATAATGTATTATCTGAAAATCTAATGAAATTTATCGTATAATTTTCTACGAGATATATTGAAGTAGCTTTTTTTTGAGTTTCTAACGAAACAGATTGTTTTTAAAAATTCTTGACAAATTAACTCGATACAATTATCTAAGGATAAATGTTACCAGATTGCCTGTCGATGCTGGGCTTGACAATAATATTCCTTGAATAACTCTTGAGAAATCTCGGAGATTGAATAAGTAATGGGATTTCGTAGGAGTTGGTAAAAGAAACTTCAAAGCGTCTTTATAGACATCCAAAGTCCCTCGAACGATCTCGTCAATGTAGCTTTGAAAAATTTCGGGAAAATTTTGAGCATCAATGTGCCAGGCAAGAATTTTACTGAATATTGTAACCATAACATCATCTTCGAATTCTGATATACATAATGTGAAGAAATGCCGCTTAAATCGCGGCGTCACGTCCTTTCCACTAGAAGGTGGAAGCATCGCACATATTGGCTGCATATTTACAAGTCGCGTTGGCACCAGATTTTTACGATCATACCAATTACTGTGATCCAACCATTGCCGAAGCAATTCGATTGGTGGTTGCGCTCCATATTCTTCTTTTTGTGAAATAGAAACATCGTCCACGAAAATTACCCAAAATTGGTCTGTAAAATTAAAATGCAAAATTTCAATTTTATTTCTATTTTCGCTCTTAGTTTTAATAAAATAGCATTTTAAAAGAATTATTATAAAAAAATTCATTTAACGTCATTGTAATTCTTCGTCGAATGATTAATTAATAAATTAACGAGTGAATTATTATAGTGGATGGAAGAACAGGCGCTTTCAGAAATGACATATATATTTATTTATATGTTTAATGTAAAAAATATTGAAATTAAAATACGACAAATTCAATGTTGAAGGGATTACTTACTGTACATCTTTACATTATTTACATTTTAAAAATATTTTATATTCTTAAATCTTATAATTCTTCAATTTATATTTTATAATTTATAATTTTTATACTTTACAATTTCATAAATTTCAATATTATATCTTATAATTGTAAAATTATTATCGATATTCCGGTCATTATCGTTTGTATCCAATTATTGCAATTAAATTTTTATTTAATTTTTTTATTTAATGTCAGGCATGTGGACAGGCAGAGTATGCATTCTCGTTATATCATATTAATTATACGGAAAGGTTAAACAGAGAGTTAACGTGGTCATTAATTAAAACACTCGAGAAACGCCGCGCCCAACGTTTAAAAATAAATATGTAATTAATCGATAAGACGTTCATTGAAATATAAGTGACTAACAAGGCTTTCGCGATCGCTAGTTATTTACTTAATATCAATACTTGGTATTTTGTTTACAATTCATACGTCATTTTGAATTTGATCGTTCTATTATAAATGAAATTTTCTAAACATCTTATTGTACATTAGCTATTATGATCATTCTATATAAGTAATGCCCACGATAATTACCTACTCAAGTAAAAATACTATTAATTTCATCTAAATTTTAAATATAAAATAACACTTAAATTTAATTTTAATATGACATTGTATAATGAAAAAAGTGAAAGAGAAGCGTTTACAGATATATGAGAGTTATCATTTAGATATCGACAATTCGGTAAATGTACATTAATTTTCCAATATTCTCGTTAGTCGGTAACTTAATGTTAAAAATTCGTTAGTTATCCTTAAATCGTCTATAACCAGAAATAATTGTTTTTTCTTTTTCTTTATTTCTTTCTTACTTTGAGAATAATATTCAAAACACGAACTGTTTTATATTTCGCGATTCTATTGTTAACAATAAACGTAAAATATCTTGGCTTAAAAAATTACAAAAGAGATTTCTTTTTAAAAGAAAAAAGAGATATTGGTTTTAGAGAATGTAATATATCTGTTTGATGATGGGTTGTAACGTGCCAATTACTTTTATCACATGCGTACCCTTCATTGCGATTTCATTGTTCGTTTAAATGAATTGAAATCTCAGTTTTTTTTTACGGCATTGCCTCATTTTTATTTACTTTCAATTTCGAAAATGAAGAGAAAGAAAGTGCATGCAATAGTGAGAGCAAGGGTGAGAATGAGGGTGAAGATTGAGAGTGAGAGTGAGTTTGTGTGTGTGTGTGTGTGTGTGTGTGTGTGTGTGTGTGTGTGTGCGCGCGCGCGCGCGCGCGCGAAAGACAGAGACAACGAGAAGGTCAATATATAATAGAACAAAAGTTCTTTATTCTTTGAATAAAAAAAAAAAAAAAAACAATTTAATTTTATATTTTTACATATATTCGATAATTTTTTAGTCGGTAAAAGTTGGCAAATATCATAGTATGACATTTCAATTAATGATATTATTATATTATAAGAAAGCTTACGATATTTGCATAAATTTTGACTTATAATATATAAAATTACGCATACAAATATAATAATAAACGGTAAATAATGCGTTAAATAATTGGAAAAAAAAAAATTCTTACCAGGAGGAGCTCCGTAAACTGATTTTCTTATTTTATCCAATTTGCTCATTATTATATCTTGTATTTGATTTGCCGTCGTTTGCGCAGAAAATGTTATAAATAATGTTTTATAAACATCTGGATTAATTTTATTCAGTAAAAAGTCTTTAATATAAGCAGATTTTCCAGTTCCAGTTGGACCAACTAGAAGTACTGGTTTTTGGTGACAAACGAGCATTTTAAATAAGTAGAAATAGCGAACTGTTTCAATGGTCGAAATAATAATTTGATTAACTGGTATATCGCGAGGAATTGGTGGATCATTAAGAAGATCATCCGTCCATAATACCCACTTTCCTTTTCCCTCTTTAATGAATTTATAATCATGTACGAGTCCTTCGGCGGGAATGCTATTCACATACGATTTTGTGGGATTTACTATTGTATCGGGCAAGAAGAATAATTCCTTGACATCCGAAGGTAGCTCATTTTCAATTAAACCACGAAATAATATATCAAATTTCGATCGATATGATACGAAAATTGTACTGCTCATTGCCCAAATACAAGAAAAGAAAAAGCAACCCTAAAAATGATCAAATTACGATATTTTATAAATAATACTGTATTATTATTAATACAAATACATTTTACGTACCTCAATTTGACCTCTTATATCTAAATCCGAATTATTTTCAATATACGATACATTTTTAAAATCATCGCTGAAGCAATCGAAAAAATACATTACAGAGCGCACTAAGTTCGCGTCTGGCATACTTATGATTTCCTAACAAAAATGTATACACTTAAAAATTTATTTAAACAACTATACCTATTAATATAGGCATTTTTACTCAATATAATTTCTACCCGTGCATTTATCTAATTATAAAAACATTGTAATATTATGAAAGCGTTGTTATTTATTTTTTAATTTATAATTAATGTTTGTATGATATACGTTACCTTAACGTCACAACGATGAATGAAGTGTAATATAGCTGAACAAAATCGAAGAAACATATCCTTCAAATGGTTCTTTATATGGCCACTTAAAGTCTTTGGTAAAACGTGAAACCATGATTGTAAAAGTGGTTCCCAGCCTAGAGAAACGGGCTCCATATAAATCATGCCACATCTTGATACCGTTGCAGGCGATGCTACCTAAATAAATTATTTTACCAAACCATTAAATTTCAGTCCAAAAATTTTTCCCTCCGAATTACTTACTCTTATCATTTTTAACACCAAACACATTATATAAGATTACATATACATTTCATATACGTATATGGGTGCGTTCGTGTGCGTGCACGCGTCTAAATATACTCAATATACGTAATAAATTAATAATAGACGTATATGTATTAATTCAATAAATCAATAATACTTGTATTGGAAGTGTATTAAAAAAGAAAGCGGTATACGGCTATCAATGAGCACAAAACAAAACAATACAAAACAAAAACAAAAACAAAAACAAAAACAAAAACAAAAACAAAAACAAAAACAAAAACAAAAACAAAACAAAAACAAAAAAACAAAAACAAAAACAAAGACAAAGACAAAGACAAAGACAAAGACAAAAACAAAGACAAAACAAAGTACAACAAAGACAAAACAATACAAAACAAAACAAAACAAAGTACAACAAAAACAAAAACAAAACAAAACAAAGACAAAACAAAAACAAAAACAGTTGATAAAGGGTCTTAAATAAACTCGGTCAAAACTCTAATTAAATAAACAGGCTAATAATGTAGGCTAATTCACTTGAATGGCGCATTAGCTATTATTGCACACTGTCACCTCTAACCCATTTGCCTATAATTGTGTAACCAGAATCAATGAATAATGTGCGATGGTCGTAGCTAGTCTCTACAGAATTTTTACCAAAATATTAGATGCGTTTGCATTTTAATTCTGAATTCTTGTCTTACTGCTCTAACTGGTAACTTGGTTTCGCGTTAATAATAAGCAATGCTTGCTCGAGTTACTCGAATAATTGGTTATTTACATACAATGGACAATAGTAATGGACATTTTTCAAATAATTTGTTAAGTATTATAAATACATCTCTTTAGAAATGTTTCAAAAAAAAAAAATAAATAAATAAATAAAATAAAAAATAAATAAATAAATAAATAAATAAATACATGGTTTTATAAGTTTTATTTCAAGGATTTTCTAGACGATTATATGAATTTTGAATTAATTAAAAGTTTCTTTATTATCCAAATATACTGCTATTATATAGCGGGTGGTAAAATATTAAGCTATCATACGTAAAATCAATAAGGGCTTAAAATTTACTATTAAAATATACTATTATTTTCAATTTAGAATTTTTAACAACCAACTATCAACACTTTTTTCGAAGATATTTACTCGAAATTTCGTTATAAATATATATATATATATTATTTTTAATGTAATATCATTTACATATATAGAGAATAAAAAAAAATTCTTTAAGTTTAATACGTTTCAGAATTTGCTCGAAGAATATTTAAACTCTAATAAATAATTCAATCGCTAATAAATATTTTCGAACATACTGTTTCTTCTTATTCGTAAAGAATATAATTTGATTGAAAAAATTATAGGCACATAAATAGTTTTAAAAGAATAATCCTATGTTTATTTTAAATAAGTAATGAAAGAATTCAATAACTTATATATATTTATAAGTTCAAGCTTAAATAAATGTCAATTGTTTGTTCAAAAAGCAACAAAAATCAAAATATTCAAAAGAATGTATGTATAAATTCTTGTAAAACTAAATACTTTTTTTTCTCTCTGAAACTAAATAAAAATGTACTCACTTCAAGATCCATTGGTTCGAAAATTAAATTCGTGGTTGATGCCAATTGAATAATTTCCCCAGACATGAGACATAATTTCTTATTATCATCCAATACTGTGTTCATATTCTCAATCCAAATAGCATCGACAGGGCCGTCAAATATCAACCATTTTCTATTTGCATTTTGAGACGTAGCAAAGGCTCTGTAACTAACGGCTAAAATTCCATCTTTCCATTCGTGGGAAGCAGGATCAAATTGCCCATAGAGTTGGCCCATAGTTATGGATTTCGGATTGATAACAGTTATTTCGACGCGATGCTCATCCATCAAACCCTTCTCTTCGAGTATACGCAGGGCATCAGCGAGTATTCGATAGGCCGAGGTTTTCCCACCAAATGGCAAACCGACGATCATGAAGCCGTGCCTGACTATCATCATTTCATATATTTCCTGAATTTTTTTCAGAAAGAAGTCTGTGCACTGAAGATTAGCTGCGATACAAGCCTCTTTTACGCAAGCATTTAAATATGTATAGTCGGGATCAGGCAATTTGACATTTGGAAACAAATCCGAAGCAATACCTGCAGATTGGCAACAAAAAAAAAACCACGCACATATATATATATATATATCGATCATATGTAGATCGATAGATAAATACCTCGGAATAATGGCAAATCTTGGCTAAGAAATTTCGGTAAATTAACATCGTTGATACTTCTTAGTAGTAGTATGTCTTCGGATTCTTCTGGATATCTCAATTTCAAATTTCCTGCTGCAACTAGAACAGACTTCACTGCTCTCATGCCATAATCGTAATGACATTGACTACTTAGTTGCTCCGAACAAAGTTTATAAGCCGTAACAATTTTAATCGACAGTGGTCGACCATTGTAAAACCCATATGAGTATAGAGTATTTTCAGATATAAGAGCATAATCTGGCACCATCATAGCTACAGATCTAAATAAAGCTTTCAAATTATCTGGCAACTCTGATCTTCCTGCATATCCTGGATTCATAGTAATAAAGACAGCACAACTTGGATCCAATGAAATTTCTGTGCCTTCAAAGAACATCTTATCGTGTCCCGAGTTTATTCCTCGTTGAATTGTCAGAATTTGTTGAGCGACGACAGAAAGTACCTCAAGATCAATACGGTTGAATTCATCAAAGCAAGACCAAGCTCCACAAGAAGCCAATCCCTTGAAGAATTTACCCAAAGCGATATAATCTAAACCGTCGGAGCAATTAAATACGACGCACTGCTTGGCCACAGCCTTAGCCAAATCTTTCGTAGTTTCGGTCTTTCCGGTACCAGCTGGGCCTTCGGGCGCACCTCCCAAATGTAAACTTAAGGCACCAAAAAGCGTACGATAGCACCTATCGGTCAAAGGAGTTATAACGAGACGTCCGGTATTACCCAGGTACTCATACCCGTAACCCAGGTGTGAATTTATCATGTACGTCCACATATTATCATCTTCCTGAAATTAATAATAATAAGATTATGATGATTAGATTTTTCAATTTTGTTCTAATAATGTTAATATTCTCAATCACGTGGTACAATTGCAATTTAATATTTTAATTGCATCATTGTAGATTATGATAGTAAAGTGTAATAAATTAAATTAAAAAAAATAATATACATATATATATATATATATACCAGGTATATTCATTTTGTTTTATGAAAAATACTAAATAACTGTTTCATTTATATATTTCATAATTTGGATTTTAAAATTGACACTTAATAAATGAGCATTTCCCAACCCGATTTAAATATTCCAATTCAATAAGTAAATAAATAAATAACTTAACTTCACACGCCAATTCAAAGGGAATTTAAACAAGATATTAATTCTATATTTCGTTAAAATTTTATCTTTTTTTATTTAACATATATCTTAAATCATAATCTTAACATTGATTTATTCCAAATTATCATGATTTACTATGGAATTCTTATATTTTTAAAAGCTTATTCACCCAATTATAAAATATATAATGATTTTTTGATCTTTTTAAAATTTTTAAATGAATAATTATGCTTTTATCCGAATGCAATGGTGCTCGATTATTAATGACTTATTAATTTATAATGACGACGCCCATATCGGATATCGTCCGATTAATTAAGTTTAAAAAAAAAAAAAAAAAATGAAATTATAAATATTCTTTACCATCCAATAATATCTAAGTTGAGAAAGCCAGTTAAAATCATTACTATCTACAACATTGTTGTTGCATAAGTCAAGAAGAACATCTTTACCATGAACATCTAATGTTACCAGTGCCTCTAAAAATAATAATTTATACTGATTAGTACTTCGGATTACATGATTCTTTTAATAAATCTAACTTTAAGATTATTTATTTACTTATTTATTTATTTTTTAATTTTTTTTTTTTTTTTTTAAAGTTTGTTAAAAATACGTAATTATTAATGATAATGGAGAGACAATTCATTATAAGACCCATTATATATGTACTATTATTAAAAAATTATATAAATTCGCGATTTTTATCTTACTTTTATTGGTGAAATTATTCTATTTTACAGTTTTTATCTCAAAATATAGCCTCGATATGTACAAGATAATGTTTTTTTTTTTTTTTGTATGAAATATGAAATACCATCTTAAATATTTTAAAGCGAATTGATTTCTTTGCAGTTACAACGTGTTTGTTGTAATGAAAAGTGCAAATGCATAAATGAATCGTATGCCTGACCCACCTAGGGTAACTCGATTCTGCTTGGATAGTTTCCCTCGTATGATCAATATGATGTCATGGAGCTCCTGCTGGCACTGTTGGTAGTACCTCTTGAGTCCTTCGAGGCCCTCCTCCCTCATAGCCTGCTCGATTTGTAAGGTCCAAAAGAGCTGGCCGACACAGAGGACCGTTTGTCCGGGCCATTCGAGAACCCAAACTGTTCGCGGCTTCGTCGGATAAGCGTCGATGGCCTTATTCACTCTGTCCTTTATGCTCTTTTTCATGCCAATTTCAAGGTCGATGAGCCACTTCTCTACCTGACCGCGTGCCGCTACCGTCGAGATTATGTCGCAGAGGGGCACCAACTCACCCTCCGACGAGCCCATCTCGTACACGTTCAGGTCGTCGTCGAACGTCAGTTTGGCGATACCCTCGAAGCACTTTTTCAAGTGGGGCTGAACTCTGTAGAAATACGCCAAGTTATAGGAATTGTAGGAATCGTTTTCCGATAAAATTGCAGTTGTTAAGTCAAATTAAGTTAATTAAGTTAAGTAAATGCGAAGCCACTAAAATCAACTCCCATATTAAATGCTGTGATTAGTAATTTGTAAATGATTCGATAAGCAACAATGATTGACAAAATTTACCGATAGAGCTCGAATGTTTTCCAAATGCAAAAAAAATTAATCAAAATGTCTATTTGTGTCATTTGATTGCGAATAATAAATAATATATGCTATATCTAATATGCTATATATAATACAGTTTATTGTTATTGAAAAATTATTCTATGGGAGATGATAATGGATGGACTATTTGATGTGGTAGCAAATAAAATATAGCCAGTAGTTCCAACTACTAACTATAAAGTATATATTATAATCATTATGCGTTTGTACTTTTTCTTTTTTTTTTTGCTTTTTTTTTTTCAATTTTGTTCCGCCATTATAGCACTGTTGCAATATCAAAATGTATCGACATAAAGAACAAACAGTAAAAGCTCTATCGAACGAATAATGATTATGAAGAATGAAAAAATCGTATTTGAATGCTCGGTAAGCCTCGTGAATTTTATTTTTACAAATTTATCATTAGTGTAAGTAAGAAACAATATATAAGATGAGTCGAATTTCTTATAATAAATACAAATTAGTGAAATATCAGGCGCTCGTGTACTCGTGTAATGTTTAAAATTAAAAATCAAAGGACATACCGTGTTGGATCTCTAGTTTCCGATAAAATCTCCAATAATTCATCATTCGATAAGAAAAAAAATCTTGGAAATATGAGACGTTTCTTTTCCAAATATGCGTTGAGACCTTTTTGAATTAATTCGAGCAAAGCATAATTCTTCTTTAACCTTTCCAAAAGTTTCTCAATCTCGATAACCGCTAAGACACGCGGATTGTTTAAAATATTTTTCATTATGTCTTTCCACGACTTGTCAACGACGGAGAACTTTTTTCCTTCCTCCGGCATTTGTTGCTGTATGTCCGGCGATGAGAAAATTGGCTCGAGATACATCCAGGTACTTTGAACAGCTAGCCACTGATCAAGTATACTTTGTAGCAAAGAAAGTTTTCTCTCCCAAGCTCTACATACGAATGTAAAAGAAAATCGTTTTATTATTCAAGTGGTATGAACCAGAAAAAAAAAAAAGGACACTTCATTTTATGTCGTTACATTTAATATAAAGTTATTATTATTAAACATTTGCGTTGCATTGTAAAGTATACCGTGGATTATTCTGCATTAATTGCAACTAAATCTTTAATAATAATCTTACTTATGTGTTGAATTAGAATTGAGAAAAATTACAAAATTTGCTCCTCAAATGGTTTCATATATAATGAATTCTTCATGATCATGGATTTCATAATATGATCGTCGAGCGTCAATTGAATATCGTCAACTGCAGAAACAACATAAGATCCGCTATCTTTATAAGGGCTTAGGGTAAAATTCACATCGACCCAATTTTTCTCCATCTTTATTAAAGTTTTTTCTAAAGTATTTTCTTTGGACGCTGATTCGGCAATACTCTCAAAATTTTCAATGAAACCGTCAAGATTCATGTCCAAGACTCTTTTAAGCGTCATACTCTCGTCAACTTTAATTTTAAATCCTACAATCTCCGATATTTCCTGCCAATGTCGTTCTTTCAGTCCAGGATTTCCTAGAGTCATTATTATGGGCATACGATGCTTAAAATCTTCCATTTTCGTGCGAATGCTTATTGCGAGTCGTTTTGGCGCAGTTTCGGAAAAGGTTTTCTCAAGTTTGAATATTGTTCTGAAATTTATATTTAGCATTGAATAAATTGCCTAATTAAATTATTTTCAACGTCTTTTCTAAAATAACAAATAACAAACAATAATAACTTATATTGTATGGAGTTTTTATTTTACAACGAGACTATTTCAACGCCAAATATTCGTTTCAAATATTATAATGTTAATGCTAATTTGAGACAATAATTCAAATATAATAGGAGGTTTAAACACCTGAAACCTGCAGATACGTCGTTCTCAATTTCTTCAGGATCGTACGAGCCAATGGTCGATGTCGTCCACTTTTCATATTTCGATAAAAAGTCACAGCCGCTATCGTACAATTTTTTATACGGGGCTAAACGTTGAGCGATCTGTCTTCTTAAAGGATATTGCGTAGTTTTCCACTGGTATGCAGTTTCTTCTTCATTAAATTTATCAATTTTTTCCATAGCGCTTATCAGTTTATTATCTAAATTTTGTGCCTTTCTCTGATATCGGAATATGTCTTCAATGTCTCCAAAATATTGATATTCTTCGACATGCTTAGCTTGGTTATCTAACTCCTTGTTAAACTTCAGATACCTTGCTTCATTATCAATGATAATTATTGTTTATAATTATACACGCGTTTAATTAGCTTAATTATCTATAACTTTTCATTTACCTTTAAGTGACTCTTGAAATTCTTGGGTTTTCTTTTCAATAAACAGCTTATTCTTCTCTACAATTTCTGACATCTTATAATACCATTGAAACGCTGTATTATTGTTGCGAATTTCATCATTAGTTAGGAGCCAATAATTCGATAAAAATACTATATTTTCAAGAACATCGTACAGTTGTTCTTCTAACAGTTTCAAAGTATAATTCTCAACGTTTTTCATAAAATCAATCATGTCCATTAATGCTGCAGTATTTTGCGGAAAGCTATTAGCATATTCTGCTATCGATTCATACTCCGTAATAATGCTAAAGGTAGATGCAATCACTATTAATATCTTTGAATATTAAATAATTAAATACTTAAAACTTTTCAGACATCATGATTATTACGTTTTTACTTTTTGTTGATATTGGGAAACTAATACATTAAGCAACATATCCTTTAAATGGATAATATTATTAATTACTGTTTCTAAGAACTCCTTTCGATTCACTTCAAATAAGGTCGTAAGAATGGATGTATCATTGTCGATGAAAATTCTATTTTGAAGATTATAATAATAATCAATCAATTCTTCATACTCTGAGAAAGTATTTTTTTCATTTTCTATGAAATCTGTCACTTTTGCCAATTCTTGACCGTCAAAGAATTTCCTATACCTTGATAAAGTTTATATATATATGCATAAATTTATATTAAAATTGTATTTACATTAAAATGGTTCAAATGATTTCACAATTAAATGTATTTTATTTCATTATTTTAATATTTCTTCTTTTTTTTTTTTTTTTTTAATACATACTTTTCAAGTTCTTCTATAGTTGACATAGGAATAAGGGTTTGTTCTTGAATCAATTCAGCGATTTGTTGTTTATAATCGTCAATAATATTGTAAGAGATACTTGGCTATAAAAGTTAATGAATAATCAAGTACTTTTATACGTAATTTTATTTATCTTACATGTATAATACAAAATTCATTAATAATGGTAAAATATTAGAAATAAATATATATTCATCATTCGTTAAAAATGAAAATAATCGAAAATATACAAATATATAATAAATAATTAAAGGGATTGAGATGATGGTTTTAATAAAATTTATTTAATTTAATTATTAAAATTTAATATATATATATATATATATATATATATATATATATATATATATATACATAGATGATAATAATAATAATTCCATATAATATTGTAGTGTACCTTGAGGAAAGTTTGAGGGCCGGACCAGTCGAGAAAAAGCTGAGTTTCAAGTTTTTCAAAAACCATTGTTGCATCACTCATTACGTTTAGAACGTTACCAATAATGTTTTTATAATATTGAAAAGGTGGATCGAAGTATATTTCGTTAGATTTAACGATAACATTAATCTTATAGGTGTTACTAGATTGCTATTAAAAATTAAAAATTTTTTAAAAAAAGTATATGATTTAAAATATAAATATAAATTACCTGTACGTTAAAAATGTAGTTTAGAAAATCCTGAAGGCTGCGTTTGAACAATGACAAAAGTTGCGATTCCATTAATTTAGCAATACAGTTAAAAAAACAAATAAATTTTTTATGGTTAAGAGGACTAGGTACCAAATTTTTTCTGCTATTCTAAAACGTATTAAAGAATTTAAAATTTTATACGTTCACAAGCTAAAAACAAAAACTACGTATACAGATTCATTTCATAACAATTCTAAATTACAAATAATTTTACATTATTAATAATTAAACGATTTTATAATATTTAATTGAAATTGAAACAAAAAAATTATAAACAATAATTATAATAAATCGTTAGTCTTATTATATATGCTTACTATTAAAAATATTTCTTGTATACCGCCAAACCAATGAATTTTTAAATATTTTATAGCCGTGTGAACTTGTTTATCGATGGTACTCTGAAAATCCATTAAATCCCATGGTCCCGAATGCTCTTTTATCTCTTGAATATTAATTAATCGAAAATCACTGCCAAAAATAATTGATTATTGTATAATGGAATATTAAATTGCTTTAAAGAAAAATAAAATTATCACTTAAAATCTTGGTTCCAAAAACTCCAAGAAAACTTCATACATGGATTAATTAAATTTAAATTTTGCTTAATATTTGCCTTACGATGAATGAAATATCTCGAAAAATTATGTGGAAATTGTTGTTTAAGACGAGTAATTAATAGCGTCGGCTATATAAAATAAGACAATACCAAATATAGCACATATTTTTAAAAAAATATGATTCGTTTATTTTATAGTTCACCATTGATTCGTGTTTTGATCGGTTTTGAAAAGCAAAATCAATAGTCAATCTCTTTAATGTCAATAAATACTCCTCTTTAATTTCACTTAGTAGCTCTTCCACTAATTGATGAAATGACTCTTTGTGCTTCTTGGAAATTAATAATAAAATATTTTTTATAATAATTCGATCTATCGGAGTGATATATATCGTATTCAATCCATTTTGAATATAATAATGAAACCGAGATGTATCTTTATCTTGAATAATATTTGATTGCTCCTTGGTGTCTAATTCGGGCTTTATAATTAAATTAATAATACGTCTTCTGAATTCTACTTTTTTTACGCGCATCGTTGTGAATTTAAGTCGTGGATCTACGTCGTTATATTTTATTTTTGCATCGCTTACTTTCTTTCTCTTAAAAGAACATTCATCAAATATTTCTGATGAAACAGAAATTTCATTCGTATCAACTGCGCTAGTCGTTGATTGCAAGGATTTGAGCAACTCGTGTGATGTTCTATTTGTTGTTGCTGACAATATATCAATTGAATGATCTAAAAATTCTCTTTTCGACATAATGATGTAAATTGAAGATCTGGTGCCAATATTAAATGCCCATAATTATTATAAATAAATTTAATCTAATGATTAGTTAAATCGAATCAATATTATAACTTACAAATTGTGTGATAGATTATATTTAATAATTTGATATTAAATGATAAAGATATTCTCGATCATTCTTCGAGCACTTTTATAATATTTTCCTTTCAATTCCTCATCGATTCATAATTTTACTTAACATTCTACAACAATATTAACTTGTTTGCTTTACCTCAGTTATTGCGCAGTTGGCTCAACCTATATATATATATATATATATATATATATATATATATATATATATATATATATATATATATATATATATATATTATATTAAATTCAATAATAAATTTTATCAATCTTATTTAATAGAGAGCAATTTATGAGTATATATTTTTTATATTGAGAAGATATTAGTTTGTGCGGTTGTTTAGCCTAACTTTTTTGTACAAAAATTACAATCGTCATTCTCTTTGTACAATTAAATAGAATCGCGAATTCGTTTCTTTCTTTCTTTCTTTCTTTTATTGTTTTCACTACATTAGTCTACTAATACATTGAAAATGTACGTGCAAAGAATGTTTAATTCTTTTCAATGATTTTATTTCATTATTCCCTTTCTTCCTTTCTCTCGAATTTTATATATATAATTTTCTTTTTTTTCCTTTTTTTTTTCTTATCAATTTAAAATTAAATTAAAAGTACATTATCGAAGATTTCAGAAAATTAACTTCACAAACCCATATAAATTACATTTGTTAATTTCAATAAATTACTATTTTATCCGATGTGTTTGAATAATTTGAAATTACTAATTTAAAAAATTTTATAGAATTTTATAGAAATTTTATAGAAAAATACATTTACAAAATTATTCCAAGTCCCATATTAGTTTTTGGTATTTTATTTTTAAAATAAATATAACTTCATAGTTTATATTTATTCATATTTATTAAGTATTGATTTTATTTGTGTATTTGAAGGAAGTGATTATGATGAGTTATTTATCAAATACCGATAAATGATTTAATCGTTAAAAATATTGTGAAGAGCAAAATTTTTACTAAATATTGTGAAGGCATAATTATTATAGTTGTTAATTAATTATAATTATAACAAATTATCTATGTAAGATAAAAGCTTAAAAATGACTTGATTATTTAATAAAACTGTAACGTTTCAGCATTTGTTAAAAATTATCTTCTATAATAAACATAGATAGATTATGAGTGAGAGTGGTTTGAGAATGAAAAGGAATTTATATTATGTCAATTTTTTTTTTTTTTTATTTTTTTTTTTCACAAACTTGACTCAATTGTTATAGGAATTTGGTAAAATTAATTACACTATAAGTACAAAAATAATAATTTGAGAAAGCTTCCGTACAGTTAATTAATCTCTTGTGTATAACGTAATTATATAAACATTATCTGTAATTTTCAAAAAGAATTTTCTACAAATTTCACTATTACAATAGAATGTTAAAATAGTATTATGTAAAAGTAACTTCTTTTTCTCAAAATAACAAACGTCATTAAACAATTAATAATGAGTCTCATTACTACGTAATACTTGATTTACGAAGAATCGTAATTTTTAATTTGAATAGACGAATGAAGCTGGTGAGATAATGAGATTATTAAAAATCTCCCTTAGAGGCAATAAAGTATTGTATTAAGGCAGCTGCATACCTATAAGTGTTTTTATGTTATACGATGTAGACGATGCTGTTGAGAGGCAGAGGGCTTTTATATTTCTAGTCAGCGGTTTTACACAAGATTAAAATCTTCATAAATAATATAAAGTTGATCTAATATCATAATAAGCGCCCCCCCCTTATATTTCTGATATTATATGTGAGTTGCTAATTGATATTAAAAAATTTGTCTTTCAACAACTTTGTGGTTAGAATTCTTTAACAATTCTGAGACACGAAGATTGTGTAAATGTAAGTACTGAAGAGAGTTCCAATTGACCATTGTTTCTAAGCAACCTAACCGATCGATTTTTAAGATTTATATTCTATAAACTACATAGACTTATGTACAATAATATTAATGACATTGCATTGATACATAAATTCTTTATTGCTTCGTAAATGATAATTTTTAGGTTAACTTTAGTAATCACATCTTAGATTCTTAATATTCGTTTTACAGTTGAATATATTTATAAACACATTTTAAAGTATATTGTATTGTAAAAAAAAATTACAGATGCATTTTCAACGTATAATTCGTCTTATAAGCACAAGTAGTATTGCTAAACAATCAAGTAACAAATCTCCCTTAGCAAGTTTACGAAAGAAGACAGGTTATACATTTTCGAATTGTAAAAAAGCATTAGAGCTCAATGAAAATGATTTAGAAAAGGTTTAATGAGTGCTCATTTTTAATGTAATATAATTATATTAATGCTACTAAATTTGAATGACGGATTTCTATTATTTTAGGCAGAAAGTTGGTTAAAGATACAAGCGCAAGAATTAGGATGGTCAAAGGCTGCACAAGTACAAAATAGAGTAACAAGTCAAGGTCTCGTGTCTTTAATTATTGATAAATCCTATGGTGCAATTGTTGAAATCAATTGTGAAACAGACTTTGTATCTCGTAATAAACAATTTCAAGAATTAAGTCAAACTGTAGTATCGGCGGTACTGCAGCATAGTAAAACTATAATAAATGAAACTTCGTTTAATAAAATAATTTTGGATTCTGATAAATTGAAAGCATTATCTGGACCTGATGGAATATCTATTGCAGATCATACTGCTTTAATGATTGGTCAAATCAGAGAAAATATAAATATAAAACGTGCTTTAGCCATCAGTGTACCGTCTGACATTTTATTAATTGGGAGTACTCATCCATTTTCATCGAATAATAATGTTTTATATGGTAAATATGGTGTACTATTGGCTTTTAAAAGTAAAGCTTTAGAAATGCAGCAAGAAATTGGAGAGAATTTATGTCAACATATAATTGGTAAGATAATAATTTTTTTTCAATTCAACAGTTTATTTAATATATTTTGCTTAGCTGCGTGCAATTTTATTTAAAGGTATGAATCCTTTGAAAATTGGCGAGCCAGAGATAGATCAAGCCAATCCAAATCCAGAAGATGAGACTACGCTAATTCATCAAGAGTACCTCCTTGATCATTCTCTAACTGTTCGAGAATACTTAGAGGACACAGGAACGCACATTTTAGATTTTATAAGATTTGAAATGGGAGAAATAGCTGAGGGACAACAAAACTTAGATGCTGTAGAAACTGGAGGATAAATAAATAAGGATAGTAATTCCAATTGCTTGAATCCATTAAACATGAATACATCAACAAGATCTTTCATTGTAAGATTACAATTAATAATTGAATAGACTTATAAATGAATTTATTAAAAATATTATTATAATTATTATAAAGATTAAATATATATCATTTTCTTTTTAAATACATTTAAAGTTTTGTATTTGATACAAACTTTAATTATATAAATTGTAAATGTTTAATTACTTTGATCAGAAATTATAATAGATTCAATTTCATTTTGTTTAGCATATTTAACTGATTTCCAAAGCCACTTTCTACAATCCTTTTTCCAGAAACGTGCAATTTCTTCGTGTGAATGCTTATTACCCTAGAAATGATTTTTATTGCCATCATTAATAATATTACATTGATAATTAAAAAATAGTTTTAAATTCAAATAAAAAGAACCTGAAAATTTAGTATCTCCGATCCCTGAATGATTATTTGCTTGGTAGTAATGTCTTGAGTTTTTATACCATAACGAAGAAGAGAATTATCAAACTGATTATAAATATCATAATCTTGCATTATGTTAGGGACAAAATTTGTATCAATATCATCAATGTCATCATTATCATCTGCTAAATTTAAATTCTCTAATGTTGATATAACTTTCCTTGGCATATTACAATTTTCCAAAGATATCTGGATGCCTTGATTTCGATAATTACAGTCCCCGATTGCATTGATGCTCACACTACTTTTAGATTTTTCAAGAACATTTCTCCTTGTCCAAGAGAAGCTGTCAACTGATTATTGTACACCTTATTATATAACTATATTCATAATTATATTGATGAATATTTTAATTGAAATTAATTACTTTTAGAATCCTCTTCATCATCTTGACGCTCCATTGATTTTGGCTCATAATTTTTATTTTTACTAAAAAATTCAAACTTCTTACTCTTTTTGGATCTGTCAAAAAAGCTTATAACCTTTGAAAACATGAAAATTGAATTTCTTTTATTTTAAATCAATTTAATTATAATTTTAAAACAAAAATATGTATAAAATTTAAGAATAATTTTATGTACATGTTTATAATAAAAAATCATTAAACTACAAATTGGATGAAATGATAAAAATATTTTTCAAAATAGCTAAACTAACAAAAATGAAAGTTCAATTCTCAATTTACCATTTAGTCAAACAATTATTTTAACTATAATCTATAAACAAATTTATATCAATTGAAAATCAATTGCAAACTAAATACCACATTACTTTTGTGCAAAAACATTGCTTAATTTTTAATCCAATTTGATCAATTACAATACAATTTATTACATATAAACATAAACATTAGCATTTAATTTCAATTATTATTTATTGGAATATCTGATAGGTCCTATTACTAGTATTACAAAGTACTAATACTACTTTTAACTGACTAATGATTAATACTTAAATACATTTCCTCAAAGCAGAAGACATTTAATATAAAGCAGCTTCTTACAACATTATGTAATTAATTTATTATATTACTTCAATCATAATATACAAATTGAATATATTATATATGCTTATAATAGTAAAATTTATGACTTCCATTATCTAATATAACATATGATTGACAATTGATCGTATGTATAAACTGTGTTTATAAATAAAAAAAATTCATGGGGAATTATAAAAAGTTTATAATGTTTATAAGTGTTTAATATCATTTCATCTAAACTCGCAAAATTTATTAGGGTTGATGTAATGTAAAAATGTAATTTTTAATTTTTTATAATTAAATTAAAATGATTTTAATATTCTATATGAATATCAATGTTGATTTTTTTTTTTATTATAATACTATATTTTTCGTTTAAAAATAAAAATTTCAAAACTTTATAAAAATTAAATTATCAACATTAATATTACTATATAAAAGGAAATCTGCCTGGTATAATGTAAGTATAAAAATGCAATTTTTTCAACATCATTACAAAAATTTTAATCGTGGTAATTATATAATGGTGTGTTATTAATTTTTATAAAAACTTTAATTGATATAAAAATGATAATTGTCCTATTTTTCTAAAAGCTCATTCTATCAATTTATCTCATAAACTGACGAATTTGAAATTTTATCTTCAAAAAGAAAGTGGAAAAGAAAATATTAAAAATATAAGTTTACCATTAATAACTCAAGATATTGTAATATTTCTTGACATTTAATTGATTATTGTACTATCACAAATCAATAATGATCAATAAGATAATATCATTCAAATTCTAATAATTGTTTGTACAAAGCCTACTCGTTAAGAAAATATTTAAATAATCAATGCATTTCATTTTGTAAAAACTGATGAGCCTTTAATTTTCATGAACAATATCCGAATGAATTTAATTTTCAAGAAAACCGATGCATAAAAATAATTAAAAAATTTAACTTTCTAGTTCCTTCTATACGTTAATTTAAAATTTCTGGTATGATATTGAGTTATTTTTCTTCTATTTTGTTACATACTAATGTTTGAAATTAACATTACAAATTGAATAAATAAACATAAATATTAATCAATTTACAAATTCAAGAAGAATCCAATATGTGTGTATAAATATAAAAAAAAATTATACGAACACAACGTAGTTACAAGTAAATAATTAGAATTGAACGTTTTCGAGCATTCTTAGTATGAAGAATTTATCTGAAACGTTTCAAAATATGTAATATATATATATATATATATATATATATATATATATATATATATATATGTTCATCAATAAAATAATAATTAAGGATTAAAAATATTATATTATACGTATTACGAAATTATATATTTTCTAGTTTTAAAAACTTAACGAATAGTACTATAAGAATGAATTATGACTTATTAAGAATTAAGAAAACTTATGATTACGATTATGATGATCGAAGATTTTCTGTCTTTTCTTAAAATTTGATAAAAACTTTCTTAAACTTCATTAAAATTTGTAAATATAAAATACAAACATATTTCAAATACAATAAATCAGCCGGGCATCGTTGTTATGTCCAAAGCTCATAATTGATAATAAGTGTACCTAGAGTTATGTCCGCAACAATGTCTATAATATTTTGCTTCTGATAATTGTTTTTGGAATAATGGATGAAACAACTCCGTTATTATATTTCACTCGATTTTCAGACTAGAATAATAAATCATAATAATCTTTTCTTCATAATTATGATAATTATTATGTTATATTTACACGATCATGATATAAATCTGATTATTTTCTAAAATCCAAATCAAAAGCACATATTTATTTTTCACGCTTTTATATTTTTTACATATTATTCGATTGCCACTTAACGTCTCCATCATAAATCATTGCATCATCATTTGCTCGTATGTATTTTCACAAATTATCAAACACTTATTTACAATAATTAATTATTTTAGAACGTAAGGTTTAGTATGTTTTTCAAAACTTTGTTTGTATATTATGAGAAACCATATGGTTAAAACTGCTCAATTCTTTATCAAATGATTTAATTTCTTTATGCATTTTTTAATCAGCAGAGTTTTCTTTTTTTTTTTTTATATATGGCTATTATATGAAATTTATGAAGTAAACTTTTCTAGCTTTTGCTTTTACTATATGAAATATATCGTTCAAATTTCGATGATTAGAGTCTATTAAATTTTAAATGTTTATTAAAATTTTTCGTCTAGTATACTTTTAAAATTATGCCTTTCCATTTCTTATATATATATATATATATATTGAATGTCATGTAATTTCTGAGAATCAACATTATTTAACATGGTTTATTATCATGTAAATACTTGCCAGAATTTCCGTTCTTAATTCACATTTACAAGCTTCGTAATATTTAGATTTCAGAATTATAAAAAAAATTTCACACCATTTTTATTGATTTTAATTGTTTTTTTTTTTTTTTTTTTTTTTGTTTCTTTTTATTTTTCGTTACTTCTGATTTTCGTATACATTTTTTTTTTCTTACGATTGGCTAATAATATATAATTATAAATATTTTTGTTCTTTTAACTAATCATTACATTGTATAATTAATCAGATAGAGAAAATCTATAGATGCACTGAATGTTTATATATCTAGTAATTATAAGAAATATCAATAAATGAGCAATTCGTGTGGGAAATAGAAAGTTTTAATCTGATATTACAATTTACACTTTTGTTAAATGTCACATAAGGTTTACTCTTTACCATGAAGAACGTGTTAAATGGTAATTATAATAAATAAAATTTTATTTAAACGTCAAATGTTGACATATAATAAAAAGAAAAGAATAACTCCGTAAAACGTTAAAACTGCGATTTGTATAGCATTCTGTTCGAGTGTAAACTTGATGTTTATTGTGAATATCGTATTAAAAGCAACAAAATATCAATGTTATAAGAATTTATAATAAAAATATTAGGCTTATTCTTACTTTATTCTTAGAAAGCTGAATTTAGTGTATTATAAAGATATTCCGGAGCAAGCTGTTAAATACTACTGCTGATTATTTTGAAAATTCGATGCCTTTAAAAGCAATTATTTATTTTAAAATTAGTTCTTTATTATTCCGTTGATGGTTACACATTTATTAGTACACGCAATTCTAGTGTGGTGGTATATATATATATATATATATATATATATATATATTTTTTGTTGTTGTTTTTTTTTTGTTTTACTTACAAAATGTAAACTATCCTTCGAGAATTATTAATCGATTTACAATATTTATTAACTTGTCCACTATATTTATAAAGACATAACATTTTATGAATTTTACATATGAACGAGAAGTTTGGATTAAATTGTATTTCTAATAAATTATCGACATTTAATGTAAGCTACAAAATTTGACATATAAAATAATTTAGATTTAAGAATTTGACAGTTCTTACTGAAGTTTTTCATGCTGTATTTGCGATACATTTCTGAATTATTATTTAGGAATGAATAGTAAAAGTTAATTATTGTTATATATATATATATATATATTACATGTAAAATATGCATGAAGTAAAACATATTGTATTTTGCTTTTAACGAGCTTCAAGATTCATGTTAAGTAAAGAATTTTCAATGAGAAATAAATTTATCAATATTTTGTTGTTCTGCAGAATTTAAGAAATCATTGAACTTTAATAATAATTTCGTTATTCATACCATTAATGAATAGATAAAGTATTTATAGTTACGTGTTTTTAATTGAGATTATTCAAAGAGTTTTATATAAATTCACACGAGTTGAGAAAATGTTATATTTATGATAAATAATCGTGTTAAGTTAATTTCATAGGAATCAATTTATCCGTCAGTATTGTTAAGTAATCTATAAGGAATATTTAATTAGTATGATTAAAGCATTAGCTATTAATCTGCTAAATATTATGCTTAATATTGTGATAAAACTGGATAGGTCAGGAGGTAGAGGCGGGTGAGCGGTGGGGATGACTGTGTGGCGTTGTGTTGGGGTGGGGAGTGGGGGAGAAGAGCCTTTGTAAATCAACGACGAGTGAGTGTGATTCGTATGTAACAGGTTTATCAAAATGTTTCCTCGAAAAGTTGGACGCAGGACTCGAAGTAACAATGAAAGGAGGCAGGCGAAAAGAAGAACGTCGTTGATGGGGCATAGGGCTCGGCTTGGCATCAACGAAGTGAGTAAGATGAGTCGCTGGCACATGGAAGGGGGGTGGGTGGGACACGAGGGGGGACAGGTGTTGGTCGTGTTGGCCGATGCGAGGGGCCCCGCCACTGCTGGTCACAGCTCGCTGACTGGAGTTCCGGGCCTGCTTCCGGGCCTTCTACCCAACTCTCTCTCTCTCTCTCTCTCTCTCTCTCTCCCTCTTTCACTCTTTCTCTCTCTTTCTCGCTCCCTATTACCTTTCATTACTTACAAAGCTGCTTTTGCTGCTATTGCCGTCACTGTTGTTGTTAGTGCTAGTAGTGCCGGTGGTAGTGGCGGTGGCGACGGCGACTGTGATGGTGGCGGTGGCGGTGGCGGTGGCGGTAGTGGTAGTGGCTGCCACCGTCGTCGGCTTTGGTTTTTCTTTCTGCGGGTCGAAAAAAGCACGCGCGTCAGTCGCCGTTGTACGGTGCGTGTGTGGTGCCGATCTTATCACCGCCGTGGAGATCGGCTCACGGGCGTCGCTCCTTCTTCTTGAAAATATCGGGAAAATAATCTTTAGAGTGTTTCTTATTTGTCAGATCGATCGCCGATTCATCGTCAAGCCGATAATGGGATTCCTCAAGCGGGTAAGCTTGTCAATGGGGCGGGGGAGGGGGGCGGCACACACACCTACTTTACTTGCTTCAGGAAAGGGAAGCGTAACGAACGGATAAATAATGACATTGTCCGTTGAGACAAATAGTTAATTAGCTATTGCATTCCGTTAAAATGATAAATTATGCATTGCGCGAAATGCCAATTTACTCCATCAAATCGTAAGGAAGTTTCAAATGCGTGTTCTGTCGAGCGATTAGTACCGATTAATTTCGATAGTGCCTGGCCAATTTTACTACGTGAAAGCGTCATTTATTTATACGATCCATTTAAATGTCAAATTATTTTAATTCTATTGTCATGAGATTTCGATAATGAGCCCTTACGGGTACTCACAAAACGATCTTATTCGCCACTTTATCATTTCTAGCGCAATCGTAACGGTTGTACAAATTATGAAATGTATGTCTGGCCATCGTATACCGTCCCTCGATATATATTAAATACAATCGTGCTTACAATTTAACGAATTTAAAGATTATTCAATATAAAATGAATTATAATAAGCCAATGAATCAATAGCCAAACCTCGTAATATTCATTATAAGCGCCTGTTAAGTTATTAAAATAATAATATAAAAATATAAGATAAATTCTTATCGAATGCTCATATGATGTTCCAATATATTCGTTGGTCATTTCATCGTATTACTCTTTATTAAAATTTTTCAAGAATTTCGATAAAGAAAAAAAAAAAAAAAAAGAAGAAGAAGAAAAAAAGAAATGTAATTTTTAAATATTGTCATCGCCTCAACTGTGTTTACTGTTATGCAAAGGAAAGAGCAATTTTATAAATTTATAAAAATCTGAAAAATCCGGTCTCACCTTTATCTGCCTCTTCATAATACGTGACATTTACGTTATTAACTGCTTCTTAGCTTTTATAAAGAAAGCACAGCTCTTCGAATAAAGTAACGACAAATGTAGACAATTAAATTACTGGCCTTTTCCTATTTCCATTTCAAGTCGAAGAACTTGATTTTGAACGAAATACGAAAATATGTCAGCATTTCGTATTATAAGAATACCAACATTCAAGCAAAATCAAGCACTCGCGTGTAGAATTATATTTTCTTTTAAATGAACTCGAGTTGAAATGACAATTCCAAATCATTACACGAAAAATAATTGATAAATACAAATAGGCCGTGAATTTGTAAATTAACCTAAATCAAACGCAAAATTGTATGCGAAGTCAGATTATATAGGATTATATAGAAAGGAAAATTGATATTTAAAAATTTATATTTCATTAATTATCCAAATTAAATACTGTCTATGAGTATTGTCTATAAATATTGAATCTTTACGCGAAATGGAATTCAATTTCTAAATATCGCTATCTCTCATTCATCGTACAAAGTCATAAAACTATGTTTGTCAATTGATAATTAACTCATTCGACGCGGGGTATACCTTGTTACGAGCCACTATCGTAACTCCTCCCACGCGAATGGTAAGTTTATGTCATTGTTAAAAATTTATGTCAGACCGTTACAAGTAATCGGCAGTTTTTCTAACAAAGCGGACGCTGCAGCGCAAATTTTTTCATCATTGTGCCCCTGCTGGCCTATAAAAGTGCACGAGCGACTCGGTCCACTTGCGTGCGTGAAATCGCCTACCACAGGCAAAAAAGGCAGACAAACGGAGCTAGAGAGAGAGAGAGAGAGAGAGAGAGAGAGAGAGAGAGAGAAACGAGCATGCCGCGTCCATAATACGGGAGCCCGCATTTTATTAGGACGCTATAAGCAAGTGAGATTCGCGGGAAACGTATCGCGCGCCGAAAAAAAATAGCCGTTTATTTCAGAATGTTTTGAAAGTTATGCGCTTACGCGTAACTGAACGCCTTATCAATATATTCCTCCGATCCTTTCAGGACGATGCTAGCAGCTGCTCCGATGAGTCCAATGTCGATATTTTCAGAAGCATACCCAAAGCTAGCACGGCGTTCAGTATATGGAAGATCGAGGTAACTTGCCTATTACACGCACATTCTTTTTCCTCTTTGAATTGAAAATTGATAATAAATTGCACTGTCCCTTGATGCAGGGACTACGAATCATATCGCTTGGAAGAACAAAGGTGGGAACTTTCCTGTCGGACTCGGCTTATTTACTCTACGCTGCTTCGGACAGAGACGGTGTGCTTCCCTATCCCAACATGCCGGTAAGATGTTTTCCTATCTTGTTTTTTTTTTTTTTTTTTTTTTTTTTTTTTTTTACACTTACCTGATAACAAATAGTCTTGTTATCCTCGATCTTGGTGAATGCTGGCCGTTTTTTACTTATTACATTAATAACTCATCTGCTTGTAGTAATTAAATAAACAATTAAATTGAATATCTTTGTCTACACTTTTTAATAAACAGTGCATGCGATTCATTTTAATTGTACAAAATAAGTAAAAGCAGCCTACGGCTTTACCGTATGTTCTTAGCTAATTACCAGCCATATACCAATCCACTAGAATTATTCCAACTAATTACCAAATTTACACGAGAACGCTCGCACACACACACACATTAATTATATAATTTTTTAAATAATTGAAAGATCAGATTTTATCCAAACTAATTTCAAACGAATTAGTGTAAATCAATTTTAATTTTATTAAATATGTTTTTAATCCTTTACTAGTTCATTTATTCATATTATTATCATATCTCTCATTATTCGTTACAAAGCCAACAGATTGTCCAATAACTCCAATAAGTTTAATGTCAGATGGACGTGATGTAAAACAGATATTGTCGTAGGCAGTGTAATTTAATAGCGGTTTTATAAATAAATATATATATATATACTCTTGTGCACTTGTGCAAAGGATGCAGTGAAATAAAAGGATGAATATTTAAGTTTTCATTAAAATGTGATATGAATATTCATAGCTAAAGTACAAGGGAGTTATGAAGTTTAGTTTAATTAAAAAAAAAATTTGTTTCATACAATTTAGCATCACATGCCCTCACTAATCTAGTTTATAAATATATATTTGTTTTAAATAAATATGCAAACTTCAGTCATAGATTGGTAAAATTCGAATATTACCTTATATTGCAAATAGGTATAGCATTTCATTAATTAAAAAATAAGAATAAAAAATAAAAAATTTCAATATTTTATCAATCGTATTTTTATTATTTATATACATACACATACACGCGCAAAAACAAACAACTGGACCCATATATGTATGTATATAGAATGGCATATAAATTATAAGAAAATCCATAATTTGACAACGTTCATGTATGTTCATAATTCTACAATTAAATTATAATTATAATTTAATAATAATTAGATAAATGACTGGGATAATAGTTAGGAATAAATTGTTGAGAATTCGATTCATATTAAACTTGATTTATTTTAATGATATTCTAATATATAATAGATAAGATAGATGTAGATTTAATCGAAGAATAATAAAAAAGAATATCAAATACAAATAATTCGAGGTGATTTAGCGGGCTTATCAGCAGGACCGATATAATATTGATTAATTATATTTAAAACTCATGGTACTAAAAAGGACTCGCGTATAACTATCCTCATAAATATAAAAATTATATATATATATATACATATATATATATATATTAATTACATACACACATTCTTTATATATGCCACATATATGTGTGTATATTGTTATAAATGCCACCCAATGACTAAATCCTTTTCTAAGACAAATATGTATTATTACTATTATTTCTATTTCAGTCCTATGACTTGATTTATATTTTCTTTTTTATAATTAACCGGATAATTGATAATTTAAAATTATGGTTCGATTGGCATTGAGAATGAAAAAGGGAACGAAAGAGTTACTACATACATTTTACATATTCGCGTTAGTTGTCTACCATCCGTCATAGGTTTTCTGCGATGACAATTTCTACAACGAAAATCTCTAAAATATCTGTTTTTCTTCGTTTTTGATTTAAAAATATTTGAAAATGTTCTGATATATAATAATGTATTAACTTAATTACAGAGAATTATCATTGCGCTTTATTGATAATTTTTTTTTTTTTTTTTTTTTTCTTAATACACTCTTGCATAATGAAGCTTTGAATCATATAAATTATAAGAAAGTTGATAAAAGTATCTGTGTGCGGAATAATAATTTTCTCTCTCTCTCTCTCTCTCTCCCTCTCTCTTTGTATAACTTCTTTTTACTCTATGTTTCCACTTGTATTCTTTTTATCCATCCCGACACATCAGCGCATCCGTGTTGCTCGATTGTAGTGCATCGCTCTGCGACAATTACACGAATATCTCATTACGAATCGAGATGGGCCTGGTTGAGCACGTTAAGAACTTTTGACACTCTCGACACACGAAGCGCACACACCATAATACTTTGATACGCCATGCGCAGACAAAGGAGTTGAAGAACAAAGCGGCGGTGCGGGCCATTCACTTCTGGGTGGGGGCAGACTGCGACATGAACGTATCCGGGGCTGCGGCGAGAGCTGCCGCGGAGCTCGACTCGCGGGTCGCGGCGACGATCCTAATGCGCGAGGCCCAGGGCCGTGAGAGTCCCCGTTTCCACGCCTACTTTCGGCAGCGCTCGATCAACGTCGAGGGACAATCCGTCGAGGACGATTATAAATGTAGCCTTCACCGGGTGACCGGTACCGCGCTACCCGTCCTCACTCAACTGACGCCCGTCGACTGGAGCAGCTTCTCCTCGCGCGACGTCATCCTCCTCGACGTGCGAACCAGGTAAGAAAAACTTTATCTTTATTCACCCCCGCAAAACGTCTGGATATTTTCCCAGCCCTGTGACAATGCGAATTCGTGTTTGCCGAGTCCAACTTAAATCGTCCGACGAGATAGCGATTTAATTACTCGCAATCTCAACAATGAAACGGAAAAATCCTTGTTTTTTATTATTCTTGGGAATTGCGGGCATAATGCTTTATTACTATTATGTGCACTTGCACGGATAGATCGTCTTATCGGCTTATCGGCACTAATGTACTATTTAGTTTTCATGTTCATACGGCATTATAATGTTCGTTATAAATGTTTATTCGATTGCGATTTGAAATAAAATCACGCTGGCTATGATATAATAATCATTATTTTGTGCTCGAAATTAAATGGACGTGTAGAGATGGGCGTGGGAGTGTATGAGAGCTTTGCGACATAAAATCGCGTTGGCACAATAAATAGAGTCTTTGTCAATATTTCGTGGTCGCCGGCGTCCTCGTGTCGAATGTTATCCGACCGATGGAACATAATAGGTAAGAAGTTTCACCTCCTCGTGCAGATCGGTAATATTTCTGTGGCTCGGATCCAAATCGGATCCCTTGCATAAAAGCCACGCTCTGCGGCTTCTGGACGAGCAGAAGAAAACTAAGAATGGCGAGGAGACGCGAATTTTTATCGTTGAGGATGGCTATGAGCAAACCCTTCAACCCGAAGCCCGTAAGCTCTTTAACGAGATCCTGGATCTTTCAGTGCGTTTTGTCTCGCCAGAACCCCTCATTGAGGTAAGAGGACTCTGCTTATTATCGTACCTATTGCTGGTCAAATATATAATTCAACAATACCGGACGCGTATACCATTGAATTTTCATTTCTTTCATTTTTCATGAAAGATTATTTTGAAAAACAGTAATAAATAAATTTGTATTAAGATTTATAAATTTTCGATACGAATGAAAGATATTTGTTTACCACTGGTTTTCACTTTTTCAATATAAGAATCAAGACGGATGTGATCACGTCCACGTTGTTTTAAAACAACATTTCTATTATGAATAATATTTTTAAAACATCTTTCTAAACAATTACACTCTCTTATTTCGTCTTGTTTCTTACTAAAGACTGTTTTTTTTTTTTATTTTATTTTATTTTATTTTATTTTATTTTATTTTATTTTTTAAATCATCGATCTGCATTTAAAATCTCAATAGTAAAAAATTCAGTTTAAACATTATCGAAATGCTTTGTAAAATTATGTTTATTTACTCATTTTCATGCATATTTATGAAAACAAACGCTTTTCACACATAAATATACATTTTACAATATTATTTAAGATTAATCGTACAATATATATTTCAACATAAGTACTTGATGTTCATATTAATAGAAAGATTTTCCAATTCTTCAATTCAAGAAATTAATAAATGAATTGATACTTGCAGTTTGTACTTTATCAACACTTTCATACGCGTGCAAGAATGAATAAACATATAATGAAAGACAATATTTATTCTCTTTAATAATCCATCAGATGCGTTTAGATAAAATTCAGCCATGAATCATTATGCTTTAAAAGATTTACTTATTATTAGCTCATTTTCTTGTCGTAGATGAGCGAGTCCATGTCCATGCCAACTAATCACACTAATCATTAACAATCTGCTCAATCTACATTCATTTGCATTTTCACGTTCTAATAATTATAAAAATTTAATACTCGTTCTGCATGTATTATATATACATAACCAGGCAATTTGTTCAATAAATGCGTTACACTGAATTTATTAGTAGGAGAAAAATCAATTCCAAGTCATTAGAGATCAGGAGTAAGTAGCAGTTCGTGAAAATCATTGAAATTAATCGTATTAGGGGCCTGGCTATTCCCTCTAAAGTCCATTCCCCGCTATTCCCTCGAAAGCCTCCAATAAAGAGTCTTCGAAATATTTATTTTATCCTTAGAGTTATCAGCCCTCGGCCAGCATTAAGCTGTACAAGTGCAACGAGCTGAACGGCAAGTACAAGGTCGCCGAGCTAAAGTCCGGGCCGATTTTCCGGTCGGATCTCGAGTCGAGCGCCGTGTTCCTGTTGGAGCGCGGCGAGGCTGGCGTGTGGGCTTGGGTCGGCAAGGATGCGAGCGCCAAGGAGCGGCTCGAGGCCGTACGTAACGCACGAGGATTCGTGAAGAAGAAGGGCTACGGGCCCTGTGTGCCGGTAGCCCGGGCCCTCGAGGCTCGCGAGCCCCCGGAGATGCGCAGCTGGGTGAAGGGCTGGCCGAGGTCGTGCGCGCGGCCCCTAATTCTGCCGACGAGCTTCGAGCCGGACTATATGGCCGAGAGGCCGAGGATGGCGGCCGAGTGCCAGCTTGTCGACGACGGCAACGGCGAGAGGACGCTATGGAGGGTCGAGCACCAGACGGGCCTCGTTCTTCTCAAGGACAGCGGCGTCTTTTACGCGGAGGCCTGCTATTTGCTACGCTACAAGTATGGATATGGACGCAGGAGCAGGACTATCGTGAGTCGATGACTCGTTGCTTTTATCGGTGGCTCGAGGGTGCGCGATCGCCATGTACCTTCGAACATTTGCTCAAACCTAATCGTAACGGGATACCATAGTTGGCGGGCCTCGCGGGCACTTTGGCTAATCTCTCGGGCCTGGACCACGCGATGCAAGTCGTACTATCATAATTAATGATGTATTGGGAAATGATGCTATATTGATATGCTTGATATCTCGCATTTCATGATATAAATCGTAGATCGTAGCTAATGGATGAATGATATGTAACTAATCTTCCCAGCCACAAACTCTTCGAGTCCTGTGTTTGACTGCGCTCATAAATCAAAGTATGTAATATTTCATTCGAGAAATATTTACGAGAAACAAGTTGTGAAATAACTTCACAAAAATTCCCATTGCCATCTTCCAAACTGAGCACGATAATTTAAAACAATCGGATGTTCTAATAATTTCCTATATTTGAGATTAATCTCAAAGACACTTCAATAACTATGGATATTCTAATATTATTCGTTCGATACTCGGGCATTATGATTTCAATTTTTTTATAAAAAAAAAAAAAAATCTTTATAGTTTCATTTATACATTTTTTATTTTATAACGAAATCAATAATTGAATATGTATAGTTTGAAATAATTCTTATATCAAAGTAACGAGGCATTAAAAACAATCTTATAGGTAAATCAATTCTTAAAATTATTTTTTAAAGACATTTGGAATTTTTTTCTCATTTTCCTCTCTTTATATTATATTGCAATGCATTTAAAAATTGATAACTTTGAAATTAATTTACTAAATTATATCAGCTCGATAATATAACCATTGGTACGAATTAAAAATATTTTTTTGTATAATTAACTCATCAATATCAATTGAATAATGTGATATTTTACATTAATCGTAGAGTGACAATTGTCTCACAATAACAAGAAAATCATAAATTTCACTCATTAGCCACCATTTATTAAATTACCTAGACATGCTTAAAATATTTATAAAAAAATCTGTAAAAAGTATTTACTGCAAACATAGAAATTCAGATTTAATGTATATAATATTTTCTTTAAGGCTAAGGACTTTATTAGCTTATGTAATTTAAACATTAAAAGAAAATTGAATTAATCTCTGTAATATATAGTCAGTTTTATAATATATTTTCAACTATTATTATTATTATTATTATTATTATTATTATTATTATCATCATCTATATATTCACTATACGTTTGGTTACTCTTATTAAACATGAACTATAAAATATATCCTTAATAGCAAAATTACAAATGATTAAATTATAAAGATAAAATAGAAAAATGTAATATTTTAAATTAATCAATAATTTATTATATATTTATAACTATTTTGATAGAGTAATAAAATAATAAATCTTAAAGAGGCTGATATAAAGTTTTATCGGTAGGTAATAAATTATCGATTACGAATATTTACAACGACGAATAAATTATATTTCAATATAAATCCTTCAGATTTCATTCAATTACAACGACTTTTTATACCAAAATATCATTTTATTACGATATTCAATGTAATTTAAACAAAATTCATCGTTATGGAATTTAGCTCGGCTGACTTTTTAGAATGAACTGTCGCAACATGTTTTTTTATCATTTGCGTTACAATTATAGACAAACAATCATAAACCAAAACAGCACGAAAAAAGATGAAACATTTTGTAAAATATTATTCAGATTTTTTAGCTGTAAGTGCTTGAATATATATGAAGTTTGTATAAAAGAATGCAACCTTAGAAGTTCAAAGTTTATAAAAATTGTAAGAGTCGACGGACGATCCCTTATTGTATAATATTTTTGTGGTTGTTAATCGAATGTCTTATACGTGATCTGTATAGAACCAAAAGTTCTCTTAGAATTAATATTATTATTTATATTGTATAGGACATAAGGGATAGTGAATATTTTATCTTATACAATCCTTAATGAAAATTCATTATGGTCGATGATGATGTTCATATGAGTATTGCTAAGATTGCTGATATTTTAATTTCCATTAATTTTCATGGATTAATATTTTTATGGGGCTGACTTTGCTTACTTGAACTACAAAAAAAATTTTCAGGATTAAATATATTAAAAAGAAATTTTAATTATCTTTGATGCGATTGTTTCCGATAAGTTTATACTTTTACTCATTTCTTGTAAAATTTTCGAAATACCGTTTGCTCCTCTGATTTCTCAGGTTTCATCGTAATCTCACATTTTTCGAATTTAATATTGTTCCATCGGAGATTATGGGATGAATTATTCTCTATTATGACTTTATGTATGGAGAAGCATGATTATGATCAATAATATCAATAATGAATAATAAAATACAAAATTGAATCGATGAACATTTATTCTAAAAGAAATATTTTTAATTTATGCAGTTAAGTATGTAAATGCGCGAATAAATATATATGTAAACGTATGTATATTATAGGCATATTAAAAGATTATAAATTCAACCTTAATTATTTGGATTATTTTTCTTTGTAGTAATTAATTAAATAATATGCCATACCTATTGACGTAATTTCGTTCACTCGTAATTTTGTTTAATAATTTAAAATATTTTGCAGATATTAGAAATAAGCCTTTAATGTATATAAATTCTAATTTTATTATTTCATTAAAGTGTGAATAGCCTTCGGAAATTGCACGCTTTAATAAAATAAAAAATGATGTGCTTCGCAAACATTAGATATACCATTGGGAAGGAGCTGAATCGATGTGCAATGACAAAGAGGCAGCGATCGAGGCGGCCTGCAATTTAAGCGAAGATGAGTCGGCTCAACTGATAATAACGTCACAGGGCAATGAGCCTCCGCACCTTCTTCAAATGTACAATGGCAAACTGATAATACTCAATGGACCGCACAGGGATGCTCGTAAGTTTCTCACGGGGATTAAGCGCCCGGTGAAAAAGGTCAAATTAATTACTATGATTCAATTTCACCAGCCCCGAAGAAATATCTCGTTCGAGTTTACGGCTCAACCCCATACACGTCCAAGGCTGTGGAACGTCCGTTGCGAGCGAATAGTCTCGACTCCGGAGGTGTCTTCATACTCTTTTCGAATTTGCCGATGGTCTGGTGTGGGAGCAAAAGTACCGGCGACGCTAGAGAGGCGTCGAGGAGATTGGCTCCGGCAACGGCACCGCTTATTTGCGAAGGAAAAGAGGACGACGAATTTTGGACGCAACTCGAGGGTATTTATTACATTCGTTCTCGGTCGTCTACCTGTAATTGCAACATGAATTGCGGATTAACGAGGATTGTAAAATCTTGTAGCTTATCCTCGCTTTCGCAAAACTATAAAATCAAAGCATTATTATGTGACATTGGATTGTGTTTTAAGGCAAAGGCGTATGTAATGTGGAGTCGGTGGAGAGCGAAGGGGAAGATATGGATAAGCACTTTTATCATTTGAAAATCGAAAAGTCCATGTTCACTGGCGAAGAGATACTCGGCTTCGCGCAAAACAGTCTTATCCCGGAAGCGAGTTGGCTCCTCGATGCTGGAAGCGTCATTTGGATTTGGATAGGCAGTTACTGTGCGCCAAAGCCCCTGAAAGATTATATCGAGGAGGCAAAAATTTTTCTTCATACCCATCCTGTTAATCGTGACCGCAGTACAATAATCTCCATAATTAAACAAGGTAAATGCCCCTCGTTTGACGATAGATGTACAATGTCAATGTAATTGTCTTGTATTATAATTGCAAATTATTATATATTTTGTTAGGATTGGAGCCACCAACGTTCATTGGACTATTCGATAATTGGAATCATAATTTACTGAGAGATTATAGGCCTTTCAATGCATTGCGAGCGAGTGTCCAAGAACGGGATGCATTAATAAATGACATTACGGCTATAAAAATTATATCCGAATTCGCTCATTTTGTGAAATATCCGTTGAAAATTTTGAAAAACGATCCCGAAAACTTGCCTCCAGGCGTTGACGTATCGCGCAAGGAAATGCATTTAACCTTTGACGATTTTATGACAGTTTTTAAAATGGAACCAACTGAGTTTGAAAAGTTACCCACTTGGCGACGACAAAGACTTAAGCAAACAGCCGGACTTTTCTAAGAACGCATCGAATAAAATCAATTCATTATTTTGTAAAAATTTTATAATTCTAAACGATAAATATCCAAAGCAAATAAATTATTATGAAAAATTATCATGAAAAAGCGTAATTTTATTGATCAATTAACTTACAAATTTTTAATTTTTAACACAGAAAATTTTTTCATGATGACGTATCCATACATTCTGTTTCGACTCTACGCACACATTCTTCTTCAACGATAATTGGTCTGACAGTCTTCGTAAGGACAGCAGTAGTGCCTTTCTTATAACGATAGCTACCTTGTTTTTCACCCTTGACACACGATAACTCGTACGGGCATAGATAATCCAACGATCCTTTCCGAATAATACATAAATCAACGCTATTTCCAGAACCAAGATCGTTAAATATACCAGCACGAATTGCATCACTGACTAAAGCTTTTCCTTCCTCCTCCTGTTGTTTATATAATGTATTTATTAATCAACAAAATGCAGTTTATAAAGAAAAATAATATGTATTATCGAAGGAAGCCGTTTATTAATGAATTATAAATTCATTTTCTATGTCTTGGAATTATTCTCATTTACAAGTGCATTCGAAAATGTAAATATAGACGTAAAAGACATGGGAGAAAAAAACACACACACGCACGCACGCACGCATTAAGTATATCAGCCTGTAATAGGATTATTCAATTTTCTTTACATCCAATTATATCCAATATCCAGCAGTTACTTACTTGGTTTATAACATAAAACTAATTAAAAATTTAATTCTTACATCCCGCAACGAAAATGAATTTATCTGTTCATAACTTAAATTAATAGCTTCCTATTTTTTATTCTTTTCTTAATTTGTCATTCTCTTACGCTCATATCTGGTTTCCATCTACTTTCAAAAACTGACATAGCTGCCAATGAACCAGATCCCATTGTCGCATACGGTAAATGATCGGTAGACCCATGTGGATAAATGACGTATATATGAGGACCTAAATTATCGACTCCTCCTACAATGAGAGCAGCGCTAATGTGACCTTGATGACGAAAAAGCAATTGCTTTAACATAGTACAGGCGGTAACGACAGGAACAATACGATTGGTATTAAGACGATGCAATTCCAACTGACTGGAAATCATGCTATTGGTCATGCAAGTATCCGCAGCTGTGCCAGCTCCGCAGCAACTTATTAAAGGAGGAGGAAATAAAATTATCAATATACATATATTATGTCGATTAATCCTCAAAATTTAAAGACAAAGACCTACTACATATTTTTCGCTAGATAATGAATTTTCTCGCTCTTTTTATCGGCAACGATGTTGCCTTCCGTAGCTCTTGTGTCAGCACCAAGAATAACACCATCTTTGTAAATTATTCCAACGATCGTCGTCCCCGTTTTTTGCGCTTTCGGAGCTGAAAATCCTTTCCTCTCTAACATAGCATTTCTAAAAAAATCATTAAAATTATGCTATTTAATAATATTAATTAAGATGTATGGATATATGTTTATAAAGTGACACAGCATTATTCCTCGTAATAAGGTTATGTATGAAAATGCTCTTGCTAGTAACGCTATTTTCGTTGCATTGAAATTCCAAATTTACATCATACCCACCTTTCACACAAATCGAAACTAAAACCCGGTGTTGGGATTTCTGGTGCAAGTACGGAGGACATTTTTTATTATTAATTTCCTAACAATATCTCGTAAAATAAAGTAAAAACACCGTAGGAAGTATTTCGTATTTATATTACTCTACACAGCAGCGACAACCATGGAAATGTCGGAAAGTAGAAAAGACCGAATTTCGAATTGTGAAGTTATCGATGATTTTGTCGATTGGTAACTGCATAAATCACATGCCCCTGGCAATGAATGGTAAATAGATTTTTTATTGGAATGTTGTAAGGATTGCGTAAGTAAAATTCACTTACCAGTGCATGTAAGCCGTAGAAATAGCTGACGAAATATTATTTAGCGGAATAATATGCGTCGCAATTATTCTTGAGAGAATAATAATATTTTTAATTACGCCATTGTTTAAATAAATAATTATTCATAGCCAACGATAGCTTAATTTTAGAAAATGTATAAATATTGATATCAACGTCCGTGTGCAGTGAAATTATAAAAGTACATTGTTCTTATACCTTCTGATGTTAATTCTAAATTATATTATTAAGTTTTATTTTTTATGTTAATTAAGTCTCTTTACTTTTATGTACGAATGCAGTTTCTGTGGATTTTGTTCTACATATAAACATTTTACGAAAATATAAATTAAAGTAATATATAATAAATTTTTAATGACATTTATTTTATTCTTTGTACTACTCTATTCGATTGTAAAATATAATATGAAAAAAAAAAACTTACATTCCACACAATTAATATAACATAAATTTAAGATATTTGAACTTTTAATAATATGTTCGTTTTAACGAAAAGTTCAAGTTTATCAAAACTCATATTTATATTCTTTTTCAAAAAATTAATATTAAACATTGTCCAAAGACAAATTTAAGTTGCTTTCATATCGGTAAACCGTAGGCGAATTTTTACTTTTCATTTGCATCTTTATCAAGATATTATTTTTAATGTTATTATTATTTTAATTGCATTAATTATTTATTCAGTTGTTTATTTAGTTATCAAAAAATTCTATACAATTATCATTATATTTATAAAAATTATCATTTTTCTTTTTGTTTGTTTTAAGTTTTAGAAAATTTACTAAATTTTTGACAATTTTCATTAAAATTCACTACACATTTAAATAACATTTATTCTATATTATTCCGATATTAAAGAACTATTTTTTATTTTAATACATATTTAAATTTGCATATATTGTATTTAAACATTAGGAATTTGTTCTTCTTAATGTCAATTTTAATTTACGATTTATTTAAATCGTAGTCTAACGTAAGTTAAAACTTACTCATTGTGACGTCTTGTTCGTCAATATAAAATATTTACTTAAGCTAGTTGAAAATTAACAAAAAAATATATATATATATTATTGCCGTAAAATTTTCATTAAGGATTGGAAAGAGAGTAATTTACAGTATAAATAAATATCATAAAAGAGTATGTTTATTGTAATTTGTTTAGAGGCACATTAAATCTCAGTGCATTGTTGTTAGAACAATGTACAGGACTAATTGATAGCATTATATAAGCAAATAGACTAATAAAAATAATTAGTAGTTTTATATCGAGTCATCTTAAATCTTTTTTAATTATATATCACATCTTTTTAACGTATTATCGAGTTTATACAGGCCTATTTGTTATTTACAATCTGATGATTCAATGATTATTATCACGTAAAAATTATTACGATTTTTCCCTATTTTAAGTATCAACAAAAAAAAAAAAAAAAAAATCTTTCTAGAATAAACTAGTATTATTACTCGGCATTATTATTATTAATATATATATATATATATATATATATTTTTTTTTTTTTTAATGTAATTACGAACAAAATAATTGAATAAATTTATATTGCTCAAATTTTAATATGCTGACTCGGTAATTTCATAAAGACTTACCAAGCGGTATCTTATATCTATAAGTCATTGCTATTTTTTGCTTGATGATCAGTTATTTTGCTGTAAATATTCATTTATTAAACATATATAATGAAAGTTGGCCCAAATACCATTCACCATTGTTTCAACGATAATTTCTATATAAATTCATTTGTTTTTTTTACTTTTTTTTTTTAAATTCACTTTCACACATAATTTGTTCACTATCTTTTATTTAAAATGAAATTCCAACTATATATATTGTTTATAATAATTTGAAATATTTTACTATCTTCGATATAATTAATCATACTTAATATTATAAATGATTTTAGAATATACACACACGCGCGCGCGCACGCACACATATTTCTTCTATATAATATTTATTCTATAACAGTCATCCATATTTTATCGATCGATCCTTTCTAATTTTAACTGTTAATTATGTTGAATGTTCGTATGCGTTCAGAAATTTATTGTTTTATTATTTATATTTTATACGATTAGTTTTAATGAAATTTTGATTTTACTAGTCCATGAATTTTTGCAAATGTCTAGCACATTTAATATATAAACATAAAATATAATTATAATCCTGATCGATGTAAAAAAAAAAAAAAAAAAAAAAAAAAAAGTTTTAAAATTTTTTATTATTCCTTATAACTGCAATTATTTTATGTTGCCATTGTTTCAATTGATATACTAATTATTACAGATAATAATCAATGTAATCGACTCGATTATTACTTGATTAATTATTCCTTATAACTGCAATTATTTTATGTTGCCATTGTTTCAATTGATATACTAATTATTACAGATAATAATCAATGTAATCGACTCGATTATTACTTGATTATTCCTACTGATAAACATTTTGCTCAAGAATTTTCGTAGCAATGTTTAATCATTGATTTAGTTTAAGCAAAATTTAGTTACGCAATGAAATATATTATTAATTTTCAAGCAGTTAAAGACAATTATTTTATTAATAAAAGCGTAATGAATTTAGTATTAGCATTGAATAAATATTTTTGTCTTAAATATAATAGCAATATTTAAAGTCAATAAAAATGTTTAATTATTAGTTAGAAAAGATCTAATAAAAGCGTAAAAATAAACATTTATTAGTTCAATTTTAATCATATTTTATAACAATTTCAGACAATACGATTATTGTCGTATTGTATTGTATAATAGTATGTCTATATAGTCTATATAGTAATATATAGTGTGTAATAGTATGTATGAATGTATATTATTGTATGATAGCATAAACAATGTCATAAGTATTGTATGATATTGAATTTTTTATGAAAATGAAAATTTTATTAAACAAATTAATAAAGGTAATTTAATTCAATATAAGATGTATTGTTTTCATTAAAATTTTTATAATAAATACCAGTAAATTTATGAAAATTTAAATAATGAATAATATTGAATAATACATTTTCATTGTTATCGCATAGAGAAATTGCATGTTCTATTATTAATAAAAAAAAAAGGTGTTTTATATAAGAATAAAAGATATTTACTGCGTGTTGTAGTCACTATGATTGATATTCATCTAATATATATATATATATATATATGATAATTACTAGTCTTTAAATAGTAGCAAAATTAAAAAATTATAATTATTGATATTATTACATTTTCATATGTAATTGTATATATATTTTGAATTCACCGTATTATTTTTAAAGGATCAGTGTATTTAAATGTATAGGTATACGTAGTCGTTCATGATAATCAGTGAATCAACTACTGTACATTACGTTCGAATTATGAGTTTGGTAATTTATTTCAATTTTACTATAATGAACATGTGTAATTATATGTTATTAAAGGATATAACAATTTTATAGTATAGCGATTATAATGATTTTACTAAATTATAAACTTTTCATTCAGCATGTATATTCCATAATTCAAAATAATTAAATTTTTATTTATCTATTGATACCATTGATTGATATTATTTATAGTTATATAGATTGCCTAAGTTTATGTGAGATACATTGTCGAAATTATATAAGTATTGCACGGAAACATATAGAATAGTTTTTTTAAAAATTTTTATTTTAAAATAATAGTTTTGGAGTTATTTTGTTGTAATTAATGAAAGACCACTTATTATTCATTCTATATTTTAAATGGTCTAATCTGTCTATAGTGGCATACATTTGGTAGATATATGAATGCCGATTGTAAGCTGCGAGGGTAATCAATTTATGGAAAAGTGATACTAATTGCTCAACGCTTCTTATTTCATCTTTTTACCTACGAGGATTTACCGATAATATTTAATAAAATAAATTGGAAAATGTAAAAAGTATTTGTTAATTTGTTTTTAAAGTAGCGTTATTTCATATTGTTAATCGGTAGATAATAAATAAAATTTAACTAATTTCATAATAATTAATTTTCAAATATTTTGTTTCTATATTTAAATTTCTCTATTCAAGAATAACAAATAGTTTTTTTATAATTTGAAAATTATAATCGTTATTCGATGTGTGCTATATAATATAATCAAAATGTCAAGAAGAAAATCAAATTTTTTATTCAAGGGAAAGAAAAGGAAAAGAAAAAAGTAATTGAATAGTTATTTGTATAACTCTACAATCGACTATCCAAATGCATATTTAAAAAAAATTACTAGATACAACTTCAAGCGGAATAACATATCCAAGTATATGAAAAATGCGCTAAAGAACTTTCTTCTTTTTATATAAAATCTTGTAACTCAAAATTTTGTAAATTTGAAAATATTAAAAAAGATTAGAAATTAAGATACTATAAGTAAGTACTATTTATATTTTACTTGCAAATAGACTTTATTTTATTGGTATCTCTGAATTATTTATACAATTTTATTACTTGTTTTACAGTAATAATGATAACGTTATTTTATAAATAATTAGAATTAGTTGTAAATGAGAGATTTTCTAATAAAAATTTCATTATTGTTTAGGATATGATAAATTGACGTATGTACCCTTAATATTTCAATGGAAGTAGAAAAATAATTTAACGCTAATGTTTATTTAACTGTTTTAATAGTAAGGCACTTAAATTATTTAAATACGTATTCGTTTTGCTAACTAACTAATTATTACATAAAAATTCCTAGCTGATATTTATAAAAATTGATTTTTAAAAAATTATTATTTAATAATGTTTAACGCAAAATGTTATAAGCAAATTTGTACATAAAACACAAAGTGTCATTTTTCTAATACACTACATAAATTAAATGTTGAAATATTAAGTATGAAACCCTTTTCGATCAAACAAAACAAAATAAAACAAAAAAAAACAAAAAAAAAATAAAAAAATAAATAAATAAAAATGAATGGTATATTTATAAACAAGAAATGTCATTTATAATATCGGATGTGAGATCTTTATCTTGCAATGCTGCAGTCAGTACTTCTTGATCCCATTGTAAACTTACTTTGGATAATCGAGCTTCTTTCTTCATTATTAGTTTTATAATACCTCGTGTTTCAATTAATGTACATAAGCATACAAATTCTGACATGTCAACTGCAACGATTTTTCTTGGTTTACAAACTTTTCTATAAACTTGATATAACTGAAAATAATATATTCAATTTTAATAAAAAGGTTTATATTATAGAAATAACTAATAAATCCGATCTGTTTAAAATTAATACCCTTCCAATATTGATATCTTTATGTTTTCCTTTATTTAAGATAAGCATTAACGAACAGAGGAGAATCTTTTGTTGTATTGGAAAACTATGCTCTTCGTTATCTGCATTTTGTGAGCCACCGTATACTCTATTAAGAATTATGCGAACATCTTTAAAATCTACTCTATTTTCTTCATCGCTTACTTGACCCTTTTTTATATTATCTGTATTTGGGTTTAAAGTGGCATGAATTAGCAAAATTATATTTCTCAAACAATATAGTCGATGAGTTAATAAAAATACTTTGCTGACATTGAACTTACCATTTTCATTAGTAGGTTGAAGTATTTGCATCATTTTTTGTGACTCTGCAATTTCCACAATTCTTCTCCCAATGTCCAAAGCTCTTCTAATGTCGCCAGAAATAGCCGCTACTTTTCCTGCTAAAAATTGCATTGCAGTATCAGAAAAAACATCCAATACGTTAGCTTCTTTTAATCTTTGTGTTAAAATATCCATAATTTGTTGTTTTGAATAAGGTTTGAAGTGCAATAAATTTGGCTTGAGTTCACATCTCGATTGTAATCTTGGTAATATTCTGTCAGTTAAGTCCAAAGCATTAGCAATCCCAACTAATACAAGTTTAGATTGGGGTATCGATGGCCACTCGAATATAGAATAAAGTACAGATTGATTTTTTGTTTCCAGTTGGTCCATTTCATCGAGTACCAATAATAACATTTTGTGTGGCTGAGTTAGATATTTTTCAATAGTATCTTTCTTATTTTTAATGGGTCTTTGATTATTTAAATTTAATTCTTCAATAATTTTGGAATAAATAGTAGATGCTGACTTCATAGTAGTACAATTAACATAAATAATTTTAAATGCATTTTTAAATTTTGATTTCGATATAATATTAGACAGACTAGCAGTTTTCCCTGTACCTGGAAGACCAGACACGTAAAGAGAGCTCGATGATCTTTTATCTAAATGGTCTTGTAAAAAATCTTCTAATTTGGTCAATTCGACTTCTCTGCCTATCAAATTATCTGGTAATGAACCATGTAAAGCCTTACGAGCTTCGCTGTATTTGTTATTATTAAACAACTTTTTTGGAGCTAACTTATCTTGCTTTGTTGTCGGAGACAGCAAACTCAATTGGTTTAATAAATTACACGGTGTTATTGGGGAAATAGATTTTATTTGTTTAGGCGGAGTCGAACCGGTCTCATCTTAAAGAAGAAACGTTAAAGTAATGTTAAAATACCAATAATATTAAACGTTAAAAACGAATGTTTCAATATGCTTCATTCTTACCTTTTCCATTAGACTTTCTTCTAGTTCGTTTTGGAGTTTTTCTTATATTATTATTATTCGTACCGATATTTTCCTCGTCTGAATTTGATTCGGATTCGCTGCTTATATCAACCATTTTTTTGACAGTTGGTGTGTACCTTGTTGTCGGAGTGCTTCTCAGTGATGCATTGCTAAAATCTATCTTCGGAGTATTATCTTTACTCGAATAAAAATTCTTCTTTCGTATCCGAAATGGAATAGTCGTTTGTACGCTCATGTTTCAAAATATCTGAGTTGAAAACTATCTGACTATTCTAAGAAAAATGACCTTTATTTAAAACGAATGAATTATTTTAATGCAATAATCTTATTATTATAAGATAAGCTTATTATTTTATCTTATTGAATTAAAATTACTCAAGTGACTTAATAATCAAACTTGTCGCAGAGAAAACATTTTAGCGACTACGTACAGTGCCAACTTTTGTCAGCGCTCAAGACTTTTAGCGCGGGAAAATAATTTACTATACTTTGTGAGAATTAAGTATACTATGTTTCGTAGGTAAGTCCCTACTTATAATAGACTGGAGAATTCATGATAAAGTGTTTGATGATATTAATACTATATTGATTGAGACAATTAATTTTTGTTTATAAAACACGTATATATTAAATACAAAGTATGTATTAAAAGATTTTTCGAGCGTATGTATCAGTCCATAATGTTTGCGTTATTAATTTTTGAGACAAGAATTATTGCTAATGATGTGATAATTTTATAGGCGCGTCAATTTTTAACGAGAGTGGGGTATCTGGTATGAGGTAAAAATAAAAAATAAATACTAATTATTGACTTTATTGACGAAGAAAAGTGATAGAATATAAGTAAAAAGAAAAATTGGATAAATTTTGGTATATTCATGTCATTGTAAAAATATCAATTTTTATAAATTTTGTCGATCTAAGGCAATAAAATATTATTTATTGTACATAAATTGATAAATCGACAATCCAATTATAAATGAAATATAAAATGTGCGTTAGCGCGCGCGCGCGCGTGTGTGTGTGTGTGTGTGTGTGTGTGTGTGTGTGAGAGAGAGAGAGAGAGTTTTTCTGTGCATGTGTATATCGAATATCAGTGGGCCAAAGTAAATGAAAAGATTGAAAATTATTATTAATAAATTTTATTGAAACTTTTATATGCTGTATATTATTGATGGATAAGCAAACGCATGAGATGATTGTTGTATATAGTAAATTAAAATTTATTTGTTAATGATTTCTATATGTTTTAGTTAGTTATTACCATACAGCGTAAGTATGAAATTTACTTGTACCATGTGGAGTCACAAGGTGCATTGAGAACAATTAAATTACCTTGAATCAAACAATTTTTTTTCCTCGTTACGCATTATCTTATCGTAAATCTTATGATAATAATATATTAATTATATTTATGGTTTGATTAAAATAAAACTTCACAGTGTGCTCATTGTATATTACTTATAAATATTATTGCTTATGCATTGAATAATAATAATAATAATAATAATAATAATAATAATAATAATAATAATAAACATTATATTTTTTAAGATTCATACATTTTCAGAATATATTGAAAAAATGACTCGAGTCAAAGCTAAGATTCTGAAGTTAAACTCTTTCTAGTTTCGCGCGTTATTCATTTAAACTTCCTCGATCTCCCGTAAATGATGAAAAAGAGGGGGAAGTCAGCTTATTCGTTCGTGTTTCTTCTTTCTCTGCCATATTGATTGTACTTCGACGTAAGTGAGGAGAAGTTTGAGGATTTGTAATCCAAACTAATCGAAAATTCTAGTGTAATTTTGATTTCACAAATCAATAGATATGAGAGCTAAGGTGATTACACTTATTTATTTAACATAATTTTGTTTTTTTGTAAAGTAATTTCTACTTAATAACGGATAATTAATTTTTTTTCTGCATACCATCATGTACATTCATAAATATAAAAATGGATTCATTTTTATTCAACATTTTTTTTATACATAGCTGAATTTTTTAATAATATAAATTAATTTGATCAATTATTGGAAATTTTAGAGATTAATTGGTGTTATGAAGACGTTATGATTATTAACATAAATTAATCCATCTCATTATATTTATAATTTTTAATAGCAATTACAATAGCAATAACGCGTTTCTATGCATGTAATTTGTATAATTTTTGTTAATACAACTTTTTTAATTTAGTGGCGCAAAAAGAGGATGCGGAGGTTAAAGCGTAAAAGGAGGAAGATGCGTGCGAGGTCCAAATAATTTTCATCATTTTACACTTGTAAGTCAATAATAATTGTTGTTGTGATAATTCAGATATGCGAACACGCATCAAATATATTTATCTTAACAACTTGGATAAAATTTTAATTAAAGTTATATATACATATGCGTATGTCGTTAAAGAAATATATTGTCGGAGTTGTAGCATTAAAGTGATATCAAAAACTGCATATTATGTATAAGAAAATTAATTTGTAATTCCGTTGTAAATGTTATTTGTGTAAGTAGCATAATTTTTCAATTTAAATTTGATATTTATTAATACATATAATATTTAATTCATATATCATTTGGAATAACTAAATGGAATTGAAAATTATGAAAGATTTCAAAATATATATATATATTTATTTATTTATTACAAAATTCCTTTTATAATAAAAGAATTAACTTCTTTTTAGCTGTGCTAGTAATATGTTTATCAAGTAATATCAACGAGAGTCAAGGATCTTCTCTTCAATAAATTCAAAATTTTTTAATCATGTTGTGGCACAGAGAATTATTTTATATCCGAAGGATCTTGTGTAATTTGGTTTAATAAAAATAACTTGAAGATAAGTTTATATCTTGTTGCTGTAATGTTATTTAATAATCCCATACCAAAAATGACAAACTGTAAAAAGAATATTAAACTAATATTTAACGATTTCTTTTTTATAATATATTTTATACATGACGAAACTGTTCGAATCAAATATTTAAGAAATATTAAGCGTTTATAAAAAGAATAAGATTTTGGAATTCTTATAATATGAACATGCTTTCTTTTAAATATAACCTCAAAAATTTCAAAATTTATCCAAAAATATAACCATGTACAGGTACATGTTATCTTCACTCTTTAAATTGGAAAAAATTTACAATTGCAAAATACTTAATAATCATGTGTTAAATATAAAATGTATTTCAACTAAAAAAAATCATTTAAATAAAACGTCTAGTCAAAATGAGGATTTAGATGATAAAAATAATAAAAATAACCTTACACGTAATTATAATAATAAATATAAAATATTTCGGGATGAAGAAGCACCAGTGATATTTGATATCAATGAAGAAAAAGAGAGAATAAAGCTTGCTGATTTAGAACTTGTTGAGAAAGAGACTGATCCTTATGACGGGATCAATTTGAATCGTACGTTAACAATACATGGATTATTAATGTTTTAATTTCACATTAACAAGGCTTAATATTAATATTTATAAATTAAAGATGAATATTTTGTTTTATTTAATAAAAGAATTTGCATTTTGTGTAGGTGGTATTCATGGAGTGTTTGACATTGAAGATCTTGTGGATCTCTTAAGGAAAGATAAGAATAATAGACAAATTTTTGTAGCATTGGTTCCACATGAATACAATTATGTCGACTATATGGTATTAGTAACAGGAAAGTCCGCTAAACATATGAATGCCCTGGCCATGTATGTGCGTAAAATATATAAAGCCAAGAAACACAAAAATGATTTCATTCCCAAAATAGAGGGAAAGAATAACAGTGATTGGATTGCTTTAGATTTAGGTAATATTTCATGCACTAAGAAATCTTATTTTTTTAAATTAATATTCAAAGTAGCACATTCTTTTAAATTAAGTGAAATTAAAGAATAATTTGAAGGTGCGCTTAGTTAATTTGTATTAAATTATGAATTATGAATAGGCATTAAAATTATCATTAAATATTAAAAATAGATTAATTTAGAAAAATTTACAAAAATGTTTTGCATAATATTTTATTTAATAATTATGATTAAATTATAACAATTATAAAATCTTGATTAAGTGTATTTTATTTTCATAGGTAACATTGCACTTCACATATTTAATTATGAAACAAGACTGAAATATGATTTAGAAACTCTTTGGTCAGTTGGTTCTAATTACGATACTCTAAGTAGGGAACGCATCGATGATGATTTCAGAAAAATATAAAGATTTTTTGAAAACTCTTCAACCAGCGGAATAATAAACAAACATTATATTGTATATAGATTTTAAAATTTTGTAAAAAAATATTTGAACAGAAATTCATTATCATAAACATTTTTTTAAATATTTTACCGTGTATTTTTTTATAGTTAATTTTAATTATAGTTTGTATTATATGTAAATTGTTGTTTCTTTGTGATTTTAATGTTAATTTTTTTAATATTTAGGTATAACTTTCTTTCTTTCTTTCTTTTTAATTTATATTTACATAATATTAATAAAATAAAGGATTTAATAAATGTAAGTATTAAATTACATTTGCGCAAGAAATGAAAATATGAATAACAATGAGAGGTGTAATTCAGGGACTGAATAATTATGTATTTACATCCCAACATACATTATTACACGGCTCTATATCATAATATTTATCATGTTTGTCTTATTAAATAAAAATGCCTATATCATTATTTCTTTGATAAAAAAATTTAGTACAGATGTCCGTTAGAAATCTTTTTTTAACGAATGTCCATCATATTGATAATAAGTTAATTATACTTTTATTGTTATATAAATGGAATTGTACTGTTGATTAAATCCTATATATTTTTAAAGGACTATGTTTCATTCGATTTTTCAAGTATTTAATTAAATTCAAATATAATGTTAATGTACATGATTTTATACAATATAAATAATTTTCATTATCTCTATTTTACGTTTGAATTTATATATTAAGAATAAATAATTTTGAGAAATTTGATGGTGAATTTTCTTGGATTAGAATTTCTTATTGACATATTAATTATTTACAAAATTATTACGACTATATATATAAAAACATATATATATATATATATATATACATATATATATATATATACTTTTTAATTGGTTAAAAGTTTGGATTATTATTGCGCATGCGTCGAAGATGTGTACTATCAACTCTCGCATTGAGCGGAGATTTTGCAAGTAAACAGGAATCAATGGTTATTAATTATGATGTATTTTGGTCATAAGATATTATAATAAATTAAATTCATAAATTTCAGCAGACGGTGGATGTTTTGTATATCATGAGACCAATGACTGCAAATATAGATAATTTATACTATTGCAAATTCTATTTATGACATATATTGAGGTTAAGTAAAAGAATATTTCAAAAATATTTACATTCGACATTATAAGATTTAATGAAATTTATACTTAATATAAACATTTCATTATTTTTCGAAAAATTAAGAGTCTGGTAAAAAATGAATGATAAATTGTTTATAATTAATTTCGTTCATTAAAAAAACTAAAAAAAAAAATTAGTAGTAATAGTGTTTATAAAGTATTTTCTAAGGCATATAAGATTTAAATTTTATTATATGATCAAATTTTATGAATTATGAAATTATTCAAATTAATCAATTTACGAAAAAATATTGGCAACTTCATCAATGCTAGTTATAAATATCAAATGTCTATTAATATAATATTAAATGTATAAAAAAAAATTTTAATTTTCATGTCATTATTGATAAATATAATCAGCTTGTTTAAGTTTACTTAAATAATATATTAATATTAATTAAAAATTTTTTTATAATATTTATTTAGTTTAATTATGTTTTTAATTCTTAAATTAAATTTTGATGTATGTAAACAATTGTTTTTTTTTTTTTTAATTTTAGCTAATTTTTTTATCACTTAATTGATTAAGAATGGCAGACGACGATATTCCATTGGGTATAATTTTACGTATTTCTCTTGAAAATTTTGTGTAAGTTATAATACATTTGACATGATATTTCATAACTCATTGTTGTCTAATTCGTCGTACAAACTGATATTCAATTTATTATTTTAGAACTTATGACAGTGTCGTTATAAAACCTGGAAAAAATCTTAATTTAATAATTGGTGCAAATGGTACTGGAAAATCAACAATTGTTAGTGCTATTGTTTTGGGATTAGGGGGTAATCCTAAAGTTATTGGTCGAGCTACAAATGTTGGTGACTTTGTTAAGGCAGGTGAAAGTAAGGCTACTATTGAGATTGATTTATATAGTGGTTGCGATAAATGTATAACAATTAGAAGATCATTTGATATTAATAATCGCACGACTTGGATGATTAATAACCAAACTGTTACTGGCAAGCAAGTAGCGGAGTTAATGAAATCTTTCAACATTCAGGTATATAAACAATCATGTTTCATCAGTAATAATCACTCACATTAATATTTACTTTAAGAATAAATTTCTAAATTAGAAACGATTATTGTTATTATTAATATCTTGACTACATTAATATATTAACGTTTAAAAAATGTATTTATAATATGCTTTTTTGCTAATATTTTATGTTATTTAATATTTATATTCGTTAATGAAACGAAAGAATTAAATTATATATTGTAAATAAATCTTTCAATTCGATTATTATGAAACTTTATAATATTCTTTTTTAAGGTTGATAATCTTTGTCAATTCTTACCTCAAGACAAAGTACAAGAATTCTCAAATTTGTCACCACACGAACTTCTCATAGGAACTGAGCGCTCAGTTGGCGATCCAAGTTTATTAGAAAATCATTTGAAATTAAAGGAACTTAGATTAAGACAAGCTGAATTAGAAAAGGAGCTGGAAAATCATACTCGTCTTCAAACTAAAGAAAAGCAAACCTACGATTCATTAAAAGATTCTGTAGGACATATAAATGAACAAAAATTAATTAAGAAAAAATTAAAGACACTAAAACAGAAAAAAGCTTGGATATTATATCAAAACAAACGAGAAGAATTCATAACGGTAACATATTTCGTGTATTAATGTTTTTTATTTATCTTTCGTCATTAATAATAGAATATACTTGAAAATATTCTTATTTAAAATGAACATTAATACGATAAATATAATAAGATACACAATGATAATAGTATTTATAAAATTACATTTATTCTATTACTAGGCAAAGAAAGAAAAGGATAAAGCACAAATAAAGGCAAAAAGAATAGAGGAGAAATTAAAACCCATTCAAGAGGAACTTTCACAGTTAATAGCTTCTATTCAAAAACTTGAGCAAGATGCCAGACAGGATGTAAGTTAACAATTAAAAAAATAAAATCACTTAATAATGCTATTAATTACTTATAGAATATCGAGGGTCGCGAAAAAATGACAAAATTAAATAAATTGTTGGATGACATAGAGAAATATGAAAAATGTGTCGACGACATTGAATTACAACACGAACAAGCAATTAAGGAAGAGCAAGAGTCTGATAAGCGTATCGATCAAATGATGCAACAAAATAACAAAATAGAAAACGATTTGCAGCATTTTATCGATGATGTTGGCACAAGTAAGATGTTTCATAAATTTTTAATCTGTACAAGTTATTTGTATTAAAAAGAAAAAGAAAGAAGAAAAAAAAATTAATAATAACTATTTTAAACAGGTGAAACGATACAATCTAAATTTGATTCAATAACTAAGACAATGAACCAACAAAGAAATATTACGAATGATCTTAGCATGCAACAGAATTTGTTCAAGCAACAAATAGACACTATTGAGAGAAAAATCATAGGTAATGACAATAACGCACTTATATCACATAAATTTTATAATTATTTTATAAATTATGAATATGCATATGCATATACATACATATCTATATATTCTGTTTTTTTAGTCGAAGAAAAAAACCTTCAAGCGGTTAAGGATATTGACAATAAACGACTTGAGTTATTACAAAAGTTAAGTTCCGATGCTTACAAAGGGATTTTATGGTTAAGATCTAATAAACATTTATTTTCAAAACCTGTACACGAGCCCATGTTGCTTCATATTAATTTAAAAGATGCAAAGTATTCAAAATACTTTGAAAACATTATTCCACAAAGAGATTTGATTGCTTTTATTTGTGAAGATAAAAATGATATGAATTTATTAGTGAAATATCTTCTAGATCAACAAAAGCTGAAAATAAATATTGTACATTCCGATCCTGATAAAGAGACGTGCAATGAGCCACGTATACAATTACACAGTATTCAAAAATATGGCTTTGAACACTATTTGGTATCTCTTATCGATGCTCCTAATACTATTTTAAATTATCTAATAAATATGTATAGGATAAATGAAATTCCTATTGGAAACGATAATATTGCATTAAATTTGGAGCAAATACCAGATACTTTTTTTAGATTTTTTAGTAGTAAGAAACATTTATATAGTTTTGCTAGCTTTAGGGTGTGAAAGCAGAAAATTTATAGGATTTGATTTTCTTTACAGCTAATAATTCATACAGCGTAAGTAGGTCTAAATATACGAGGGAAAAAAGTATAAGACAAACAGCTATTTCATCAAGAAATTTATTGTCGATTACGCTTGATAAAGAGAGAATTCAGAGCATACACGAACAGTAAGTTATTCGTTTTAAATTAAAATTTCCCAATTAGCTAATTAGATAATTTTCATCGATGGTATATTAATTTTTTAGGATGGCTATGCTCGATGAGAAGCGAAGCGCACTCAGCCAAGAGTTGGAAAACTTGAAAGAGAAATATATCGATGCACATAAGCAAATTGAAAGGCTGAAAGAGGCCCGAATTAACTTACAAAACAATTTGCATAAAATAAAAGATTTAAAAATCAGAATAAATATGAATAATACTAATATACAAAATTTACAAAGTAATCGAAGAAACATAGATGAAATCCATGCGCAATATAAAGCAGAAATTCAGGTAATTTACTATTATCGTTGGAATTGGAATTTTAATTGAAATTTAATTGCAAATACATCTTATGAATTTATGTTCTTAATAATTATAATAAATAATTTTAGGCTGTAATATTGAAACAACTTCAATTTTATCAACAATATAATAAGGTACTCAATGAATGTTACAAGAATATTCTTATAAAAGAGGAAATAAAGCTTAAAATTAAATTGGAGAAAAATGTATTGGCCATTAAAGAAAATGATTCTCAAGATTTAATTGAAGAATTTACTTCTGCCGAAAAAGCTTATAAATTGCTAGATAATGAGTTGGCACCGTTAAAAATTGAAGTCAAGAATTTATTTGAATTAGCTAAAGAAAGCACTGGAGGTGTTTCTTACGACGATCCCAAATTTACGCCAATAAAAAATGCTTTCGCCAAGCTACCAGCTTCCATAGAGGAAATATTTGAAAAAATTGAAACTACTCAGGCACAGATTTTTTGCATTTCAAATAATCAACAAGATTCTAACAGAGTAAAAATTCTTCGTAATTTTTTAATAATCCATTATTGTTCCTTTACCTATGTATTAAAGTAATGCATTTTATATTTTCAGGTACTGGAACAATTTAATACTGCAAAAACGCATTTAGAAACATTGAATGAGATCATTAGGCAAAAGGATCAAGAATTAACGAATATTACCGAACAAATTGAGAAAATAAAAGACAAATGGCTCCCACAGCTGACAAATCTTGTTGAACAAATTAATAATAATTTTAGCGATTACTTTACAAGGATGAAATGTGCTGGGACGGTGTCTATAATTAATGGAGAAAATCCCGTAAGCTAATAACGCAATTTCAAATTATATATATATATATATATATATATATATATTTTTTTTTTTAATCATTATTCGAAATTTTTATTTTGTCTACGTGCCGTAGATGGACTTTGATAAATATGGACTGAAAATTAAAGTGAAATTTAGAGATGCCGATGAGTTACAGGCACTCACACGAACTCATCAAAGTGGTGGTGAACGAGCAGTGACCACTGCAACGTACATGATAGCATTGCAAAAATTAACAACAGTCCCCTTTCGCTGTGTCGATGAAATTAATCAGGTAGCCTTTTACCTTATTTTGTCCCTTATTCATTTTCTCCTTTATCTCTCTCATGCGTTATATCAATAAAAGTCAATCTACATTAAATATGATTTTTTTTTTTTTTTTTTTAAGGGCATGGATGCTATTAACGAACGCAGGGTTTTTGAACTAATTGTCAACATTACAAGCAATTGTAATAACTCACAATACTTTTTATTGACTCCCAAGGTATATTATATCATTTAACCATTAGTAATACTCTAATCATCGATACTCAATTAAAATGGAAAATAATAAATTTTTCTCTTCGCCAGTTGCTGCCTGATTTGAAATATAACGATTCCATCACGGTTTTAACGGTATTTAATGGAAAATTTATGGCGCCTTGTTCACAATTTGATATCTCTGAGCAATGCAATAATATTATCGAGACCATTAGAAGACGACAAACTCCTATTAAATAAGCATAACATAAATGGTCATTCGATACTAGCAATTGTAATATAGTAACAGATGGTCGATGTACATTTCTTATACTTTTACGATAGTAAATAAATTATTTCATTTTTTATAATTTGGTTTTTCCTTATTATCTAAAGAGTTTTCTTTTCTTAAAGGTTTATTATGTTAATTAATGAAAAAAAAAAGAAAAAAAACCTTGAAAAAAAAAAAGAAAAAAAATAAACAAAAAAACAAAAAAGTTACCTTTTTCTGAATTAAATAATTTAATTTACAGATAATATTAATTTGACACCGAATACCGACGAAAAATTCTTACCTGTATTTATAAAAAAAAAAACAAACAAAAATATATATATATATATAATTGAAGCCTTTTGCAGTTTAATCATCCAACCTTAAGCGAGATATGAAATTTTAAAATTTTAATTCAATTTTACAAATCAAAATACGATTCTTTAATTATTTGAAATTTCATAATATGAAAAATTATTATTGTATATTTTTTATTTTATTTATCAGATCTCATACGCAATATTAATATATCTATATATATTTGATAACTTATATAGTTTTATAAAGGGATTTTATTTAATCGCTAATAATTACTTTCATTATTTACAATGAAAATGAAAATTTGAATTTAATATATTATCAGAGGCAACAAACGCGCAATATGAAATAATCAATTTCTTCACAATATTTTCATTCATAGAGATTTCATTAATAATACAAATGACCAATGTTTAAAAAATTATTGTTCGGCTATCGTTGCGCCGCTTATTACAGGCAAAAATTAAAATTTTATTTAACACCGTCGAATGAACTATTGGCAAAAAAGATGTGCGATGGCCGGGAATCGAACCCGGATCAACTGCTTGGAAGGCAACTATGCTGACCATTACACCACCATCGCACCATACTCAGTTGCTTATTTGACTAATATTTCACGGCCATAATATTTATAATAAATTCAATAATAATTTTCTTATTTAATAAGGAAATAGCAGTACAAAACAATGTTAAAGACTTAACGATTAAAGTTATTTAACTATAAAGTTATTATCGATATCATATCTTATTATATATAGCATTTTAACTCAACTTATATATAAATTTTGTATTGAATGTAATCAATACATATTATTTTATTATTATTCTAATATCAATTCATCATTATTATTAATTAATTAATTAATTTATATATTAATGACTTTTATATTGTGTGAAAAAGCTTAATACTTAATAATTATATGTTGTAAGTTTTAAACGTTAGAAAAAAATTTTTCATGCTTATTTTATTTTTATATCCTAATGATATTTTATCCTAATATCAAATAATGTAAGTAAAAAAAAAAAAAAAAAAAAAAAAATATATATATATATATATTTTTTCTATTTAACCCAATTAAATTTGAATATTCACTTATTCAAATTTAATTAATTTCAATAATGTATATCGTTGCTCGATATTTCAAATTATAATTTTCCCTAAAACATATTATACACGCATTTTAATATGTATTAGTAATATGTGGTTTAAAAATCAAATGAAATAATAACAAACAATTTAAATTTATTAACATAAAAATGTCTGGCTTTAAATGAGCTATATACCAAATAGTTTTTTTTATGTTCAAGTGAAGCGAACTCATATCTTATCAATAAAATTGTAATCAAAATAATATTGGTGTCTTTTTTTAAAAAATATTGTATGCATCTTATCAATAAGAATATATTTCATTATTTTATTGTAAACGCATAATATATCTTATCATGAACAGTTTAAAATTAGAACCTTTCAATATATCTGAAATCTCTACAATTTTCGAAATTTATTAACCAAACGATCATTCTATTTAGCAGCTAAAAATCAATAAACCAAACTAACAAACTGCGCTACATAATAAATATTATTTCTTTTACAATATCATATTTACAAACACTATTTAATTAGAATATAAAACAAATATTTAATAATCTTAGTTTGTTTATCTTTAGTTGGATATATTTAGTTAAAGTAGATATTGTGTGTAAGTAACTACAACTTTATTTTTATTACATATTGACAAAAATTGTAAAATTTATGTTTAACGTTAATATTTGCAGTGTATTTTAATTATAATCGAAATAGATTTTATATAATTTTTCCACAAAAAAAAAAAAAAAAAAAAAAAAAAAAAAAAAAACAACAACCCTACTATATATAAAAGCGAACTTGTAATTTTAAATGAAAATTTTTTTTTTTTTTTATTATTATATTTAGGCTTTTATATTAATATTTGTATTATATTTTATATCTTAATATTACATTATATTTTACTTGTTATATTTGTAATATGTTATATAATGTTGGGTTTTCAATTAAATTTAATAATTAAATTCAATATTAATTTACAATATTTCATTTATTTACGTTTCATATTTTATATAATGTGAAAATTAAAAATATACAAATATTTAGCTGATTTATACTTTATACGAAATAGATAATTATGTAAACATTGCATATTACTCCTTCGATTTATAATAATAATAATCCTTAAGATTAGTATTTAAAATACACGATAAACAGAAAATTAATACGATTAACAGCTCATTTAATTAACTAGAATTTTCTCTATTAATTATTTTTTAAATGTATCTAATATTTTCTGATATCATTAACAAACAATCATACTTTCTTAATGGTATGATTTTTAAACGAATCACCGACTTGTTGGCTAATAATGTAATTTTTTATTTAAATGTTTATATTCTTTTACTTAATAATTTAAAAGTATATTTAGGCTAAAATAATAAATGAGGATGCTTAAAAATGTTTATTATCTTTTTGTTATTGCTTTACTCAATAATTCAATAAATAGTATAATAATTAATTTAATTAAAGTATCGCTTAATTTATATTATATTATCTTATTATCAAAACATTACAGATAGTATCAGCAGACTATGAATTAGCCCTATTTTCTGATTATAAAATGCTTTGTATTATTCTTACAATTAATTTCGGTCTTTTTAATCACGTCAGATCTGTGCGAATTACTGAAATATTTTCCGCTTTAATGTTAATTATTCAAACGAAATATATATAAATAATTTTGAGTTACATTTATTTTTCACAATTTATAGGCTAAAGCTTTACGATGGACGATCAGAATAAACATTTTTTTTTTTTTCACTTTCGCATAATTGTTATACTCGTGTAATATTACAACATTGTTAATACTTGTTTAGACTAAAGATATTCTTTCCATTTTAGCTGTGTGTATTAAATTTATCTATACTTGGTTTATTAAATATTAAATTTATCTATACAATAATTGGCCAAATATAATAAGAATATGAGAAATAAAATAAAATACATAGGACATATTGTAAAAATACATTGTAAATAATTATAAAATGTATTGTAAAAAAAGTTTTCTTCTCTTTTCAAACATTAAATATATATTTTATAATAAAAAATATACGATAAATTGGAAATTTATACACGCGCGCACATATATATATATATATATATATATATATATATATATATATATATATATATATAGGTGATAACATAATCCGTTAAAACAATTAACAATTTTAAATATTATATTCAGAAAATATAATGAAAAGAAATATGCTATTGCGATTTAAATATTTCGTGCTTTCAAATTAATTAACATTATTTGAAATAGTTGTTCAAGAGATAAAATTGTTTTTATTTACGGATAATCAACAAACGCGCGTCTAACTTCCTTCATACTTGCACTTAAGCATTCAATTTTATATTTTAATTGTTTGTCACAAGTAGCAGAAGCACCGATGTTTCATAATCAATAGCTTTAACATACTCAGCGCGAATATTCAAATTCAAATGCACAAATACACGATGAATGACGCATGAAATAACGTAAGAGTATGTTATTAATATAATATAATAATATTAATAGTACATATGTTGCCACATTGTATATAAAAACAATACGCTCCATAAATGATGTGAATTATTTATAAAATTATAACAAGCGGGCGGCTTCATCATCTGAGCTAATCGATTAATTTTAAAGTTTTTCGTGAAATAGATACTTGAAAGTTGCCTAAGACAGGTCGTATCGTATGTACTTTCGAATTCCGTATGTCACTCTTAAATTGAGTTTTGCAAATGAAATTTATCACGATGGAGCAAAGTGAAAGACGTAAGCTTCTATTTCACGTAAGAAATTTAATACGGAATGTTGGTTAATGTTTAATGCTAGTTGATCACCACTGTCATGTTGAAACTTGCGTTGTAATTCGGGGTCACTTATCAAACTTTCTTTGTGCATGTGTGTGTGCGTTAGGTCGCGCGCTCAGTATACATTGGACAATCGTCCAAGCTAGTAAGTTATTATAGTTTCTCGAGTGTACAAAACTTCATACTGTAAGGCAGAGTAAGTTACTTCGGTTATATTCAGTCACAATTGGACATTTTATTATATAGTTCAGTTTCTTATATCGTTTTATCCGAAAATTTTGCGCATGCAGACGCTCGTGTAAACTAGAATTTTCGACGCTTTCCTTTATGTAGTAATTGTTATATGTAATTGGTGTAATCGGTCAATTTAATTTTGCTAAGAGAAATTTCTATTATATTTCATTTTAAAGTGATCTTTACGAATGACCATCACATTCCTCTTAATTAAAATATTTTATTGCCAAGATCGAAATTGATTAATTAACTGAAGTTAAGTTAAAAAAAAAAAAAAAAAAAAAAAAAAAAACCATGGCTGGCTCAAGTTCATTAATGATTTCTAAAGATATTCCAGATATCGAAGTAAGTCAATTTTGTGCATTACCTTGTTCAATAACAATATATTGAACATGGATATACGTTTTTGTTAAAAATTTCATTTAATTTTTTAAAGAATTTACTTAGTATTAATCCGAAATTAAAATCTTATACTACTGTTGTACCGTCAACCGAAACCAAGAAAAATAAACAGCACTGGAAAAGAAATATTCACTCCAAATGTGACGTAAGTGTTACATACAATATTATTACACTTAATATTATAGTTAATTACTTTCAGGTGAAGGAAAAGTGTTGTGTATAAAAATATAGCAAAGGCATTCATAATGTATGTGACATTATTTTACTTCGAGTTAATTTTAATATTAGTTGATATTTAATATTTAATATTCAATGAATGTAAAATTTCTTTAATTTGTCGTCTTTAATTATTCTTATTACGAATGATAACGTATAATATTCCTGAATCTCGTAATTATATAATCAGATATATATATATATATATATATATATATATATATATATATATATATATATATATATATATATATTTTTTTTTTTTTTTGAATATATATTTTTTTTCTTTTCTTTTCTCGTTATTTACTTTTATGAAATACTGTTTTATGTATTTTAATTTTTCGAAAAGGTTAAATTAAGTTTTTTGTTCTGCGTAAAAGATTAAATATATATATCACAAAAGGTTTTATTGCTGATTAGAAAAATCATAACATTTCAATTTCAAAGATTATGATTTATAAATAGTCTTCATTAAACGTAGATTACACAATTGTACTTAAGTTATACTATGTAAATAAATTAAAATAGTGCTTAAATGTATTACTTTATATATTATATCATTATGAAACTTTGTATTTTTTTTTCTTTATGTAGTGAATTCGTTTATAATACAATTTGATTTAGTGTGAAGATATTAATTAGCCTGCTATGATTTACAGATAATTAATCAAAAGTACTGTAATATATTTCTTTATTTTAATTATACTACGTGCGTTGCAATACCAGTAGAGAATACAAAATTTAATTGTCAGTTAGAATTGGCTATTTAAATGATAAATAATTTGTTTATCACATTCATTTATACAAAATCAATTTAATAAATTAATTGTAAATAAACAGCAATATAAAAATCTCATGAATATATAGATCGATGAACTTATACTGTACACGCGCGCACGCACGCACGCACGCACACGCACGCACGCACATACACTACAATTTTATGAATAATAGATGTATTTAGTATTGTAAATTTAATATTTATAACTTTTATTTACATTTTTTATAGCTTTTACTATTTCGATACATCATTATCGGTATCTTTAAGCAATTCAATACATCAGTTTTGTTTTAAAATGAAATTTTTTATATTATTCGTTACATGTAATTAAAAAATATTTTATAAACTATTAAATTTGAAAATATGTGAAACTATCTTAAAATTAGTATAATCATATAAATCAATATTACTTCATTAAGACGTATAGGCAATAATTAAATAAAAATAAACTTATAACAAGTCATGCTTTATTTAGTATTTACAATTTTCTAATGCATAAGATTTTTATTTACAATAGTTAAAATCACTTAATAAATAATATGTATACACTTAACCGAAAAAAATGTTAAAATAAATTATACAATTACAATCAGTTATACCAAATTTCTTTCCCTTTTATAATCATTACACAATATTTTTTAAATTAATTAAATTATTCACTTCAATGATCTTAAACATAAATAAAATTCATATTGATGACATTTTATTTAAACGTAAATGATTTAAAATTTTTTACAGAATATGTTAGAAGAAACAGTTATGAAATTCATAATAGGAATTATACCTAAAAATTAAAACAATTGAAATTTTATTGCTAACAGCAGGATATCTGTCTTGTGCAACAATTAAAAATATCTGTTTTTATGTATTGAAGATTATAGATTAAAATTTTGTAAGTCTTCTTTTTTATCTATTTTATATTTGGATATAAAAAATAATCGTTAATATTATAGTAAGTATAACAAATTTTATTAGATGAAATAGAAATACTATTATTAGCAATGTTTTTAATCAATTGTTCATAAGTTTTAGTCTCTAAATGTTGTAATTTTCAAAATTCAGCAACAAAAAAATAATAAGATATTTGAAATTTTGTAATACCTATATAATTCTGAAGTTTAGGTAGTTACATATATTTTTTTATTTATTATTTTAATATATTATTTTCAAAGAAATGTAAAATTGATTGCATGAAGATAATGTGAAATATAATTTATATATTATTGTTTTTATTTTTATTATCATTATCATCATCACCATCATCATCATCATCATCATCATCATCATCATCAGCAGCAGCAGCAGCAGCAGCAGCAGCAGCAGCATCGTCGTTATCATCATCGTCATCGTCCTCGTCATTACTATTAAACTATAATGTTAATCATTATAAATTATATTTTATGTTTACGCACTCGTAAACAAATAAATATCACACAAATAATGTGATTTATATTTGATAAAACGAATGAATTCTATTTTATATTTATTTAATATAAGTATAAAAAATAATTGATAAAATAATAGAGAGCTTAGTTAATTTAAAGTTAAATAGTTTTGAAATTACATGGAAGAATTAAAAAAAATATATATATCTTCTTTCTTTCATGTATCGTGTAATTATTTTGCCAAATCTTATCGCGATAACATATCGATTTAAATCTTATACTAAAATAATAAAATTTATCATCTGATTTGATTATTGTACTTTAAAGAAAATTCTGATGAAATTTTTAAAACAATAACTATTTACTTTATTAATTCAACTAAGGGCATGAGATTAGTTTTATTGGCTGAAAGGGCAATTCCCAAAGATATGAATAATTTCATAAATATTAAATCATACATTATTTGACTGTGACTTTGGCTTCGATTATTAATCATTTATATTTTAAATTATATTAAATTTGTATGTATTTAATTTTTTTTTTTTTTTTTTTTTTTTTTTTTTTTTTTTTTTTTTTTTAATATATTTATTTATGTCTTTGTGATATGTGTGGTCAGACATATCCACTTAATTATTTTTACAATTAATTCATAAATTTCTTTTATTCGATCACATGGATTGATAATAAGATGTCTAAATCCTATCAGGATTCCTCGTCAGTTTTACAAGAGCCTGTCAAATAAAATTAACAACCGAATTAATTGACCGACCGTACTTCAAGGTTTACTATTTAATGTCCATACAGGTCGAAGGATTATTGTAATTAGTTTAATTTATTTTCTCAGACCTGTATTCCTTTAAAAAACAATTTCGACGACATCAAGCACACGACTTTGAGTGAACGCGGAGCTTTGTACGAGGCGTCACGATGTTTAAAATGCGCCGATGCTCCTTGCCAAAAATCGTGTCCTACGCAATTGGACATCAAGTCCTTTATCACCTCGATATCAAATAAGAATTATTATGGAGCTGCAAAAGCCATTTTCTCGGACAATCCTCTTGGGCTAACCTGTGGTATGGTTTGCCCAACAAGCGACCTATGCGTGGGAGGATGTAATCTATTCGCCACGGAAGAAGGACCTATAAATATCGGTGGTTTGCAACAGTTTGCTACAGATGTAAATAACATTTTTACATTTAAAAAATAACAATAAATTGAAATTTATTAGTTATTCGTAATTTTAATTAATTATAATTAATATTAATATTGACAGTTATGTCAAATTATCGGTATTCTTTAGTTGAATATATGAAATATATTCAATTTCATATATATATATATATATATATATATATATATGAAGGTTTTATAAAAAGTTATTAAAACTTTCGTAGGCTTACAATATTTTATAATTAATATTCTATTCAGTTGCATCAATCTCCTAAAATAATTTTTTTAACACTGAGTTTAATACCGACAATTTACTAAATTGGCTTTTGAAGATTTTTCGGGACACGTTATGTGCCTTAAACATATTGAATACAGTAAAGGAAAATTAAGTAATATTTATAATCAATTAATCTTTTAATTTAACTTAAGAGCATAAAAATATGCGTAAATTTTTTTAATTCGATATCACAGCGGCTCTTATGATATATTCCAACAAATTTTAAATTATTTTATAATCATTGAGTTAATGAATCATTTAAAAATCATAACAATATTATTACTTATAATTATTTTGTAATAATTTTATGTGAACTTCTCATCGCATATGATAATTCTATTTCGCAATTTACGTTTAATTTAAACTTTCATTAGCCTCTGTCAGTATTATATTAATGTCCTACTTGACTTTACTTTTTCAAATAAAAAATATTAAAATGTAAAAATGATTAGATAAAACATTTTGCCGTTTTTTATTATTAAAGAAAAACTTTTGTCTTAACTACATTCAATTGATGATAAAAATATATATTTTCTAAAATAGTTTTTTGAAAACAAGTTGAATATTATTTAATGAATATAATCTTGAAGAGAAAAAAAAAATCAAACTTATATAGCAATTTACACAGTAATTAAATAGACATTAGAACAATGTTATCGATGCATGTATTTTATGACAAAATATACATCATAATATTGATTTTTTCTTTATTTCTTTATTTAAAATTCTTATCGCATTTTATTCGCATGATACTCCCATTTCGCTCTTTTAGGATTAACAAGAAAAAAATTTTAAAATATTATAACTACAAAATTTTATAATTATATAATAAATTGAAAAATGTCTGATTTCAAATTTCATAAATATTTTCATATTACTTTTGTAATATGTTGTTATCAGTGTGCACTATTGCATCTATTAAAGTTATTATCCATCCTTTTTGTACATATTATTCTTATAAATTACGAATATTTTTAGCACCGAATATTTTGCTTTTTTAGCAGAATTATTCTACCGTGATGTTCTTAAAAAGCTATTAAAAATATATTAAATATATAATTACTTGAATTTCAGAGTTATTCTATAAATTAATTTATCCATTAAAATGATAAATTTTCTTAATTAATAATCACTAGCTAAGGCAATTACTTTTGAATTTAGTATATTAAATAATCCATATGACTGTCTTTAACGTTCCATTTCGCGTAAATATTCCATATTTAATTTTTCTTTAATTTCTTTATTAATTTTTTTTTTTTTTTTTTTTTTTTTAAGATATTTAAGCAAATGAACATACCGCAAACAAGAATCCCAAACCAAACAGTACCATATTCGGATACAAAAATTGCAATGATTGGTTGTGGTCCAGCATCGTTATCGTGTGCCACATTTTTGGCCAGATTAGGGTACGAGGATATTACGATATTTGAAAAAGAAAAATTTGTCGGTGGCTTGAGTGCTTCTGAAATTCCACAATTTCGCCTTCCCTATGACGCGGTATCCTTCGAAGTGGAGCTCGTGAAAGATTTGGGCGTTAAAATTGAATTCGAAAGGGAATTATCTGAAAATGACATCACTCTTCAGGTCTGTACTGCACAACGTCCGATATGTAATTATAAAAATAGAAATGAAAATTTTTAATATTCTTTTAAGTATAGATGAAAGGAAATCTTATTTACTTATTATTATGCCAAAATCTCTCGAGTATAAATAAATATAAAAGAAAATTCATTTATAAATGAATTTTTATGGTTGTTTTAGATAGTAGCTTGAATTTTCTTTCCATTAGGCAAACAAATGAAGCATTGAGCTTCTTAATCTAATGTTTTTGTGCAGAAATTGAAAGATTCCGGATACGAAGCTATATTCCTAGGTTTTGGGTTGCCAGAGCCTAAGACCATTTCGATTTTCGAAAATCTAACTCAGGAAATGGGTTTCTATACATCAAAAAATTTCTTACCAGCTGTTTCTAAGAGCAGCAAGCCCGGTATGTGTGCCTGCAAAGCCACTATATCGCCAAATCTTTATGGTAACGTAGTTGTTCTTGGCGCCGGAGACACTGCATTCGATTGTGCAACATCGGCTTTAAGATGTGGAGCCAAAAAAGTTTTTGTCATTTTTCGACGAGGATTTACGAATATTCGCGCTGTTCCTGAGGAGGTAAACGAATTTCTTGACAAATACCATTCAATATATTAATAAACTAATACATAGTTTAATGTACAATTTAATTTATAATTTAATTTATACAAACATAAATTAATAGTAGAGTCTCATTCGAAACTTTTTTTTTTTTTTTTTTTTTTTTTTTTTTTTTTTTTTTTAATTACAAAAGAAAAGAAAACAATTTATTGATAAGGCGTTAAGAACTTTTAGATAAAGCAACAAAATATTTATGTTTGCATACTTATGCGCAAATATTCCTTTTATAGTAATTTGCTAATTATTTAATGAAATGAAAGTTATCATCCTATGTTCGTTATAAGTAAGCCAAAGTCAATTTATTATTAAAATTAATAATTAAATAGAAAATTGTTGAAATTTAAACTTGTAGATGGAGTTGGCAAAGAATGAAAAGTGTGAATTTATACCTTTTGCATCGCCTAAAAAAGTCATTGTCAAAGGTTCAAAAATTATTGCAATTGAGTTTCATAGAACAGAGCAAGAAGAAAATGGAGATTGGAAGGAAGACGAGGATCAATTAATTAGATTAAAAGCTAATTTTATAATATCGGCATTTGGCTCTGGTCTTTACGACACTGCCGGTAATTATAATTTCAATTATTAAGATAATTATGAAACGTAAGGATAGCTCGTAACCGCTAAATCTGATAGTTAAGAAAGCCTTGGAGCCAGTAAAACTTAATAAATGGGGTACGCCGGATGTTGATGCCAATTCGATGGCGACTTCTGTTCCGGGTGTCTTTTGTGGTGGCGATCTTGCTGGAGTTTCGCAAACAACAGTAGAGTCTGTTAACGATGGGAAAACTGCATCTTGGTACATGCATAAATACATACAGGTATATAGGTAAATTTTAAGTAAGATTTACTGAAGTGAAGGTGAAGTTTCGAATATAAATAGGCAATCGATAAATACATTTTTTTTTTTTTTTTTTTTTTTTTTTTTTTTTTTAACGCGAAAAGCACAAGCTCACACATCGCTTAATACCTTAAGCTCCTTTAAACAAGAAATGCGTATGCACGATTCTTTTAAAGTTTGACTGTCATTATTTATATTAAGATATTATTAGATACTGAAAAAGTATGGATATAACGCCAATAAAGAGGGGAATTTTTTTATTTTAATTTTTGTACATTTCGATAAAATATATGTGAAATATATAATTTGAATAATCGCACAGGAACAACATGGACTTACAGTGTCGGCAGAGCCGCAGCTGCCGAAATTTCATACACCCATCGATGAAGTTGATCTTAGCGTTGAAATGTGTGGAATAAAATTCGAAAATCCGTTTGGTTTGGCATCGGCACCACCGGCAACGTCCTGTGCAATGATTCGTAGAGCTTTCGAGAGTGGGTGGGCTTTTGCCGTGACTAAAACTTTTAGTTTAGATAAGGTAATTCGGAATAATTTATATATATATATATATATATATATATATATATATATATTTTTTTTTTTTCTTTAAGCAACAATTAATTTGAATTCTAATTATTGTAACAATAATAGCTATGATCATTTAGCGCAGGCTACTTAATAAAAAATGTTTACCGTACTGATTTTTCATTTCCGAAATTCTTTATGAAATAAAGAAGCAACTATTAAATTCAATTATACTAATAATAATAACGCGTTACTTATCATAAATCATGGATTTGGAAACCAATAATTTCATGACAATATACTTTCATCCTAGTTGGATTGATAATGAAAATTGAAAGTTTATAGCCGATTATGTTTAATGGATTATGTTTAAGAGAACATTGCATTGTGCGTCTTGTGTATTGAAAAAAACACATCGATCGACATTTGTTATGTGCTTTTAACAGTAACGCATTCAATAAGAAATTCCATAATATTCTTTCTCCTAATATAAATAAAGTGTAAAAAGTACGTAATTAAATAATTTTCTATTTTTCATGGAATTTTTTAATAAATTATGTATTACTTCGATATATCATTTTTATGAAGTAATTACATTTTATTAGAAACAGAAAAATAAAAAAACAAAACAAAAACAAAAACAAAAACAAAAAAAAAAAACAAAAATGAAAAAAATATCTTAATGAAATAAAGCATACGCGTGAGAGTTGAAATTATGGTTTTAGGATTTAGTCACCAATATTTCACCTCGGATTGTTAAAGGCACGAGCGATGGCCATCATTACGGTCCAGAACAAAGCAGTTTTCTCAACATTGAACTGATTTCAGAAAAAACAGCTGCTTACTGGTGTAAGGGTATAGCAGAATTGAAAAATGATTTTCCATCAAAGGTGATGAATAAAAATTTCGTTTATTAATCAATAATCATCATAATTTTAATAGCGATAAAATTAATGATCGTAAAATTGTAATTATTATTATTATCTATAATACACAAATTAATCAAATTCTTATATATATATATATATATATATTGATATTATTGTTTTTACGTAGTTTTAATTTTATTTATAGTGGATAAAAGCTACTTTTATAGTTTCTTCGGTAAAAAATTTTATCTAAAATGATGCGTAAATTATGCAAATTGCGTCGATGAGCAGAAATAATGTATTTTTACAAAAAGTTTTGTTGTTCATTTTAGGTGTTGATTGCTAGTATAATGTGCACTTATAACAACGAGGACTGGGTACAACTAGCACAAATGGCACAAGCTTCGGGAGCAGATGCATTGGAATTGAATCTATCCTGTCCACATGGCATGGGTGAAAGGGGAATGGGCTTGGCTTGTGGACAGGTTCATACATTGATATAAATATGTTTTTTAACTATCGATAGATGTACGATTAAGAAATTCACAATGAATTGATCGTCACATGGATGAAACTACTTTGAATTATGGATATTTTCATTGCGAGAGCTTACAATCCAAGTAGATTCTTTGCATATCTATTTAAAATTTACTATCTCCATATCATAATGCAATGACATTTTTTCAAAATAATTGCTAAAAATGATTGCTAAATTAAATAAACTATTTTTCTACTTTTTTCTTTTTTCTTTTTCTCAATTTTTCTAGCTAAAATATTATTGAACTTTTAAATTGCTACGTAGTGTCTTCATTTTAGGATCCGGTATTAGTAAGAAATATTACTAGATGGGTTAGAGAAGCCGTACAAATTCCTTTCTTCATCAAATTAACGCCTAATATAACGGACATTGTTTCTATTGCAAAAGCCGCTTACGAAGGTATTGTTTACGAATTTTAATAAGGATGAAGAGACTATTGTAAAACTTCTCTAAATTTTAATAAAATCACCATTTAATACAATTAAACTTTCCATTAATTTCCATAATAATTATAATATTTTACAAATGCTGGAAATTAGACTATTCAATTTGTTTTTAATGAAAGAATAATAATGTTCATATAGTTATCTACAAAGATATTGGTTGAATTTTTAAAGAAAAGTCTGAAAACAATATAAGTAAATATGTTGTTATTCTATTTATTTATTTATTTATTTTTTTTTAAGTATTACAATATTCTGCATTTTATAAATTACGTTTATTGAGAAATCAAAAGCGTATAAAACTTGAAGAAGAAACAATTATATAAAAAGATTCCTGTAAACGATTTATTATTTTATATTTCTATCCAATTTAAATCTAAATATTTATTATTTTAACCATTTATCGATAAAAGATTTATATGATAAAGATATTATTAATACTACTGTGAATGAATATAAATATTATTAACACTTTTTAAGCGTGTGCTAGAAAATTCTATATATATATATATATATTCTTGTTTCTTTGTATTTATTTTTAGAGAGTTCGGGAGAATTTAATGAATTTTATTTATTATCAATTGACTACAATTGAACAATATTTATTATCTAGTTCTTTTATCCCTTATATATATATATATATATATATATATATATAAGCCTCCAAAATTGCTCGACAGTAACGAATGCAAAAAAAATAAATACACATATATATATATATATACATAGGTCAGGCGGATGGGGTTTCCGCTATCAATACAGTGCAAGGTTTGATGAGCCTCAAAGCTGATGGGACACCATGGCCTGCTGTCGGAACGGCGAAAGCCACAACCTATGGTGGCGTTTCCGGAAATATGACACGACCCGTCGCTCTCAGGGCAATTTCGAAAGTGGCGAAAGAGCTTCCAAGTTTTCCGATCATGGGTATCGGCGGTATTGATTCCGGTGAAGTTGCCTTGCAATTTCTTCAATGTGGTGCTACGGTTCTGCAGGTAATTTATCGCGTTAATAATATTAATTGACTATAATTTTAAAAAATGTCTCGTTATGTTTAACTGGCTTCCTGCCCCGTAGGTTGGAAGTGCAATTCAAAATCAGGATTTTACGATCGTGGACGATTACATAACGAGCTTAAAAACTTTGCTGTACTTGAAAAGTGTAGAGCACTTGAATAGTTGGGATGGTCAGAGTCCACCGACTATAAAACACCAGAAAGGCAAACCCGTTTCATTTCAGCATGCCTTAGGAAAGGTTTACCTATCATTTTATTATCAATAATAAAATAATAATAACAATTATAACGATAGCCATAACAGTATTGAAAATTTAATCTTTGTTATATATCACGTCAACGAATACAATTGAAATATTTTTTAATTAAATTATCAGAACGTACCTTACTTTGGGGAGTATCAAAAGTTACGTGAAAAAATCTCTTCGGAAATTAAGGAAAAATGTAATCTGTCGGAGATTGACTTGATAAAACCAATAAGACCGGCAACAAAGCCAATCAAGTCAATCCCTACCATTAAGGATATTGTTGGAAAGGCATTGTTGCACATTGGTAGCTACAATCAGCTTGACAATGTCAAGCAAGTAGTCGCTCTTATCGACGATGTACGTACAATCATTCAATTTGTTCTTATCTCGGATTTTCTTTATATTTATGGAACAATATTTTTCATCTGCTTTTTAGGATATGTGCATAAATTGTGGAAAATGTTATATGGCATGTGCCGACTCTGGCTATCAGGCGATTACATTCGACTCGGAGACTCACATTCCCAAGGTTACGGATGATTGCACTGGTTGCACACTCTGTGTTTCAGTTTGCCCGATCATAGATTGCATAACGTAAATATCACCAATAAATATATTTATATCTTCTCGTGCTCTTTCACAGCACGTTATCTAATTATTTGTTAATATGACCATAGAATGGTACCGAAACAAATTCCGCACAAGATAAGCCGAGGAATTCCACCCAAAGGAGTAGCAATACAATTGTGATTACGAGTGCTTTAATAATTGACTTTTTTAAACGTAAACTTGTAGATTCATTTAAATTAAATAAAAATTTAATAAAATACGTCTTACTTAATTTCATGCTTATTTTGACGAAGATAATTTTTCTTATTAGCTTGAAGAAATTATAAGAGCGTGAACGAGTTGTCTAATGAGACTATGTCTTTAAAAATTATATTATTAATCAAATCGATGTAATCATGGCGAAGAAATGGAAAAAATTATTTTTTTTTATCAATATTTTAATATTTATTTACTAATTGCGTTAATGTTAAACGTTCAATGCAATATCAGTCGCGAATAAATAGTATATTAAATTATAATTAAAGCGATGCCAGTAAGTTTATGTGAAAAGTTTTTTGCTTAAGAAAATCCTTGTGTTGTCGAAAGATTATTTTTAGAAGAAAAAAACAAACGTGTTATAAGGAATTTGGCATATACATTTTATTCTGCTTATACCATACATATTATCACTCCAATATACAATAAAGTGTTTTTATTTTATTTTTTTATAAATATAAAAATTTAAATATTGCCTAACTATTATAATTTGATTTGATAAAATAATGGAAACAATTATTAAAATTGCTATATAACAAATATATACAGGCGTGTGAATTTCACACAATATATAAAATTTTGTAAAAGTAAAATATTTTTATATAACGCTCCAGTTTTAATAAATTATAACGCCGCAATAGAATGATTTATTTTTAATACTTTTGTTTAGAACATTCAATCTTTAATCTATATTATACGATTCACTTCACAAATATAATATTCATAAAGCCTAACGAAGCTATAATTTTCAAATATAAAAAAATTAATAATGATTTTATAAATATTTACCAATGTATAAGACTTGAATTATAACATTGATTATAAATCTACGATTAACTAATATTCAATCATATATATACTTTTTTTCTTTAAATATACTATAGTTAGTAAGAAAACTTGAGTTAAGAAGCAATAAGTAACATACTTCATCCTGTTTGAAATTGATTCCAAAACCTGTATTTAATAATATTATATGTTGAAGTTTTTCCGATATATTATTCTCAATTAAGTATTATAAACATAATTTATAAACAAGCCATTAGTAAATATTTAATTCTATAGTTTTACAATGAATAAATGTATTTATTATATATTTATTATTGAAACTTTAACATCTTATTAGATTTAAATAATTTAAAATTGTTGAACATCGCCTTCAACTTTTTTTTTAACAAAATTTAAGTATTAAGCTAAAAATAATAATAATAATATTGCATCGTATGTTCAAATTATTTGCGCGCTAATGTACAAAAATATAAGCTTATGAAAATAATGTACATTATTTTTACAAAATATACAGGTATTTTATGAATTTGAATATTAAAAATGATGCTTCGGGCAATTCATTTACATTTATTATCATTGTCATCTTTATTAACGATCTCATCTTCAAATACGCACTGCCGTTGTTGAATTCTTAAACATTTTGGACAATGTTTGTTGCGTTTAGATCGACATAAATGATGATATACCGTCAAGCATATTCGACATTTCGTAGCACTCGCATCCCAAGGATAAATAATTTCATCGTTTCCACAGATCTCGCATAGATGACCTCTATAATATATAGAAAAGCAATTTTAATGCTTTAAATTTGTTATATCCTATAATTCGAATAAATAAATATGAAATAACCTTGCTTTACATAGTTCGCATGTCTCAGTTATATGGCTTCTCATTGCATTATGAGCAAACTGGATTTCATCCATTAAAACTCCAGTTTGAAGATCAATTAGATCTTTTATCGAATAGTTATTGTTGCTTTCAAGCATATGAGTTCTGAGCCCAGATTTCCATGGTAATCCTTGATTACTTGCTTCCGAGCATACAACAAGATATTGCTTCATCATCTGCAGTTCTTCTCGTAATCTCTAGGAATAAAAATTCCTTAACATTATTCATTATGATTAAGATTATTTTGTTAAGCAAAATTTAACTCGATTACCTTAATCAATGATAAATCTGGAACTAATGTAAATAACTTTTTATTTAATTCTTCGAGTAGTAAGACTGGTTTACTTTCTAGAAGAGCTAAAAGTTGGAAAGCAGCACGACAAACTCGTCTAGGTTCCATATCCCAATTACGTATAATTCTTGCAGGTATAACAGCCAATGAATTCCAATGACATCTTTGACAATAATATAAGCCACTGTAGTCACACAATCTTGGCTCTATCCATCCAGATTCTACGAAATATTTATATTACATTAAAAATATTATACGATAATTGAATATGAAAAAGAAAATTAATAGTTCAAAATTATCTACACATGCACATTTGTTACAATAAAATCCGACAAATTATTTTACCTGAATGCTTGAAAGGACTGCCAAAACATGATAATGATAATCCTTTTGAGATAGCTTGTAATGTATATATATATATATACTTATTTATTTAAAGAATATAAATACATTGAATAAATAAATATATATGTTTAACACATCCTTCTCATTATTTTAAATAAAAATTCGATATAAAAATAAAAATAGCATAAACTCACTAAACGCTATTCTTGTATGGCATTCTGCACATCTATATGCCTGCGCAGATAGGCCTCTTTCGGGACATATATCCTTGGTGTACGTATAGCCGCCTGCTTCACTTGCAATTACATGAACGCATATTCTACAGATATTGGTCATACACTTCAAATGGCAACAGAATCCACAATCTGTTTAAAATAATAATATTGCAAATAAAGAATTCGATACAATTATTTATCAAACTTTATATAACTACAAAACGTAATTTGTAATTTCGACTAATTATAATTATATATTTTTTCATTATAAAAATGATTTTTATCTATAAACATTTATATTTTGCATTTTAATATATTTAAACTTACCATTGCACATGTACCAAGACTGTAGCATAGTCCATATTCCACCGCTACAATGATCACAATAAACTGATCCTGAAGTAGCAATGTAATATTTTTGAGGTGAGAAATGATGACCCAAAATTACGCATGTTTGTAAGACAGTTTCATTTGAAGTTTCACGAAGTTCTTGAGCTCTCAGTCTTAATTCTATTAAACGTCTAACTAGCCATTTACGTTCTTCGGAACATTCTGCACTTTGTAAAACCATTTGTTTACATTTATTTATCATTTCATGAAGGCAGTCCTGATCCATCGCCTAATAAATTAAAATATGTATGCACCCAGGCGCGCGCGCGCGCACACACACACGCACGCACGCACACACACACACACACACACACACACACACACAGAGATCAATATAACAAACTAAAAATCTTAATTAAAATGTATAATAAAAAATGTAACCTTGCTTAAAGACAGGAGATTTTCAACTGATTTCAGTGTGTTGGGAATTGGTCCTTTACTATCCGAACTATCATCGGCTTCACCAGTAATATAATCTGATGAAGAAGACTGCGTTGATGAAATTGTATCAGCATTATTGCTATGGGTTTTTATATCAGTATTATCTGCAGATTCTATACTCTCATTCATTTTGCATCAATGGAAGTATTCAAAAGAATGCATTTATTTATATATGCTAATACACTTTCTTTATATTTTTAATATTATGAAAAATTGATATTAAAATTTTACTTCATATTATCAATTCTATTTTGACATCTGTGTTTCATTTTATATCGCTCAATTAATCACAACGGTTTCTCATTATCCTTCGACAATCAAAAAAATTACCACTCTACTAAAAATAATAAATGATGAGACGAAGTATTTTACTATTAAATGTCAATTGTTAAATTCAAGCGAATTTATACTTCACAGGCAACTCATTCAATGCATTGCCATTGTATACACATTATGGTGATTTCGCCGTTCCTCAATTCTAATATTCATCGAAAAATATCTCACATAATTATGTAAACACGTGTGAATTTTAAACCTAGAAAGCACTTAAATAATGTTTATATTAAGAAATTTAAACGAATAAAATAAAAATTGTATGACAAATGAAAATAATTTTTTTTACTAAACAAATTAAAGATAATTATTCAATTACAAAATAATCCATTCATTTTTATATTTGTGATATTAATATTTACATAATGCAATATAACATTTGATCACGTATAAAATTACGTACTTTAATAAATAATCAATGTGTGAAATACAAGAAGGTAAATTAGATTTATATAAATACAAAAAACTTAAAAGGACTTTTGACAAGATTTAAATATTATTACAACATTTTAAGGAAATATTTAAAGCAGCATATTTTCTTCATAAATTGAATGATAAAATTAAAGTAAAATTTATTATTTGATATAATATTCTGATAAGATATTATGAATATCATTAATTTCTATTTGAATATTTAGTTTACTAAAAGTGGCGAGTGGTAATTGCAAAATTGAAACCTGTAGGAGTTTACATTGGCATTACAATATTATTTTATAGTTTTGTTATTCAAATATAATTATATATATATATATATATATATATATATATATATATATATATATATATATAATATTTAAAGTTTGTCTGTGTAAAAATAGCTTCAATAGTTCTTACATTTTTTTGCAGAGTTTACGGAAAAACAGTATTTATTTTGTAATAGTATAACCTGTAATAATTACCAGCGACGTACAGATTATATTTGTTAAATATTAATGTTACAAAATGGTACAAAACATAGCTCATGATTTGACTGCTAAAGAGCGCACAGCTGATATTGAAATAGATGAAAATGTAACATTTCATGAAATGGGTCTATCCCAAAGGGTCTTAGATGGTCTTTTAACTTGTGGCTTTTATAAGCCTTCGCCAATTCAATTTAAATCCATACCATTGGGAAGATGCGGATTCGGTAGAGTATAATTTATAGAATTATTATTAAATAATAAAATTATTATATTGTATTATCATATGATATTTTGTAGATCTGATTATAAGAGCAAAATCAGGAACTGGCAAAACAGCCGTCTTTGGAGTAATAGCGTTAGATATGATAGATATTGAAATAAACTGTATTCAAGTATTAATTTTAGCTCCTACGAGAGAAGTGGCCATTCAAATAAAAGAAGTATTAACAGCCCTTGGTTGTAAAATAAAAGGTAATAAACTCAATTTGCATTTTTATAAAGAACGTGTAGGAACATGTACATGCTTCTTATTTTGTTTCAAGGATTAATAGTGGAGTCATTTATTGGTGGCTCTACGATAGAATCGGATAGAAAAAAACTTTCCAATTGTCACATAGCAGTAGGTGCACCCGGTAGAGTTAAACATTTAATAGACAAAGGTTATTTGAAAGTGGATCATACTCGTTTATTTATACTCGACGAAGCCGATAAATTAATGGAAGATAGTTTTCAAAAGGATATCAAGTATGTATGAAATACGAATGAAATTAATTATATTTGCAAATGTAATTCATTTTTATTTTACAGTTACATCTTCTCAATACTTCCATTGAATAAACAAGTAATTTCATCGAGTGCAACGTATCCCGGAAATTTAGAAGTTTTTTTACAATCGTATATGCAAACACCCATGTTATCCACAGCAGACAACGATGAACCTATACTTATAGGATTGAAACAATTTGTTTCAGTAATTGCGAGTCATCCTAATGCAATGAGACAAGTAAATATATCAAAATATGAAAATGTCCAATGTAAAATAATTTATATCTAATATATTGTTAATACTTTAGGTTCAAATAAAAATAGAGGAATTAGTCAAAATATTTAAGAATGTACCATTTAAACAATGTCTTGTATTTACAAATTATCAAACCAGGTAATTTAAAATAATAAATAGAATGAAATAAGTCGTCTCATCGTTCATTTCAAACTGTTACTTTTTAGGGCTCAATCAATTTCCAATACAATAAATTCTTTAGGATTCTCCTCTAATTATATTATCGGTAATCAGAATATGGATAAGCGAATTGATACAATAAACAAATTGAAACATTTTAAATGCAAAATTCTATTAACAACGGACTTAACAGCAAGAGGCATAGATGCAGAAAATGTTAATTTAATAGTTAATTTAGATATTCCAATTGACAGTGCAACGTATCTGCATAGAATTGGAAGGGCTGGTCGTTATGGCTCTCATGGATTAATAATTAATATTATTTCACAAAAAGAATTAAATAAATTTAAAAATCTTTTATTGAGTGTTGGGGGAAAACAGTTTTCAATTAATAAATTGATGAAGAAATATCCAGATAATATTTGGACTGCCGATGATAGTACATTTGATAAAATACAAGCTGCACAAGAGACAATCGATAATAAGATTTGTGTGGAAAAAGTTGATATAGAGGGAATAAATGAAGTCTCGTCGTCCGATGAAGATTTTGTGGATATACAATGTATTCAATTGCCAAGTGAAAAATCTTATCTAAATCATATAACTGAGACTACTGACGTTGAGAGCAATAGTCAAGTAGACGAGGGTTTAGAATTGAAAGAATATTTTAGAGAAAACAATCTATGTGATGTTAGTGTAAAAGTATCGGACGAACCAACTACTTTAGAAATATTAAATGGTTGCAAACACGTTGCCATAAATTTAAATAAAGTGTTAGACAATGATTCATGTGAAACAGTGGATATGAATGAACTAATGGATATTAAAGAATCATTAAAAGTGAATTTTATAAAAAGAGACAACTCATCCAGTAATAATTCAGAATTAGATTTTGATAAAAAATCAGCCGATACTATAATTAGTCCTGAAGTAAATATTCAAAAGATAATTGAAGAAAGTAAAATTCATTTTAAACATGATGTTTTTGAAAGCGAGGAATTTCAAATACTTAAAAAATTCAATGTAAATATGAATAAAACGCTGGCTAATGATAAAATTTTAGAAGATACATCTTATCAAGCATATTGTTGGAAAAATAAACTCACTCATGAAATGATCTTATTGGAATTAATGTTACCAAAAAATGTCAAATCAATTTCTGTAATTAATTTTTATACTGCATTGCGTATGTTTTATAATTTACAAAAGAAAGCTCTTTTGTGCATTTATCCTGAAATTCGAGATGATAATGAAATGAAAGAAGCTTCTTTAAACGCTGAGGATACGTTGAACAAAAGTCTTCAAATATACCAGGGAAGAGATGTTCTTAAAACTGAGTATAATTTGTTAAGCGAAGAAAAATTTGAGTTTTATTATCCTTATTCAACGGATATTCGTAATCCATTACCGAATCTATTGATAAGTTGCAATGAACTTTCTCAATATATAAATGCTGTTAATTATTTGCAGTCTAATAAAGATATGTTTAAAATATGGTATAGAAAGAGACGCTTATTATGCCTAATGGACAATGACGCAAAGGAAATATTAAGTGAAAGAATTGAAAATAATCACAAGGTCAATTACGATGAATTAGCTAAAATTATATCCGGTACAGTAATTAAAAAGAATTCTAGTTCATCGACTTGTAAAGATAGCAGCTCCGTTTCGGAAATAGTTCCAACGCATGCAGATAACGGTTTGCAATCAAAAGTTTGTAAATTTCGAGAAAAAAATGAAAAACAATCTCAATTTACTCCATTAATAGCGAGTAATATATCGTATAACAATTTTAATCAAAGTTATTTCAATGGCAACATTGAAAGAGTAGATAAAATGGCGAATAATGCTGAATCGGAGGAAACGATAGACGATTTAGAATGTAATAATTCATTCGAGTCACAGGCATCGTCAAATGCATTTAATTTTAAGAATTATAACAAGATAGGTAATAACATGAATGTCGAATCGTCAAATCAATTTTCCAACACATTTCAATCGATACAAAATAACGTTATGGTTCATGATAATTACCAAGATGCATGTAACAGTATGAATCACGTTTGCTATGGTAATTCTAATTATTGTGATTTTGTAAATAATGACAATAGTGAAGTAGAAGAGTTTTTTATAAATTTAAGGCAACAGACAAATCAAATACATTTGCAAGAATATTATTATCACATGTTAAATCAAAATTAAAAATTTGTTCAAAAATCAATTCATAAAATTATCAAATTGAATTATCATAAAGATTTGAAATGCTTATGATCATTAATTGAGAATTATCAATAATAATTTGTAATTTTGCCAAATATAAGAGGAAATATAGGCCAAATATACAAGTAGAGAAACAATAGCATTTTCATATTTATAACAATATTATTAAGACTAAGCAAAACTTATTCAATTTTTATTAATATTATTGTATAAAAATGATTATTTCTTAAACATAAAGAATTTAATTGTATCGATGTGCATATTTTATCACTTGCGGTTAAAACTCATACTTACAAAGTGTTATACATGCATTTGTTCTTTTTTAATTAGATAGTACACGGCACGTACGTTGTAAAGAAAAACGATGTAATTATACATAAATATGCAGTGTTGTGAACAAATAATAGAATAAAGACGTAAGTGAAAAATAATGAAAAACATAAATGTAATAAATATATAAAAGACAATGTATCGTGACATTTATTTATGTTACTTGTAGTAAGAGAAGGTATCGATGTACTATAATAAAATTCAACATGTATATTTATTAAAATACTAAATAAATTTATTTTACTTAGAATATAATTATGAATTTTTGAAATAATATAGTGAAAAACAAAAGATACGTATTGAGCGTAATGCTGCTGCTATTTTAATAACATATTTTTTATAATTAAGTCTCACGAAAATTTATTATAAACGAAGAGTTTGTACAAATTAAAAAGCTTCTACTCTAATATTCAAATAATGAAAATTTGTATTCATATTTCCACGAATGATAGAATAGATCAATTGTAATTGATATTAAAAAATTCACTATGATAAATTAAAAAAGCACATGGTATATTGTTGAGAAAACATGTCGTCTTTATTATGTTAAGCGTGTGTGTGCTTCATACATATAAAATCATTTTAAACATTACTTTAGCAATTTAATATACATTAATTTCAAATATATTACAGACTAAGATGAAGTTATTTTTAACTGTTTAAATGCGAATTCCTTGATAATCAATCTATTAAACTATTAATTCATAACATTGACAAAATATTAATTTAGTTATTGTGATATTGTAATTGAGTAAATATATTTTGATAATATAAATTCAACATTACTTATGCACGTATTTACATGTATATAATACAAGTAAGAAAGCCAAATAATCTAATAGATAAAGAAAGAATGTTCTTCAAAAAATAAAGTTCACTTGCTAAACGTATCTTTAATAATGAATGTGAAAAATAATATTTGAAATGCTAAAAACATTCATATTGAAGATTAAGTATTAATACAAATACGGGTTATAATAGTATTTGATTTTCTTTTAAAAAAAAAAAAAAAAAAAAAAAAAAAAAAAAAAAAAAAAAAAACGCATTTTTTATGTATATGATAAATCAATCTCGATCGTGTGAATGCGTATATGTAAAATTATATTTATTTAATGTCATAATGAAAGATATTTAAACTTATTACGTACATGTACCATGCCATGAACATTGACAAAGAAACATATTTTGATATTATCGTCGGATTATTATAATTCATTTTATTGTAAATATATATATATATATATATATATATATATATATATATACATATATATATATATATATATGTTTTTTTAATATCAAATAAATTTTATATATTGTAATTCATGTTTATCATCTTAAATTTTATTTTCCTGCTCTCCTTTTAAAAGTTTGAAATGAATCCATAAAGTACAACCAATTGGGCCCAAAGTTTCTACTGCGCAGATTCAATTTCCAAGAATATGCATCAACGGTTATATCTATTTAATTGGTTAAATCTATGGTTTTGACGGGAAAGAAAATGTTTATAACAATTGTAGTTGCGGCAGTGGTGTGACCGAACCTGACTGTAGTATTGGAATACAGTAATTGTAAATAAATAAAAATGGTATGTAAAATAATCTGAAATAATGTAAATATGAATTTCAAATACGATTTAAAATACTAAATGAATAAATTTTTTTTTTATAGGCGCGAAATGCAGAAAAGGCTATGTATGTTATTTAAATGGTTATACATAAGTTGTTTATCAGTGCACCTCGATATATATTCTAAATTATTAATGTTTTATGTTAAAGGACAACATTAGCTCGGTGGCGAGCCGCACATTGTAACGATGGAATAAAAAAGGAACAAGAAAGGAGACCTTACCTTGCGTCCGAGTGTAAAGACTTGAGGAAAGCTGAGAAATGGCGAATACAAATAATTAGAGAAATAGCTAAAAAAGTTGCTCAAATACAGAATGCCGGTTTAGGTGAATTTAGAATTAGAGATCTTAACGACGAAATCAATAAATTACTTAGAGAGAAACGACATTGGGAAGTACAAATAAAAGAACTTGGTGGTCCAGATTATTCTCGTACAGGACCTCGTATGTTAGATCACGAAGGCAGAGAGGTATGTTATGTTTATAAAATTTTGTTTTAAATATAATTATATTATTATTTATGCAGTATGTTAAGATTACCGTTGCGATTCGATTATTATTATCTTGTTCATTTAAATTTAAATCGTTACCGAATTATTATTATTATTATATAATTATTTGATTAGTATTATCCGATAGAACTTCTTTGTAATTTATTAACAAATAGATTAATAATTATCATATATGAAATAAATGTAAGCCTACCCTATATTATTGAATAAGATTGAATTAAATGAATTCAATTTGAAATAAGTAAGCTTATTTAACAATATAGTAATATCGATTTAAAATTAATACAAAAAAAACAATAAATAATTCAATTAAAATTTTGCAATTATTTTATGCTTAATTGATTATTTATAAAATATACAAATAATAGAATAGAATAGATAAATTGAAATAATTAATATTTATACAATAAAAATAAATGTATATGATGTTTTATAAAATAAATTAGAATGATCAATAGATAGATAAGGAGTAGAATTAGAAATTAATTTTGTTGTTGTTGATATTGTCTTCAATGATATACATTGATATACAGAGTTTAATTCATTAGCATTATTTTTTTTCATTTTATGTTTCATTATGGTCAATTTTCCAAAATATTGTTCTTTAAAAATTCTTATCTCTGAATTTTCTATGTAATATTTATAATCAATATTTTAGTTTCTCGATTAACTTCCCTTACAAAACTATAAGTTTACATTCAAATTCATGTATTTTAGATATTTAATTATTAATAATTATATATACTATTAAGTAATCTCTGTACAGCATACCAATTGATATAATTTAAATTAAAATATCGACAGTGGTTTTTTCAATGATTATTTTCGAATCAATTTTGTTAGTAATTGAATCACAGAAATATTAACTATTAATTCATTGTCAATTGTCATTTATTTAATAATTTTCTTTTATTTGATACATTAGTTTCTAGAAATGTAGTGGAATTATCATCTGTATACAAAAAATAGACATTATATTTAAGTATTAATATTTCATTATTTTGCAACATATAGTTTATTATTGTCTTTATTATTATAAAATAGAATAAAATGCATATAATGAAGATAAATTAAAACTATATAAAATTCATAATTAGTTTATGTTTCTGTTATAATGACTGAACTATAATTTTAAAGATTAATAGAACAACAAAAATCTTTATGAAATAAAGATACAGTAGTAAAATTAAATATTCTTAAGGTGCCTGGAAATAGAGGATATAAATATTTTGGAGCAGCAAAAGATTTACCTGGTGTTAGAGAATTGTTTGAACAAGAGCCTCCACCGCCACCTAGAAAAACACGTGCAGAATTAATGAAAGACATCGATGCGGATTATTATGGTTATAGAGACGATGACGATGGTATATTATTTCCTCTAGAGCAGAAAGATGAACAGGAATATAGAGAAAGACTAATTGAAAATTGGAAAAGCGAAAAGAATAATAAAGAAAACGATGTTTCAGAGAATAATAATGAAATTCAGTCTTCTCAAATGCATATTCCTAGTCAAACAGAAGTTCAGGAAGTTTTACTGTTGCGCAAAAAGCAAGAGCTTCTAGATAAATATGTATAATTTGTAATTAACAAGTATAAAAATAACATAATCATGTACATAAATAAAATTTGTATTTATTTTGATTAAAAAAAAAAAAAAAAAAAAAAAAAAAAAAAAAAAAAATTGAAACTGTATTATTATTTTTCGTCAGCATATTTATTTGAGCAAATAGTAACAACTATTCATAAGCTGATGTCATTGAATAATGTCGGATAATTGTTTTATAAAACACCACTGATGTACATATTATTTAAATTTCTTTTACATTATGAAATAACATTGATTAAAGATATAACTACTTTGTGCAGTAGACGTTAAAATTTTTATGAATAATTATTAAAAATAGGTGCTACAGATAGGACGTGGATTCAATTCATTAATTTGTCGATATACTTGTGATGATTGCAAGTTAGTTAAATCAAATATTTCCAATATTCTTTGTTCATCTTTACATGTCATTACATAAAGTATGATTTTGTTAATATATATTAATAAGTATCAATGTTCATAAAAATTTAATAGGCAAGAATTCATTTCTGATATCATCAACTAGTTATAAAATGTAATAGACTTTCGTTATAAATCATCATTAGACGTACATTAAATAAAGTCTGTATATAACATTAAATGCATTGCATTAATAAAATGGCATAGATAAAATTGAAATACATATTTTATATGTCATCGTTAATTGTAAATATTAGTTTTTGATAAAGTGTTTAATAAATGTGCCTATTAACATATACAAAGAGTATATTGATGAAATGCAAGGAATCGAACCAAGATTTATTCAAATAGCTTATCTCGAGTAATTTCTGAATTACGTTCTAATATCTCACGTATAAAGTACTTGTTAGGGTGCTTTAATCGTGATTCATTTAACACGAATGAAATTTTAAGTTTTGAAGTTTTAATCTATTGAAATGAGAAATTCTATAATCAGATGAAAGAAGAACAAGTATCTTTGCATCGTAGTTTTCGTTCGATTAATGATCAGTCGCCACGCTCGTTATTTTTTATTTTTGTTTTGTTTTTGTTTTTGTTTTTGTTTTTGTTTTTCTTCCTTTTTATTTCCAATCTCAAAGTATATTTGTATACAATATTATTCTCCTAACTATAGTTTTCTGTTTCACATTCTTAAAGCAGAGCTTAATTGTTCTTTTTCATTCACAATTTTCATTAACTTTTGTATTCTCTTACAATATATTATTACGATGGATAGTATATCAATTTCTAAAATCACAACTGCATTTACAAGGTGCGTATGCAAGTTTATTGTGCGTCATTGAATGTAAAATCCGTTTACTTATACTTTATTAATTTCATGTTTCATTTTTTTCTTCTTCCTCTTTTTTTTTTTTTCTTTGGTTTTGTTTTGTTTCTTTTGCCAGCATTATTATCGTTTGAGTCTAGCAACACATTTTGAACCATATTTAACCATTCCGACCTCGTCAAAGGATGCCAAAATGTAACACCCAAATTCGACGCAAGACGAACAATATAGCGCACATCTGCTCGAGGGACGAAAGGCACAAAGTAAATTAAAGAGTGAATATATATATATATATATGTGTGTGTGTGTGCGTGCGTGTGTGTGTGCGCGCGCGCGCGCGCGCGAGTGTATTATTAAGTCAGCCCCAATAGGCATTAAACCACTCGGATAGTCTATGTTATACACGACGTAGAATTTTTAAGAATTTGCATTTACTTAAATCCCTTCGTTACATCAAATTAGTTATAATAAAGCACTGAAATGATTGAAAATTCAAAATCTGTGGATAGAATGGGAGGGGACTATTGGCATTGAATTTGATTTTTAAATTAGAACTTTGGCCGATAAATTACAGTCTCTTTTCGCATAAATCGTTTTGTCAGTGACAATTTTTGTTTTTTGTTTTGTTTTGTTTTTTTTTTTGTTTTTTTTTTTGGTTCTTTACTTTTGTTTTTTTTTTCACCCCTGATATCTTCGCCAAACAATAAATATAAAGCGTCTTCGAACATTCAAATACGTATGAAAATTCTGATCTGTTTATCCCACATCTTTTGTATAATACATGATTCATTACATGTCTCGAGCCGACATTGTAATTTTAGCGTATCAAAGTGAATTCTCACAAAAAAGTTCTCGCGCGCTCATCGCTCCAGGCTTTCGTTTAATAGTTGCGCACGTGTGCCATAAAAATAAAGACCGTTTTTTTTTTTTTTGTTTTATCACGTTTAAATCACCTTTCTATCGCCTTGAAAAATTACCTTCTTAATTATAAGGTACACAATGGCTTTGATATCGTTCGTAAAGATATCTCTCGAGTTAGCAAAAGAAATTTTGCCAAGTGTCCGCTTATACGACGATTATGATCGCGTCGATCGGATCGTCTTTAAAACCTTGGCAGTTAATTTGCCTAGTTTGTAATATTTTCAAATAGGAATATGCCACAGCAATAATTGAGCGACCGTGCTCTTCGACGTCTGCGATTACTCGTCATTGCTCGTTCACAGCTCCATCGAAGTACTTGGAATCGCCCTAGTTTAAAAAAAAAAAAAAAGAAAAAGGGCAGCCGTTGATAGGGCTCGTCGAGCGAGGCTCAGGGTCTGAGAAGCGAGTGCCAACGCTGGATTTGCGTTGGCTGTCGAGCAGCGCGCATGTCATTCCAATGCTGGAGCTCTTCAGAACCGGAGCTACTCTCTCCAAGGCACAGCCAGCCGATCATTTGGCGACCTTTTTTGCCCATTGCTGTTCTGCGCCGATTGTAGACCGATAAGTAAAGGGTAACGTCTCCGAGTTGGAACAAAGCGACCTAAAATTATTTAAGCGAACCTTACAATTTCATATTTTATGAGCTCCAAGACATCTAAATGTATAATTATTTCAACAATCGTACTCCTTTCATCTCAGACAAATAAGTCCACTTTTAATATTATTAATTATATATTTATGCACGCGAATGTAATTTATCTCCTATAAACAAGTAATATTAATAATAACATTGTTGGTCGTTATATTTAACTCTAATTGTACTTTTATCCATATTACTATCGATACATCAATGTATATATATATATATATATATATATATACATATATATATATATAGAATATACAGTAGAATATATTATCCATCAAAAAATATCCATCTTACCTGAAATATAAATGTATCCTTGTAAAGAGGATTTGGTTGTGCACGCCTCAAGCCAGTCTTAGCGCGACCCATTTCGTGCCCATTACTATCGACTAATACTAGCTTAACATAAGTATCGGGTGGCTTTGTGTCGTTGCCTCGTCCACCACGAAAATGCGAGCCTTTTATGATTTCAACCGATAAGCATCCGGTTGTGCCGTTGTACGTCAAGCCAATAAGGATTTCCGCGATACTGCCACCCTTCATGCTACTGCCATATGGTGGAGTAATTGATAAAGCATAGGATTGTACAGATTGCTGAGAGCCAGTTGAATCGCTACGAGTTAGGCTTGGAGTAGTGCCCCAATCTTGTATCTGAATAAGATGGAAAATACGTGCTCGATAGAATAACTATTAAAAATAAAATTATTTATTCGACTGGCATTGATCGTTCGACTACCTTTATCCTAATCGTTAATCCAAAAGCTGCGTATATAAGTCTTTGTTTGTATTGAAATTAAATTAAATTTACAGAAATGAGACCATCAAAATATTCCAACACATAGTAATAATATCAATAATATCATACGGATAAAAAGTTTTCCATTAAATTAATAAATATAAAATTAATCAAGCTATTTTATTTTTATTTTTATTACATTCAATCAATGTTAAACAAAACTGCTTTAAGCGCAAATGAATATCTAGGAAAAGCATTATAAGCTTAATAAAATATAAAATTTAGCTAATATTTAATTAATTTGCAAAATTATGCGATACAATTAAATGATCGATTTAAAAATAAATTTAACTTCATCGAGTCACAATTAAAGACGTTTAATCTAATCGAAGTTAAGTAGTAGTTTCGAGTGCGATCAGACGTATTTTAAAATTTCCTTGCCATCCAATTGAAATTTGTCTCGAATTGCGTAGAACGAAATTATTATTTTACTCCGCAATTCGAGGGGTTTTTATGACGGAGAAAAGTAAAGTAAAATATGATGTAGTGTCGAAGTAATGTAGAAATGATAGAAGAAATTAAAATTCTCCGTAACGGTTAAACCTACGGAGGATGCAGGCGGTAACTGAAGGGTTAGCCAAAGTGTAGTCTCAAGGCGCAGATTAATTCGATCGAAAGAAATTCGGGCTTCGCCAAGTAGTCGTTCCCTACGCATTCGACCACTCCACAAGTATACTCTAACGCGAATTCCCATGGCGTTAACATCCTCCGGGTTAACTCGAGGCAGTAAGAAGCTCTCCATGTATTGAGGTGAAGGTCCTTGACGTATACGAGTTTTGCGACGTTGCTTTTTCGAAGGTAATAATAGAAGGCGCACTTGACTACCTCCCATTCCTGTCGGATAATTTCGACCTTGAAGAACATGAACCTAAAAATAATAAAAGCTGCGTACATGCTAGGAGGAAACCGAGACTGATAAACACAGCGATTCTCACTTTCTTTTAATAGAAATATTTTTCTTCGGCCTTTCCAGATGTATATATATATATATATATATATATATATATACAACGATGCAAAAATAAAAACAAATAATGATTTTTATTTCAAAATTGTAATCAAACTCGAGTCAAACTATTGTTTTAATCGATAATTTTAATATTATCGACATTGATTTTCAACCTATTCTTCTTTCGTGGGGAAGCCGAAGATAAAATTTTCATGTCATTTGATACGCATAAGAAAAATACTGTATATTGCCATATATATATATATATATATATATATATATATATATATATATATTTATTTTTTCTCTTACACATAAAATAATTTCTAATAAGAATTTGTCATTTATCTACAATGTAAATGATAATACTTACATATAAGTTTTATATTGTTTGTGAGATAAAAAATATCGAGAGCTGCGTAAGTAGTTCTAAACGTTTTTGTATAATGCAATCAGTAATTTAAGTAAATAAATATATTTTGATTATTATTAGAGATTTTTCTAATGTACCGAGATGTTCGATAAAACTCCAAAATACCCATGATATATACATATAAAATCTTACGTACCGTCATCTCTCGCATTGGTGCATCATAAAGGAATGCAACCTCGATGCTCGCTATCTCTTCGCTTGAAATAGCCGAGAACGAGGCAATGGTATCATGTGTTGCCATGGCGCCATTTTCGTTAATTATCGGCGGCTCATTTTCTATGTCATTAACAATGACATTAGGCGAGCTTACTTCGACAATACACTGAAATACAATGATCATTGTGTTAACATACATTGGCCATCGTTACAGTTTAACCATGTACGAGAATTTTTTATGTTAAATATTTAAGAAGAGATATACCTGCTGCTGGTCATTAATGTGATTATCAGTACAATTATTGTTGTTGACCGTCCCAACGTCTGTGAATTACAAATTGTAAATTACTACTACGCAAATTTCAGTCATTTTCATTCATATTTTATGTTTATTCTTGTAGTTGTTTGTGAATAAATTATTGACTTGTTATGTGGATTTTTAACTATTTTAATCTGTGTATCGTATTCTTTTTTTTTTTTTTTTTTTTTTTTTTTTTTTTTTTTTAACTTGTAAGGCTTACATTGTTTTGTCTCTGAACGTGAATTTAGAGATCCAAAATGTTTGAGGTCTAATTAGTTAATTAAAATCTACTAAATAAATTATGGGAGCTTTGAATTTGCATTTTAATTTTAATTAAGTTAAATGGCCAAACGGTGGCTGGACACTAGCAAGTCATACGATTTCTTATATGTTCGTTATTGACAGACCTGATATGCTGGGCAGCCCATCGTCTGCTTGAATCGTCAGTGTTTCTAGTGGCAAACGATTTAGCGAATTTAATCGACGCAAAGCGTCCTCTTCCGAATCGGAACTTGTTTCAATATCCGAGAATGGACAAGCTTTACCTATTTCAATAGATTTTTCACTTTAATCTTATAAATTCAATTTAGGCTCATTATACAATAAAAATAAGGATTAGATTTGTAGCTTTACTGATGAGCTGATGAATTTGCAGAATATAATGCTTATAAAATTAGATGAAAGTAGCATTATTTTATACACACACGCGCACACACGCACACGCGCACACGCGCGCGCGCGCACACACACACACACATATATATATATATATATATATATATAGTGAAGTATCGGTTATAGTTTGATAATATCCAATCAATTCAAATAATAATGTAATTGACAATGATAAATAAGTAAAAGAATAAATACGCTTGTGGCAAGAAATAAATAATGAAAAGTAACGAACGAATGAGTTAAGTATTTCATGTGAAAATGTGACATTTCAAAAACATTAGGGCATACAGTCGATCAAAATACCTAAATTCTGGACGGCGGAGCTGTCGCTGGATTCACAAATTGGCACGCAGACGCCGCCAAAGAGTGTCGCTGCCGTTGTGGGTGGTGTTAAGTACCACTTGTGCGACAAATACAATACAACGGCGAGTAGTAGTACAACAAATCCAATACAGGCACCCAGAAACGCTGTTTCTACTGTCAACGCAAACAAATTCAATTCATCGTCATTTTTAAAGGTTGCCCCCTCCCCACTCCCTTTAAAAAAAAATTTTTTTTTTTATTTTTATTTCTATTATTATTTTCTACGAAGAATGCTGTTTCTTAATGTTGGAGTTAAATTGCGTATCAACGCCATCGAAATTTGTTTATTATTCTCACAAACTACAAGCTTATTTTCGTAACATTTAACGCGACTCTCTTATGTGTATACGTAGCTTCTTACTGCAAATACTTAAAATATTATTTATTTATTGCATTACACATCGCTGAATAACTGTCTATTTACTTACTATAGTCACTTATACATTATGCATTACTTACTATAGAATCATCTAATGTTAATTTAAGTAGATCAATATTTAAATATGCAGTAAGCTCAAACTTTTATATATAAAATTCAAGATGTTTGTCTTATAAGCTTGACTTGTGTCAAATGCTTTTTCTAATTTTTTAACTAAAACGTAAATATTTTGAGATTATATTTTTATGTCATTATTAATGATTTTACTTAAGGAGATAAAAATGTATTCTTAGTGCAAATTTTTTCACTTGTATCGCAATAAAGACATTGACGATAAATCGATTGATCGAAAGCTGAAACAGACTAAATTTACAATTTACGATTAAACAAATGCAATATAAGTCAAGGGGTATTTTAATTTGTAGTCATTCATTAAGTATTATAATATTATTTAATTATATTCTAATGTATAGTATTGCTTTAATTTACGTTATTTATTGATTAAATTATCAAATTATCAGTGTAAAAAGAGCTTATATCGATATTAAACGATGGAAACTAAACATTTTTTTAACAAATTTCGTCACACACATGTAGTAATAATAACTGAATTCAAATAAAAAAAAAAAAAAAAAAAAAAAATTGAAATAATTCCACGGTATCGGAATAATCGTATTTATTTCAATTTTCAATTTTTAAAACGTAGAATACTAAGAAGAGAAAAGAAAAGAGGAAAGAAAAATGAAGCTTCGATATCTTGTAAAGTTAAAAATACCAGATAGTTTTAAATTATATATCGAATGCTTAATTTTTAACTTATTATTATATCTACGGTAATATTATTTACAGTTTCTTGTCAAAATGCACTTCTTATGTTGACGAAGGCAATCAATGTACTTTAAATTTGCATCAATAAAGAATAAAATCATTGATTCCCTTTATAGAGAGCAATTTGGAAAGTTTTTCAATTATTAATTCATCGGGAATATATAATACTTTTATTCTAGTTACGCTGCTTTACAATCTATATTACCTTCTCCATATCAGTTTTCTTTCTTTTTTTACCCCAATAAAATCATTCTAAGACAAATGTTGAATAAATTCAACAAACAGAGCTGCTTAATTTTTTATGAACTGTATTGTATGTAAATAATGGAGTTGTAAGTTCTAAGATAACGATTCTTTAACATCGATCCTAACTAATTGAATCATTATAAAAAGTAATATTTTAACTATACCTGTCGACGCCAAATTACGACAATTCAGACTCGAAAGTTTGAATTTATAAATTATTAATTAAATGGACAAAATGCCTTTATATTTTCAATTACGCGCTCTTCTTAAAACAATGTTTTATTTTACCCAATAATACGCATTACAAGGCTAATTTGGTTAAAAATTTGTTAGTACAATCGTGCATTCGGCCAACGAGCAACAAATTAAAATAACGACCTGCATGAAAATTTTATACTTATCGACAATAACATCGGCACTCTTACACTAAGCGTTAATTAATAATAGTAGTGGTTGTAAGAAAACAAGAGTAATAAATCTGCAGTGCACATCGCACATGCCTCCCACCACTATTCCAATATAATTCTAATAAAGCTCTATGCTAACGGCAATGAATGCTCGCAGCCGTTATTTACAAAAGAATCGATTGCAACGAACGTTAATGAATTCGAGGGTCTTGGGGGGGGGGGGGGAAGAAAAAATAACGAGTGTCGAGCGTGGTATCGAGGAGCAATGTAGGCAAAACAGTCGGACAATTTGTCCGGAACCAACGATCCTCACGAGTCTCTCGACCCTCCATCCTTTCCTCGCCCAGCTCAAGTTTCGGTAGTCAAGTGTTGACGATTCTCGTAAGCTAGCGAGCGCTCGCCCAGGGCGAACACCTAGCAGCAAGAGCCACGAGTCGTCGTGCGCTCCCGTTGAAGATGGACTTACCCGCGAGTGAATGGTTTGATCCGGCCAGAGTCATGCTCAAGCTCGGATTCCCTCAGCACGGCTCGGCCCTGGCCCCACCGGCCGCTCCTCGCATCTCATTCGCGGGTCCTTGGCACGCGGCCTGACTCTTTCTCTCTCTCTCTCTCTCTTCCTCGCTCTCTCTCTCTCTCTCTCTCTCTCTCTTTCTCAATCTCTCAATCTCTCTCTCAATCTATATCTCTATTTCTCTGCCTTTGCCGTCGTCGTGGCCCTCTTAAAGGGCCCGATTTCGCGAGCACGCGTCGCCTCTACCTCGCGTCGTTGGCACGCGCGTTACTCTCGCGCTCACCCAACTCGGCCCGACGACGCAGGTTGCAGCTGCAGCCGTGCATGCGCGCACTCAAGCGCACGCGTTCGAGGACTTCCTCGCCTCGCGACCGATGGAGGGAGTGTCGACTGTTGCTTTATCGCTGTCCGCCCACCCGGAGAGGGTATGCGCAGCCGATAGTGGACAGCGCGCACGCGTCCAGGAATTATTAATATGTGCGAGAGGTAAGGCGCGAGGTGAGCGATAAAGCTCCGTTCAAATACACGCGCGAATCCCCGAATTCGTCCTTATCGCTCGTACTTTGCCCACGAGAATCTCTTATTAAGACATTCTACTTTTTCTAATTCTAAAACCTTCCAAAGCTTTAGAATTCACGTTCAATACAAGCTCGCTCTCTCTCTCTCTCTCTCTCTCTCTCTCTCTCTCTCTCTGTATGCATATGTTTATATATATGCGTGTATGCACGTATACGCACGCATGAGGTATAATATTATCTGATAGACCCTAATAATTAACTTTGAATAAATTACTTAAAGTGTATACATAAATCATCTCGTATCAAAATTTAATATTAAGTGATAATGTAAAATACCGAATATTTATAATGAATTATGAATATTACAAGAACATTATAAGTTAAATTATTATATAAAGATTATTTTATATTTTGCATAAGTTACCTCCGTAGCTGAATAATATTAATCATAGACTGTTACAATTCCAAAATTTTTAATTTTATCAGAGCGTTAACTGGTTTTTATACTTTCCAATTACAGAAATTAAATAACCACGCAATTATTAATTTCTCTATTAGTCAGGAAATTATCAAGGATACTGGAATATTTAGTTTTTATAAATATTTCGAAGCCAAGCAAAAAGTTGACCGTCGCTTAACTGCACTTGCAACACTTTTCTTAAACTTACAATGTTGCAATTATAGATACGTTTAATCATTGATTTTTTTTTTAATCAATGTAATTTGCAAATTTAAGGAATATTTTGCCATTAGTGCAGAATTATGAATAGCTTTGTTTTTGTTTTCTCTATTTGCTTTTAGTAGATGCAAGGAAAATTATCACTAGATTTGGCCCGTCAAATGAATAAGGTAAATTTTTTTAATACAAAGTGCAAGAAAAAATTACGAGTACAATAAATAGATCAAGAATGCGAAAGCGCGCGTAAATTAGTAAAAGAAAGAGTAAAGGGAAAGAGAACTATATTAACAATATAATAGAATCTGTTGAGAAAATATTAAATTATTTTAAGAAGCGCAAAATATCCAATGATATATTGAGGTCGTTTTCAGATTGTTTTCTTATTAATAAACTGTTAAATATTAATAACATTAATAAACTGTTGAATCCTAAGCGGTTATCCTACGATCACTTAACAAGCATCAGATAGTAAGAGACATTCTCCTTGAATCCCTAAAATATTTTATCATGTACATGGATGGGAAAACTCCTTTCGGGAGATTTGCGACTCGCACATTGGTCGTATCAATATTTAAAAAGTTCTGTTCAAACATTACATTAATAGATGTGCAATCAACATAAAATAACGCTACATTGCAATAGTTATATTACAACGATAGTACTACTACATTCAACGATACAGTAAAATACAACGCTTGTGCATGTAGAATAGTGACGATTGTGGAGACAATCTTCATTGTAAAATGCGAAGGTATGCCGATTATGGATTAAAAAGTGGCTCAAGGCCGATTGAGCCTAATATTTTAATAGGTAAATAAATAAAAACACACGAAGTCAGAGGTATGCTGAATAAAAGAAAGTGAAAGAAAACTTTCGAGAGGTGATACAAAATTACGTAACGAACAAACTCGTGTGTTCCGACATCCATGCTAAAAGTCAGGCTATTTTTGCAAGAATTACTGTTTTGCAACAACAACAAAGTAAATGAAGCTGTATCACCGAGCAAACGTGCAGGTTAATCACGTTTTTATATTTGTGGTAATGTACTAATAGTTGATAAATAAACTTTCCTATGTTTTAAAGTCTTCTTAAAAAGAGACCGATTTTTAAAAAGAGATTTATCGAAAGGATGCGCGGTAAAATTAGGAAAAATACGGAAAAATTCAGGTGAGTTGATCCTATTTGTTTTTAATGCGAGTGGAAAATTACTTCAAGTTCAATTCAATTGTAAGTAGATGAAGCGTAATACGAATTTTCATAATTTTTCACAATAGGTAATATGAGCATTCTGCTAGAAACAATTATTATCGTTTTCGGCTGCACTCATTAGCAATTTTTTTTTCTCTTTTTTTATCTGCCTTCTCACATAAATCTTTACATGCATGCAAATATAATTTAAAGTTTTATATTTCAATTGATATTTAATAAATATAATTTTTACATTACTTAATTCATAATTATTACAATCATATAAATTTCTTACAACTAGTTTTAGTAATTTTATTGAACAATAACATAATAAGAAAAATGCTAAAGTCATTCAGAAAAACAATATGGTAAACATTAATCTTTAATTATTTCTTATTCTAATAATTCTGTTTTAAAAAAATCTACAATGTATAAATGCCATACATACAATTATCGTATATTTATTAAAATTCTTAAAAAAAAAAAGAAGAAAATAATAATAATTAAAATAGATTGTATTATTAAAATGATTAAAGTTTAATTAAAGTAATACATATTTTTGTAATAGTGTTAAGAAAATAAAGTTTTGAATAATAGGCTATCTTGTATAAATATAAGCTGACAGTATTTATAGCCATATATATATGCATATGTATATGTATATATATATATATATGCATATGTGTGTTTGTGTGTGTGTATGCGTGTGTTCGTTTGCATACGTGTGTGCATATGTGTGTATATATATGTATGCGTATATGCATATTGATAATTAATAAATTGAAGAAATTTTGTAATACGCTACAATTAAACTATAATTTGTTATTTTTTATCATAATTGCCAATGTTTTATTAATGTGCAATACTAACAACATTTTTATCCATAGTTATTGAATTACTTTCTTTTTTCTTGTCTTGCCTGACATGGCGGGTGCTATTGTACGAAGTTTTAACCTTCCAAGAAAACAATTAGGTGAATAGTTGATTTATTTTACAATTGATGTCGTAATAAACATATTCCATATAAAATTATTTCGATGCTTATATTTTACATTGTATATTGCTTCTAAATTATATGAATTTTTAATATTTCTTATTTGTTTTAAGTTACATAACCTTTTGTATCTATTCGTCATAGGTCTTCTTGGACAGATTCGAAATAAGCAACAACCGAAGAATTATTCTGATGCTGCGTCCGAAGGAAAGGTAATGTTTTAATTTATATAAGCATGACTTAAGGAATTAAATGCTAAATGTGAATTTGAAACAATATACGCACCAACTGTAGATGTTATTAAGCATTAGTGTGTTAGCTTTATAATTTGTTGATACTTGCACATAGAATTTAGCAATTCTTTAAGTATTAATTCATTGTTTTTTTTATTTAACGAGTAATACATATATATATATATATATATATATATATATATATATATAACATATATATATATATATATACATATATATATAATATATATATATATGCATACACATAATTTTAGAAATTTTAACCAAGTGTATTTAAACTAGTGAGATTTTTATTTTATCGAACAATTATCGTGTGTGTGTGTGTGTGTGTGCGTGTGTGTGCGTGTACATATAGATATACATGCATATTGCAGTGTATGTATACATAGTATTTGTCTAATTATATCTAAAATTATATAAATCAAATTAAAATATAGCTCATAAAGAATTCTCTAATAAAATATTTTTCTTACAGAAATATGGCAGCCCTCTTAAAGATGAAGATCGTATTTTTACTAATTTATATGGTAGACACGACTGGAGATTAAAAGGGGCTATGAAACGAGGTGATTGGTATAAGACAAAAGAAATAATAGATAAAGGAGCAGATTGGATTATCAATGAAGTTAAATTATCTGGCCTTCGTGGTCGAGGAGGAGCAGGATTTCCTTCTGGAATGAAATGGTCATTCATGAATAAACCTTCAGATGGGAGACCTAAATTTCTTGTTGTCAATGGAGACGAAGGAGAACCAGGAACATGTAAGGATCGCGAAATTTTACGACATGATCCACACAAGCTTATCGAAGGCTGTCTGATCGCTGGAAAAGCTATGGGAGCTTGTGCAGCTTATATTTATATTCGTGGAGAATTTTATAATGAAGCATCTAATACACAAGTTGCAATTGCCGAAGCTTACCAAGCTGGTTTAATTGGAAAAAATTCTTGTAACTCTGGTTATGATTTCGATATCTTTGTACAAAGAGGAGCTGGTGCTTATATTTGTGGTGAAGAAACTGCTTTGATTGAATCCATTGAAGGGAAACAAGGAAAACCAAGATTAAAGCCACCTTTTCCTGCTGATGTTGGTCTTTTTGGTTGCCCTACAACCGTGACAAATGTAGAAACTGTTGCAGTTGCTCCAGTAAGTATATTTGACACTGATATCCGAGGGTCTCGTAAATATTATTTAATAGTTACAATATACGGATATAGTAAATCGACTTTTATTAAAAAATTACAATGTCTTATGTAATTTATCTTTTATTTAAGGCTATTTGTCGACGTGGAGGTAGTTGGTTTGCATCTTTCGGTAGACCACGTAACAGCGGAACAAAGCTTTACAATATTTCAGGTCATGTTAACAATCCATGCACAGTTGAAGAAGAAATGTCAATTCCTTTAAAAGAATTGATAGAAAGACACGCTGGTGGTGTAATAGGAGGTTGGGATAATCTTTTGGGTATTATTCCTGGTGGTTCTTCCACTCCTGTTATTCCAAAAAAGTAATGTGAATTATACATTTAATCGATAATTGTGCACATATCTATATTAAACAGATAAATAAACACGTGAATTGTGATTTTAATTCTTAAAATACTTTCAGCATTTGCGATACGGTACTCATGGATTACGACGATCTCGTCAGAGTGCAAAGTTCTTTTGGTACAGCTGCTGTTATTGTAATGAACAAACAAACCGATATAATTAAAGCAATTACACGTCTTATTAGTTTTTATAAACATGAATCGTGTGGTCAATGCACACCTTGCCGAGAAGGTATTAGTTGGATGTACAAAATTCTTCAAAGGTTATTTACAATTATTATTTACAACGAATCTACAAGTTATCCTCATTAGTTATTCATTAAGAAAATGATATTAATATGTAATTTTAATTTATTTCTCAGATTTGTCGAGGGTAATGCAGAAGTACAAGAAATTGATATGTTATGGGAGCTTACAAAACAAATTGAATTGCACACGATATGTGCTCTCGCTGATGGAGCAGCATGGCCTGTGCAAGGACTTATTAGACATTTTAGACCTGAAATTGAGGATAGAATAAAAAATTTCAAAGTGAATGATTTAGTTTCATGTTAATTAGGTTATATAGAATAATAATACTTCTTTGAAGTGTAAAAAAGTTGTTTATTTATTTTTCACATGTATATAGAAGCTTATTTAATATTTTTATGAAATTAATTTTTGCATTATAATTCAATTTTTTTAATATTTATATTTGTTAAAAGCCTTTTGAAGTTGTTTTTAAAATTAATTTTAATACACAATCAGATCATTATTATTTATATTATTATTGTTTATCATTGAAATACTTGTGAATTTTAAGACTGTTTCTCTTCTAAATGTGCAAGTACAAAATAAATATATTTCTTACTTTAAATCTTATATTCAATTGCTAATAGTTTAAATAAATAAATTTTTTGTCTTACTATCTGTAGTAAATATAATAATAAATAAAATAATTTTATGCGCACTGAAATTATATAAATTAGAAATTATTGTTTAAAAAAAAAAAAAAAAAAAAAAAAAAAAAAAAAAAAAAAAAAAAATCTATTTTTATTTAAATCCCTATTAATAAAAAGGATGGGTTCTCCACATAATGTTTCCATAAATTTGAGAATTTGGCTATTGTTACGCCATCAACAACTCGGTGATCTGCTGCCCAACTGACTGTTAATATATTCGTGGCAATAACATTATTATGTTCATCAAATCTAGGTAGCTTTTGAATTTTTCCAAAAGCACCAATTACAATCTGAGGTGCCAATATAATTGGTTTGGTATATGTTCCTCCAATCTGAAAATAAATTAGATATTCACAATTAAATAAAAATAATTTTTTATAGAAAAAAAAGAAAATATACATATATATATATATATATATATAGACTTACAATGCCAATATTAGAAATTGAGAAAGTACCACCAGTGAGATCAGTTGGACTAATCGATGATTTTTTTCCAAGTTCTTGTAGTCTATTAAGTTCTTTAGTGATTTCAAATATATTTAATTTTTGAACATTCTTTATATTAGGAACAATTAAGCCATCGGGAGTATCCATGGCAAGAGAAATGTTATGCTCTTGTTTAATATCTAGAGACTCAGTCTCGGTATTGATTAATGCATTTAATATTGGAAATTGAAGCAAAGCTTGGGATATTGCTTTTATAAAAAATGGCATATAAGAAAGGCCGAGGCCCTGCTTGTTAAAAGCTTCCTTTACTTGATTACGCAGTTTTATTAGTTTGGAGACATCACATTCGTCGCTATACACAAAATGAGGAATCGCCTGGAAAATAAATATTACCCTATCTGTTTATATTCTAAAAATTTGAAGAATAATTTAAACGGTTATCAATTGTTATATTAAAAAAAAAAAAAGAAAAAGAAAATTCAAATAATGCTTCTAACATAAACAATTAAAATCATGTAAACTGATTTTAATTTTATACTTATATTAAAGAATTCTAATTATGGATGAAAATTTAACATATTTTGTAAAATAAATTTATATGAAATTCTTTTATTCCTTAGAAATAAATCGATTAATATTTAATCGTTTAAACTTATGTACATACGAGTGGTTAATTTTACTAATGTGCAAATTTTGGAAAAATTTATCAATTACATATTTATAATTTTGTCTTTAAAATTAAAATAATGCATCATTAAAAATATATATAATTCTGTATGCTTAAATGTCTATACGAATTAGTTTAAATATCCTTATAATGCAGTTTTCAGTATATTTCGAAAAAATTTTTAATTTAATATTGTTATTCATTTCCACATTAATTTCATTTGTTAAAGATTCTTTCTAGCCTCATAAACTGAATGCGCTTTGTTCATTTATTAATTAAACAATAATATATTTTTATACATTTTTAAATTTAAAGTACGCAAAGAATAAGTAATTGAATTTAATTAAATTTAATATTCTATATTATTATTATTTGTTCGAGTGTTTAATGTTATTGTGTAATAGGGCTAAGGAAAATATTTTTTAAGCGTCTCTCGTAATAGATAAAAGAGTTAAACTTCTCTAATGAGGAGAATAATACTAGATGATGTTAATTCTTGATGCAACTCAATAATTCTAATAACTGTTCTAATTGATTAAATTATCTTTGAAGAATTATTTTTTATTGAAAAACTTATTTTAATTATTTTAATCTAAATTAAATCTAAAGAAGTAAAAATGAAGGTTTGAAAGAATAGAATCTAATATGTTAAGCTTTTTTTGTACATTGGTATATTCTAATATTAAGCTCGTTGGGATTATATTAATTAATATATATTATAAATTTAATGTATCAAAGTTAATTGTTATTGCCTTCTCTAATTATCATATATTTATATTTTACAAAATTTCAAAATTGTCACTCGTTATCTTATTCAATTAAATATTTCTTTAATTGTAATATATGTGCATTGTATAAATAAATTATCTTGAATTAAAATTATATCGTTTAATCGAAAATATTCATTATGTTTATTATATTTTTATATTACCAACCACTAGTATTAATATAGTTTTAAAAAGTATATTTTTCATACGTATCGATATATTAATTTAAGTTCAAATATACAGACGATCACGTGATTTGGGGTATATATATATATATATATATATATATATATATATATATATATTTTTTTTTTTTATCTAAATCGTTAATTCAACACGAGCTTATAGGATAATCTTATTTAAACTAATTTTGAGAAACCTTTTAAAAAGGCTGCAATTTATACTTTAAAAAAGGTATGACTCACCAACGATTGTGTCATTGATTTCCACATATGTTTCACATACTTCTTTGATGATAATGCCTTAGACAATTGTTCTATACTTTGATCTACTTTTGCTACGGAAACTTCTTCAGTCTCAGTTTTATTGGCAATTTTAACTAAATATGCCAATACGTCTTCTTTGAGAACGCGACCATCCTTACCCGATGCTGGCACATCGGCCAAGTTTACATTGTTTTCTTTAGCTATCTTCCTTACTGCTGGAGTACTTAGAGCTTTTTCATTAAGGGATTTTAATTCTTTAGGTAAAGAGGCAATTTCTATCTCACTTGGTTCTATCATTGATTTGACTTCTTTATTCTGAGCAGGATCATCTTGCTGTTCCTCAAGTTCGATATCGACCAGTGTACTTCCTACGAGGCAGGTCTCATCTACTTTATAATACAATGTCCTTACAACACCATCATACCGGCTTGTAATAGTTGCAGAGGCTTTGTCACTTTGCACTTCACAAATTTTATCAAATTGCGATACCTTATCTCCAGGCTCTACGAACCTGCATTTTAATGAAAGCTTTTCTTTTAAAATTCCCTTTACAAGGCCTTTATATTCTTAAGAATTTTCTAGTTTTTTTTTTTTTTTTTTAATCCAAGCTTAATGATCGTTAAATAGAATAAATTGGAGTGGTAATTATAAACAATTATTAAAGTTTATTTTGTAAATGTTGAAGTATTCGTTTCATTGATGAGCAAGAAAGTGTATTAATAAAATAATTTTATGAAATTAACAGTATTCATTATATATAAATATATTCTGAAACAAATCTAATGTAAATAATTATTTAACTTACGTTAGACATTAATTACGAAATATTGTATGCTTGTTGTGTTGTAATTAAAATTTAATTCATATAATCTTTCAAAAATTTATAAAATATTGATATTTTTATTTTTATGTTAATTTGGACAATGATTATTTTAGTGGAATTTTCTATTTATTCGTGAAAAGAAAATCTTTTCTTTTCTTTTTTTTTTTTTGGTGATTATTCTAATAATTTAAAGTCTATAATATAGTTATAATCCTAAAATATCGCAGAAAGACAATGTTAAACACGAAGTTTTAAAACTAAAAGTAATATCTGTTTAGAACTTGAAGGTAATCGATGTGAAAATTATACACTTGACTCATTAAGAATGGATAAAGGCGTTTTGGCGTCTGGCGAATAAACATAATAATTTAAATAGATTAATTATTCATTAATAAAAAATTATGTCCCAGTGCTTTACACTTTTCAATTGTAATTGTAAAAAAATGTAATTGTAAGGATATCTATTGTTCTTATGTGTACAAAAGTAGATACGTTTATATTTTGTAAATTAATCAAATATGCCAAAAAATTATAAATATAATGTTTGATAACAAAATTATTAGCAAAATTATTTTTAACGAAAAATTATGATTACGATTTTGTAAGCAAACTGAAGTGACATCTACATTGATGTTAACCTTTTTCAAATAAATATGATTTGATAATAATATAGTTATTATCTAACTAAAACATTAGCACTTTATATTTATTAATAATATCCAAATGATATCAATGATTGTCAATTGAAAAAAACGTTGAATAAAGATTATATTATTATATTACATTCTTCATTTTGTTCCAAGAGCCTGTACATTAGTTTTATAATATTATGTACAGTCATAACTATTTTATAAAACAATTAATGATTAAATTACGAGTTAAAGAAAAAGATTTAAAATATAATATAAGGGATTATAATGAAATGTTTGAGATTATAGCGACAAGATTGTCGCTTGCTCGAATATAATATATTTTTCATTGAAAGTGTGAAAGGTGACGATTTGTTCACGACAGGATTAGTTTTTCCGGTCCTCTCGATTATCCGATGTTTTAATATTGACATTCGGAATTGGAAATAATTTTTTTAACAAGGCGTTTGGTGCGCTAATGAGTCGCTATTTCTCACAATTATTATGTTACATTGACGTTTAGGTTTATTTACTCGATAGTGACGGCAGTGGAGCGTAAAAGAATCTGTCGGTACGATGAAGGGAGAAAGAAAAATTAGTTAATCCTTCGATGTCCTTGAAAGAACATTGTGACTTTATCTTATAAAGAAACGCATTATGCTTGCATAATCACGTTAAATGTGAAACGTGTAAACCACATCGATAAATGCAGATATCCTGGCAATGTAATATCGTCAATCTGAGGATCAGAAGAGATAATGAAAAATGTCGGGATTGTTCGGTACTTAGTGATAATAGAATGGATCATCAACAACTTGGATATTATTAGGATATGGTTCATAGGTACATCAATTTTCCCTCGAATGAATAGTGATAACTGATAAGCCGATAAGTTACCGGAAATGCTGATCAAGTGATTAACGGACTCGGAAGCGAGGGTGCGAGATACCACTTTTATGCTTTCACGTTTATGTGTTAAAATACAGTTATACGTCAGACTGGTCGTAAGGTTATTGCTCATTGGGTTTAGCTAGCACAGTCTTTAATATTTACTTCGACTCAAGCCAGACTGGTAATTGATAGTCGTATCTGGGTTGGATCGACAGTAATTGTATCGTTTGCGTCTTGGTAGGTTATGTTGTCACACGGTCAACATAAGAGTATTTCTGGTACTTTAATGGCTTGTAATAAATATTAAACGTACGATAACTATAGCGATGGGACGAAGATTGTTTGATTTTCTTCATTCGCTAGCTACTTTTTTTTTATTACAAAAAGTTTTCAGCATTGTTAATCGATATTCGCATTTGCTTGTTTCTAAAATAATAGATATATTACAAAGAAAAGCTCATAATAGACATAAATATTTTAGGAAGATACATAATATTTTATTTGATATAAGATATTGTAAATTATAGTTTGAATAAATAAAATCAAGGTTCTTGATCGTATTGCTTTTGTATGTGGGAAGCAATGAGAGAACGATAGTTTAAATTAAAATTATATAGAAGATTTAAAAGTGGAATTGAAATAAAGAATTATCAGCTGAATTTTAGTGCAAAGAGACGCAGTGAAAATTACCTGGCCATAGTATTTTTATACTTTCATAAAAATATTCAACATAGGTGGGTCAAAGTGCATTAATGCTAAATTATTTATGGAAATCAATGAATTTATTTTGTTAGAGCAACGACTCAAATATGCTTACAGAATAATGAGGACAAACAATTTTTTATTTTACATAGTGTAATTATGGTAGTTGTTATGTTTCTTAATAAAAGCTGTTGGATAAATAAATAAAACAAGCAGAGCTTGAATTATAAGGGAATTATATTCAGATATGATTGCTTAATTAGAATATGAATAACCATTAAAAGAATAAAATACTTAAAAATCAGTTGTATAGTAATTTAAGATTTATGCATGCTCTGTTATAAATAGACGTACCTTAAGATTTATTTAATTTCTAGTATCTCAAGAATAGGACGTATGTACAAAAAAAAAAACAAATATCTTAAATCACAAAAAATTTTATTGTTTGATTAAAATATTGGTTAAAATAATTCCATTTTTATATAAATTAAATAAAGGGAATTAATTACATTAAGATGATTGGAAATTGAAATTAAAACAAAATAAAAAAATTAACTAATACCCGGTATTTGAATTCTTAAATAATTTTTCTCAATACTTACTAATTCATAAAAATGAAGAAAATACTATTAATATAACATGTAATTGAATAAAAATTTAATATATAAATTGATATTTGTTTTGTCAAAATTACTATATACTATTAATATTACTGAAAGAAATACTATATTGCAAATATTTTGAAAATACATCATTATATTTACAAAGAAATTTATATATTCCTTCAGCAATTGCTGTAAAACAGTAAAATTTTTTAATTGGATGTACGAAGAGTGTTATAAAACCTTATGAATTTTAAATCATTATAATATAAGGTATTAATTTCATTTAATATAAAAATTTAAGTAGATTATTATAAAATTTATGTATAAATGTTGTAATATATATATACATATATATATATATTATATATATATATATATATATATATATATATATATATATAATATAATAATATGTCTAAATTAAAATATGTATATAGAAATTTTTCACAATACTTTTAGATTTATTTTTATAAACTAATAGAAAAATTATCACTCATATAAAAATATGTTAAACTACTCCAACTTAATTACTTTTTGGTACAATTTTTTTGAACTATTTATATTCAAATCAATAATCAATAATTATTTATCTATAATAATATTTTATTTGTGATTTATAATAATCAAATATTTTTTAATTTTCACCTTTTACCTTAATTTAATTTATATATATGTTTTATATTTAGTTGATAAATGTTTTTATATATTCTATTAGTTGTAGTGCAATTATCATAAATATAATTTTATTTTTTTATTTTTAATAATAATATCATCATTCATTGATTTTTAATTTTTATTATAGCAGTTGGAATTTAAATTAAACAATTAGAAAAAATATTTCTATCACATTATTAATAAAATTAAAGCTTGAATATCAATTATTTGAATATTCTATATTGTTAAATTTTTAACATTTTTTCTATTTTGCATACAGAGTCGTTATATAGATTATCTTAAACTAAATTAAGTGGATATTACAATTTAATAATATTATAATTGTCTAAATTCAGCTACTTGATTATTGAATTCTGAAATAAAAAAGCATGTATTTTTCTCGAAAATGAGAAAATTTTATTTTGTATATGTATTTGAATTATTCTGCTAATTACATATTTTTAAATAATTGAATAATAAATTAAATTAAAATTTCACTTTTATTAATAAATAGATATTCTTATTCATTTAGATATTATAAAAGTTACAATTACATTAGTTTTTATTTACTATGTATTTCTGTTTGTATTATAAATTAATGCCTTTTTTTTTCTTCTCGAATGAGATTATATAATATATTAATAAAAATAAAGCCGAAGTGTGGACTAATATTTTATTAGTAAGATTAGTTCTCAAAACATTAGACTAAATTTACTAGACTTTGTAATTTAAATATAAAATTAACAAAAAAATCGTTTCATTGAATACAAATGTTGAAAGAAAAGAATACGTTGACAGAGGTAATGAAAGCAAAATAAAGTGGTAGAGGAAAGAAGAGAGAGAGAGAGAGAGAGAGAGCTATACCTATTTTAGATAATGTCAATATCGGTTAGAGGTTTTCATTAATTGTTAAATCATACTCACCATTCCTTCATAGTGACTTCACGGATTCCTTCGCCAATGTCTGCCAATTTAAATCCCACCAGATTCTTTTGCATTAATGACGTCATCGAAATGAAACGCCCTCTGTGCATTGAAATACCGTTGCCGCTGATATTACTGCTACTACTCTAAATAGAAGAGATAGAGACAGATAGAGAGAGAAAGAAGGTAGAGTTGAAATAGGAATAGATGTAAAGGGAAGAGAAGGCAGGATAGAGAGACCAATGATAAATGTCATAAAGCTGTACGTTATTATTGTTGTATCGAACGCGGAACAGGGAAAAATGAACATAAAAGTAAATAAACTCGAAAGTGCATTTGTCAAGATTATAGTCCGTTTAATAGAGTGTTTTTTGTTTGTGTAAGTGGATGGGACGGAATAATGACATATTAGCCCTAAAATAGTAAATTTTGCTTTCAAACTGTTTTGAAGCAACAAATATTAATTATTTAAAAAGATGTTTGCTTCATTTTCATTATTCTCTTGAATAATATAAGAATAATTCTTCTAGTTTAACATATTGAAAGCGATGTTTTTTAAAATATTTTGTAGAAAAAAAAAAAAAAAACTGCTAAAGTCTGATTTGATTGATCGTTTGATTTACATACTCTTGGGTTTCTATTTTACAAAATATTTTCTATTTGAAATGGAGAAAATAGTTTTGTAATATCTCAAACAATTAAAGAGCAACAAACAATTTTCTGTTTCTAAATTAAACGATCTCTGCAACGGTAACACGATTCAACACAAAATTTCTATATTTTTACAAATATTCACTACGAGACTCATTATTATTAGCTTATATTTCTTAATTAAATTAATTAATTTTTTTTATGTACTTTTTCATTTCATTGAAACTCAATCGATATTATTAGCAGGCATTTTATATTATAAGTATATAATTCATTGAGCAATTAATATACATTATAATTATTATATGAAGCAAAAATATATCAATTGTATTAACAAAATTAATGAGTTGAATTTTAATATAATATATGATATATATTTTCCCAAATATGTAATTTATACATCTTATTTTTAATTTACATTAATGTTCTTTTAATCTGCTTTACTTGTGTCTCATAGTTAATTAGAATTATTACAAATACTGTTTTATGTAAAGTTTTTAGGATAAATAGAAATAAATTTAGTTAATCATTAAAGTAATGTTGATATTTACTATTTGATTTATATAAAATTGCTTGTCGACCTTTCAGAAATGTTCAAAATTTTTAATGAACTACAAGATTCATTTTTATACTATTGATAAACAAAAATATAACCTTCAAGATGAAAACATTGCGATGGAATTTGAAAACTGTTGGATCAATGCAAGTGCCAATGATTTGTCGAATAATATGAATCATATGAATATGTTGTTTCTTATGCATCAATAATTATGTATAAATTTTTAATAATTTCTGTTTGCAAGATGTAATTGAAACAAATCTAAGAAGATTATAGTTTTTTTTTTTTTTTTTTTTTTTTCTTTCCAACTATTCAATTCATTAGGTTATTACTATTAAAACATTATTTTCATATTAAAATAAAAGTGAGTTTTGTATTTATCGTTATTAAAACATTATTTATGCATGACTTTAATATTTACGTTATGTATTATTATTATTGATGCATTATTATATTATTAATTTCATATTTGGATATAATACATATTTTCTACATCATATTAGTAAATATTCATTCGATAATATAACAAAAATAACGATACGAAATTCTTAGGCTATAGTATTAATTTTAGTATCTATAATAAAATTATTTTTTTAAACGTTGGAGAAATATGTGAACGAAGATATACCAATCGTGCGAGGAATTTTAATCGTTGTATTAATGCCATTGAGCCTGATGTTCGAAGAAATGTTGTTCACTTCTAAGAATAATAAACAAATTGTAAAAACAAAAAAAAAATTAGATGAAATGAAAGAGTAGAACAAAATAATGAGCTGTACGGTATGTTGTTCCGTATCAAACTGCCGATGTGTCTTGCTTATTGTGACTTTCCAATTCTATCGTGTTTATTCATGCGGCTAAGTTAAGGAAAAAGATGTGTATACATGTATTTAATTGAATGTGCTTACGTAAGTCAATAACACTGATAAGAGTGGCAAATGAGATATAAAAGGCATCCACTATAAGATTAGTTGAGATATAACGAATATATGTGTAGACATCGAAAATTTAAGCAATGCGTCAAATTAGAAGGAGTAGATAATGTAGATAGAATCATTGAATATTTACAAATTTAATTTATACTTGTTTCAAGTGTACTTGTACATTTTATAATGAATATATACACACATCATCTCTTTTTTTATTTACATTATATTATTTAATTATAATAGTTGATTGACTGGAATATACTTTTATTGAAAATACATAATATTACATCCATATTGTCAAATTAAATTAAAAAATAGAAACGTAATATCATGGAAGATGTAATTTATAAGAGTTTTAATAAATATTACATTATTACTTCAATTTTTTTATGAATTGAATACAATTTAAATAAATATATTCTTTTTTGTTCATTTTATTTTTTGAGAGACACTCACGTTAATTATACGAAAAGCTTTGATATTAAAAACATCTCAACAAGGATTTTAATTAAGTTCAAAATATTTAAAATATAATATTGGGAAACTAAATATTAACATTTGAATATTCTTAAAAGATTAAAATTGAAATTTTTTTTAACAATGATGTAGAAATATAAAATACGCGTTATTTAATCTTAATAATCTCTCATTTTAATTTACACTATTATAAAAATATAATTTTCGGCATCTAATTAAATAAACTAAAAGTATATATAATAAAAGAAACTGTAAATCTTGGAACAAGAATAAAGGGAATTTAAGATTAAATTAATTATTAATTACAAGAGTATGTATAAAAATAAAATAAAAATTGTGAACTGATTAATTTTGTTTAAATCTATTTTGTTGAATATTATTAAATAATGACAATAAATAAACCTTTTTTTTTTTTTTTTAGATTAAATCTTTGAATGACGATTATTAGCAAATCCTTACACTCATTATTAAATTAAAATTATGAAATTTCATTGTTGTGGTTTTTAAAATTTTTCGTACAAAAAAAAAAATTCCTTTAATTAATTCAGTAATAAAGTACATCGGAATTTATATATAGAAATTTTCTTGTTATTTTCACCAAAAATGTGTATTAAAAATTATATTTAAAACATTATATAATTAATAATAAATTATAATTGTTGGTATGTAAAAAATTCATCCATAAATAATTTTCTTAATAATCATGCGCATATTGAAAGCAAAAGATAAACAAATGATAGAAATTGCAAATTAATTAAATAACTGCTATGTATAAAGGAGTATATACCCTTATTTAATAAATTTTATTCTCTGAAAACTTTTATTTCGAAATACGTCATTATAATGAAGTTTATGCGGACTATTCTTATTATCCAGATTGCTTCCTTTTTTTTTTTTTTAATTCTAGAATTTATAAACTATTTAAAATATATAACTCACAATTAGAATAAGATATTATTTGTTTGATTGAATCAACCTCCATTAAGTACTTAAGAAAAAAAGAAATAAAAAAAATATATATATATATATATATATATATATGTATATCATACGCAATTTGGTTTATGTATACACAACATTTATATATCAACTTATATCTTGAATTATGAAATCGTATTAGAGAATTTGATAAATCTTTTTTTTTTCGTCATACATCATAAAAAATAAATGTTAGACATAAATAAAACTTAGTACAATTATAAAATACTACAAAAAACATTGTACACTTGATGAATTATATTATTCACGTATATTAAATTTAATATTGTACATAGAAAATTGATTTTTAAATTAATTTTTTGTGCATAAATCACAGTATATAAGTAAATATTTTTAATATTCCACCTATTTTACATATTTATTTTTATATGTATTTTTGTTTAATTATCATGTAGTATCAATATTGTAAATACTGTTTTAAACTACATATACATTATTGAATGTTATGCACTTAAAAACAATATTTATTCTTAATTTTAGATGCCCATGTACAATTAGTGATATTATATAATAGGAATTATTATAAAATATAGTATTCTGGATTTTATTTCTTAAATAATCTGATCGTGTTTGTTATTTTTAATGGAAAATTTAAATTACTTTAATTAGATTGTTCAAGTGTTTGTTTGGTAATCGATACAAAAATTTACAGTCAATGACTGATAATAATGATTTAAATATCATTTCTCTCTATTCATGAAATTTAGTAAGAAATTTATTTCTAAATAGTAATTATATCTCAGATTAAAATAATGTTTTTCCCAATTTTATCTTACTTTATGGCACTATTAAGATATTTAATAACAATATATTTGAGAATAATAAATTATTAATTGTCAATTTACTTCGGCTGTAACTAATATAATACTCATACAAAGAAGTAAAATTTTATTTAATTTTATTTAACAGTGATGGTTGGAAATGATCTAATTTTTTTTCGCATGTGTCGCTTTTCAACAAACGTAATAAAATTAACGATTGGCTTATTTAGAAAGTAAGCCCAAAAACAATATCGAACAGTGTCATGATTACACAAAATAGTAGCGTAGTTATTATAAAAATAGACACATTTGAATACCTCTACGGTTAATGAATATATACGAGAATTATCGACTATTTTAATTACAAATGAGAACAGCCGTTGATCGAAAGTCTATAGATATGTTGAAAATTAATATATATTTATGTAATAAATAACGGCAAATTTAGAAAACATTTTTATTTCTACTCACAAACTATTACAAATTTTCAATATATTTTCTAAGTCTGTAATTCAAACTAGTTAATAGTTTCAATTGTTTTTTTTTCTATTTTAAAAGTTGATAATATTTTAATTTTAACATTCTAGATCGATGTCTATCTTACTAATCGTATTTAGTAACGTAGAAATACAAAAGGCATCTTTTTTTTTTTTTTTCTTTTTTTTTTGTCTGATATTCTACCTGCTTATATTCTTTTGAAACATTTGCCTGAATAAATTTCAAATACTGTAATAATAATGGTATAATTAATTATTACATTAATGACGATT